GACCGGGCGACTGACCAGGCGACAGACCGGGAATCTGAACAGGAAAGTCTTTGGCCGACGCTTTAGTGAGCGTTTCAATAAATAGAAGTTGATTATCCACTCGTGCATAAACGCCAGGGAGTCCCGGAGTGTCACAGCCTACACCAAAGGAGACTACACCTTGAAGCTCTCCGGTCGCAGAATCAACAAGCGGCCCACCGCTATCCCCCTGGCAAGAATCCTTGCCGTTTTGGCCCGCGCAAATCATACTTTCAGTGATGGGTATGCGTTTGGTAGCGTATCTGTTACCACAGTCATCGCGGGTTACTAAAGGCACGTCGACTTGTTGCAGAAACCTAGGGCTTCTTCCTCCCTGTTTTAAGCTGCCCCTAAACCAAAGAGTAAGAATTTGTTCGCTAGAGATGGAAGATGAGAATGTGGGAGCCGACTGCAACATACCATCCAGCTACCCTCTTGATGCCCGCTTGGGGGTCGGAGATGTTTTGCGGCAACTTGGCAAACTCGATTGTTGGGCTCTCTAGAATTGGTGGATCGATTTTCAAGATGGCCACATCGTTGTCAAGAAGCTTTATGGAAAACCCGGGGTATTGCTGCATAGCAGCTACGTTCGAAACCTTGCCCTTACTTCTGCCACCCTAAGTAGTATGAGATTAGGATCAAGGGCTTCTGGCACCGGTTGGATCTCCAACAATAGGTTTACAGAAGAAATGGAACTTACACGCGATCCAGCACGAACTTGCAGCGTTGCGCTGTTCTTGCCATCGATACAATGGCTGGCGGTGAGAACAGTATCGTTATTCACGAGCGAGCCACCACAAAGGTGTCCTCCGTTGGAGAGGATAGAAACGATAAAGGGAAATGCCGTATCGGGAGCCTCATTTCCTCCCACAATCTTGGTAGAAACGTTGGGCTCGGACAGTGGCAGAGCAGTCACCGTTCGAGCTGCCAGTGCCGCAATCGCGGCTGCCGCAACCACCTTGGGAATCATTTTCAGAGAGAGTGAGAAGGGCGTGTGTCCAAAACGAGATGGATGAATAACTAGATCTCGAAGCTGTAAGATACTGGTACGAGTGAGGCTCAGCAGGTGAGTATATAACCATTCCTCGCTCAAGACACGTGGATACCGAATGACGGTACAGAAAGTCTATAGCGCAAAGGCCCGCGACTTTTCCCTTACTCAGTGGGTGTATTGAGTCAGTAAGGCATAATTCCCATAATTCCTGGGTAAGTCCTTAACTATACCCGGGCGGCTGAGCTGGGGTGCTAGTGAGGGCCCTGGCGACGAACTGGTTGGCCTTGAATAGTCTGCAGAATCGATATAATCTGCGTATCACTCAATCCGTCAGAAGCCTTCTATTCAGTAAAGATTGGCGCCCTGACAGCCCCTGCATTAGAGCTTGTGAGGTATTCGGGTTGTCGACTGACTGGCCCACAGGATCTTCGTCCCATCAATTGAGTCAGCTTAGACTGGATGACAAACAACATAAAAATGTCAAATACCTTTTTACTGGCATACTTGGTGTGAAACAAACTCTTGTTGGAGCATAGATTATACCATGGTTAGCATAATGCGGCATACTATATAGTATGTCATGGTTAGCTTAATGCGGCACACTATATCTGGGAGTTTGTATAATAGTAGATGAAACGCTCTAGTTTTGTGGAGTTAGCAATCAGGGCCAAATCGCCTGACGGCTCATCGTGATACCTCGATAGTCCAGCCAGTGATAACCTGCCGGGGTCCGGGCTCACCTGAATGACTTGTCATGACCGCTGAGCCTCTGTTGAAGGTTCTGTCACCTGTTGCCAAGATCGCGGGGCATCTGGCGCTATACGATAGTCTATGCAATCAGTGCCAAGGAGCAAGATTTTATAATCAGTGCAGAAGCCTTGGAATTCTTGACTCTATTCGCAATCGCTGTTTTACGCGTGCGGGCTGTCAAGTTGGACGGGGTTGGTGAAGCGCAACCATGGTATTGAAGATGGCTTGAAGGCAGACTTGAAGGCAAAGTTTACGCCGTCGTTGTAGAAAATTGATGCCTTTTGTCATCAAGCCAGCAATGCATAAAGGGTTGATGTCTTATTCTGGCATGAATGACTCCAGTCCAAAGGTGACGACGATGAATGATGGTGGCTTACAGAGCAAGATAGAGGGCCGGGGGGCGCTGTACTTGTATGTTGTGTCGCGAGTTGCTTTGTCGGTTAGTTATGAATTCAAATTAAGCGATAACTAACTAGTTTCTATAGTAACTGGGATAATCGCTCTCTTCGTCTAGGTCTTGTTGGCTTTTAAAATGGACCTTCTGTGACCGGCTTTCGCTTTCGGGCTCGTACCTGCCAATCAGTAAAGAACGCCGCGGTTATGATCAGGAGTACATACAATACACATGCATGCTTGAGCTATCATTATGGCCGGCGCACTAGTTTAGCTGGGGCGCAAGCGCTGGGTTGATATTTACCTTGGCAAGTAATGCGCAATGCGACCATTCTTAGAGCATTGATAAACAACCAGTTGACTGGTACCTCGACGAGTCGCATGGCGGCTACTGAGCGGAAATAACAAACTCGTACATACAGTAGTGTACATGCAGCAGTGCGGAAAGACATGCCGGACAGCGGATGTAAGCCAGATGGCGATACGGTATTCCAAATACAGCTGGTATCGGTGTGCTTTTTATTTTATTTCATTCTTTTGTAAATCCACTTCAAGTATAATATACTCAACTGTACCAATTTTTGCAGTGGCGCCAGTGGCGCGGGATCGTCTTCTAGTCTACAGTCAGGCGGAAGCAGCTTTGCGCAACGCCGAAGCAACCCCCAGCTAGCAGAGCAACAAGCCAATTTCTCTATTGGTCGGTACCATGAGAAACCCGTACGGTAAACGCGGCCACATACGAACTTATGGTGATCCCAGCCAGCCACCCGAGGGAGGCAAACAGGGCGATCAGCGGGGGCCTTGTGCTCACTGTGCCGTTACGACGAGCTAAAATCGACACTATTGTATCTTTGACTGGGCCGCGCTGGGCAGGCGCCTGTCTCTGATAATTTAATTATAGCCGGAGGGAGGCTGGGAGGTGCCCTTCACTAGGTAGGCAGGTACGTTGTGACGGCAGCGTAGGTTGTGGGTGCTCCCTGCCCTCGGAAGAAAAAGGGACAAAAGGAAAGGCAACATGGATCATGTACGACCATGCATCTTGTCTTGTGCAAGACAGTACTGGATACCAGGTTGACCAAGTCCCAGCCTCTCGACAAGACGAGCCCCCGTACGCATTTCAAGCACGCCTTCAAAGAAACAGCATTTATCGTCTCGAATACCTCAAGCCCACCCTAAGAACCACGGATACAAGAGCTCATCGAAGCAACCGCACATTGTCCCATTGCCCCAGATACCCCCATCACAATGAAGTTTTCTATCCTCGCCATCGCCGCCTCGTCACTGGCCGTGGGCTCCAGCTCGCCTGTCCAGAAGCGCGAAATGGGCGGTGTAAGTCGTCGGAGAAGAGAAGCAAGCAAGCAGCCAATTCCACTAACACGGCCAATGTCTGACAGATCCTCATCTGTACCGGTGCCAATGCCACGGGCGACTGCGTCTACAAAAAGTACGAGCTCGTCAAGTGCCATCAACTCGAGCCGCCGTTCCTTGGCAACTCGAGCACTTTTGCACCCGACGGCGAAGACTTTGGCTGCTACCCGCGCGTCGTCGACTGCAACGGCATGTGCACGTCACACACGGGCTGCACCTTTGGCTGGGTCGACTTCGATTACGAGCACAAGTTCAACTTGTCGGCGATTGAGTGGAACACGCTGATCCGCTCCTTTGCTTGCATTCCGAAGCACAAGCCGAATTAGAAAGTAGGAAAGCACGGGCGCGGTCTCTCTTTTTCTATTATTTTACTTTTTTTTTGTTTCAGGAGCGCATTATGTTTATACCGATTATTCAGGGCCTATCAATGGCACGACAATAGCTTGGTGACGGACTACATACCTACCTACTCAACTAGTGAGTCGTAATAACAACATTTCTTTTTACCAGCAAGCCGACGTGCAGGCCCTTTTCAGAGAAGAGTCCATTCAGTAGAAAATCGCCAAAACTTCCCGGGCGGAAGCCATCATACGTGACTAGAGTAGGAATTTAGCATCCGGCCATACGGATCGCAAGCACCGATCACGGGGCCGGCTGGCGATGGAAATTTGGCGGGGTGAGAGTCCAAGTGGTGGGGTATCTTCCTTCGTACAAGTTGACGTCAGGACATTTCTCGGACATTTCTCGCTCCCGCATCTACATGACCTTGATTGTCCGAGAAACTCTAGTTACATACAAGAGCACCAACATAGAAACAACCAACAATCACAGACACCAAACCGCTCGCCATGACCTTCACAACAAACGCCTCCATCCGCGTCTTTGGCGGGCGCCTGCTCAAGCTCACCCACCAGTCGACCACAACCGGCACGCCCATGAACCTCAACCTCTTCATCCCCGCCTCCGCCTCCGCCGCCGCCCCCGCGCCCGTGCTCCTCTACCTCTCCGGCCTGACCTGCACGCCCGACAACGTGACCGACAAGGGCTTCCTGCAGGCCTACGCCGCGCCGCTCGGCCTCGCCCTGCTGTACCCGGACACGTCGCCGCGCGGGCTCAACCTGCCCGGCGAGGACGACGCCTGGGACTTTGGCAGCGCCGCCTCCTTCTACATTGACTCGGTCCGGCCGCCGTACGACGCCAACTACAAGATGGAGACGTACGTCGCGCGCGAGCTGCCCGCCCACGTCTTCGCCGCCTTTGCCGAGCTCGACCCCACGCGCGTCGCCATCTCCGGCCACTCCATGGGCGGCCACGGCGCCCTCACCCTCTTCCTCAAGAACCCCGGCCAGTACAAGTCGGTCAGCGCCTTTGCGCCCATCACCAACCCCAGCCGCTGCCCCTGGGGCACCAAGGCCTTTGCCGGCTACCTCGGCGACGACGAGGACGAGTGGAAGAAGCACGACGCCACGGAGCTCATCAAGGGCTGGAAGGGTCATTTTCCCTGCCTGATTGATGTGGTGAGTTGCCTGCCACGGCGCAACCCCCCCCCCCCCCTCCGTTCTAAAGTACCTGCGTACTAATCACTGCTACGTGTGAACTTGCCATGTAGGGCCTCGGCGACCCATTCTATAAAAAAGGCGAGCTTCTCCCGGAAAACTTTGAAAAAGCCATCAAGGAAGCGGGCATTAGCGGCGCGACGATCCGATACCAAGACGTAAGTCACAGCCCCCCTCCCTCACGATCGTACCACACACTGACAGCTTGTCCAGGACTACGACCACTCCTACTTCTTCGTGCAGAGCTTTGCAGAAGACCACGTCAAGCATGCCGCCAAAGCCCTTGGCTTGCTGTGAAGCACACATGGCCAATCATAGGCAGTATACACGTCGCACAATTGTTTGAATTGACATGCAGACAGTCACATGAGATGTCACGCATGTCTAAAATAGAGAAAGTAGCCACCTAGTAAAAGTAGTAGGAATTCGATAGTGCGACCTCTGCCCTGGATCGTCTCTTCATTACCCGACTTGTGCTATGACGAAACACTGCGCTCGTGAAGTGCGTCAAACCCCTTGCCGCAGTTCCGTGTAAGAAGGGTTTGATCCTAGCGCCAAAAAGCAAGCAACGCCGGCTATCCCTGAAGAATACTCCTTTCTCAATCAATAGCTAAACACGTTCCTCTCAAGCACAGGGCTGAGGCCATCCTTTTCTAGCTGTGCTCGCATTTCCGCGTCGGCTTCCCTTCGAATGCGGTCAAAGGCCAGCTTCTCAAATCTGCTCAGGCTCTTCCACCAGTGCTGCCCAGCTTCATGCTCCGCGATTCGTCCGAGCAGATCCGTCGTCTTCAGCCGAACGTCCTTTTCTTTGTGAAACAGACCTAGGGCAATGTAAAACAACCCGGCGTGCGACTCGGGAGCGACCGAGAGGAACAGGCAAATCTCGTCATACGAGTGGATATATTTGGACAGGGTGAGGTAGATGTCGCGGCTCTGAGAAGGGTTCAGTCGCTGCATCCGCAGTCGGTCATGCATGTGCGCGAGATCAAGGCCCTTGAGCGGGCGCACAGTGTATACCTGTGCAAGATCCTGGTGACATGATTAGCCTTGTCATCGTCAGCTTCGGTAGACCAACGACTCGTACCTGAATGAAGCTGTAGTAGCTGCGAGTATTGCGCCATCCTTCGATTCGAGTCACATTTCCAGCCAACTCCTTATTTTTGGCCGCGTCATCTGACCATACGTAGCCATGGCCCGTCGCTCCAGGTGGAAGCATATTCTGCTCCTCAGTGCCGACAAACAGAGCGCTCGCGCCATAGACACTTTCTTCAAACTGCGCTGATATTCTCGTGAATTTGAGGACCCAATCACGCCATTTTGCTCGCACCGTTCGTTCGCCATGCCGAGCTGCGATACTCCGCAAAATATCAGCCATGAATGCCTGGTCACCGGTCAGGTCATGGGCACTGCTGACGTTGACAGTGCCGCTAGCAGTGGTGGCCAGTGCTGGATTTTGCTGTTGGAAGTAAACCAGTCCTTCTGTTATAGGAGCTGGCTCAATCTTGCTACTGATCTTGATGCGTCCAGAAGGCAAGTCGCAAAGTATGTCCCACCACTCTGGGTGTAGTTCAAATGTCGGATTCGTTACGCCCGCAATAAATCCAGGAACATTCAGAAGATCGTCAATCTTTGTGAGATCAGTGTATGGAAACGCATGACGCGTAAAGCCACGCAAAACACCACCCGAAGCAAGAGCACAAGCTGCTAAAACGGCCTCAGCTACTTCGCCAGAGGGCATGTTGTGTCCAAGAAAGATAATGCGCTTTTGTGTTAGTAGCCCATTAATTAAGATGATAATGGGATGCGTATTAGCACCACTGGTTGTAAGGTGTGGGTGAATCGCAAACGGTTGAGGCGACTTCCCATGATGTTCCGAGAAGTTCTGGATAAGCTTGACCAGAGAAAAGTCTCCGACTGTCTCTGGCATCACCGCTGTAGGAACTTTGATGGGAATTGGAATGCCCTTGTACATGACGTGGCTCTCAAACTCGTGGGTATCGCGTGGTACCGAGTAGGCTGACTGGCTACCGACCTCTATGTGAGCTTTGGTGCCTTTTCGAGACACTTCTGTGTGATGATCACCGTTGCCATTGGTTTTTTCTCCCCGATCCTCGGACATCCGTATCTGGATCATGCGCTCGAACTTTTCCACAAAAAGATCTCGGTTCTCACTCCCAAGGAGGAGGTGTCGTTCGAGCAAGCTGAGCTTTGGCATAAGAGAGAGATCCATTGCATTGACAGCATCGTAAAGCATAGATAGTGTTTCCGGAACAGGGGATTTGAAATACTCCTCGAGAGCCAAGAGAAGCAGTGGCTAGTCTAGTCAGCAACAGCACAAAAGCCCTGGCGGTGAAAGTTAAAGTAATAACGCACCTTGTAAATGTGTAAGAACGGGTGTCTTGTACAAATGGCCATAGCTTTCACAACAGCACCACGTTTCACAGTCTTGTCATGCTTTGTGTTGACCAGGTTCAGTACGTATATGAGGGGAGGGCCCTCACCGCCCTCGGGCTCTGTGTCGCTGTCATCGTCATCATCGTCGTCGTCGTCGGCATCGTCATATTCGTCGTCGCTGTCTTGTGTTTCGTCATCTTGACTTGAAGGAACAATACCAGCCGCGAGCGCTCTACGCTTGCGCCGCCGTCTTCGCCGCCTCTCTTTGCGTTTTCGTTCCTCGTCTTCCTCCTCGTCGGTCATATCCTTGTGCAAGAAAAATATGGTCCAGTCCTGATTTCTGGCGTGCGCTTGATCTGGAAGCATGAGCTCCGCCAACATGTTTTCGTCTCCAGTAATGGCAACGGGGTACTGATGCTCCATGACAGGACCCCGATCAATGTCGAAGGAGGCGACCAGGATATATTCTACATGGTTATCGCTAGACCCCTGAGGGTACTGGGGGCGCAGCCTCCTGGAATTTTGAGCGTCGGCATTTAAGCGTCGCGGGGCGGAGAGAGACGAATGTTGCGAGGAGTGTTCAAGCGACGAGGTTTTGGACCGCAGGTCTGGGTCCGAAGTCCGATCGTTTTCATTCATCTGTCGATGCGGTGATCGGAGGGGCCGAGAGGAGTGAGATGCTTGAGAAGGCGGTCGCGACGAGGGAAAGGACGAAAGGGAGGTCTGGCGAGGAATGGACGAAGCGGAGCTGTTGGAGAGGGTCGTGATGGCAGGCTTGGGATTTGAATGACCGACCGTCGTTGTCATGTTTGCTTGTCTGCGTGCAGCGTCCAGGGAGCGCCGGGCGTGCGTTCGTCAAATGGCAAGCTGAGACAGATGCAGGACGCCAATCGGCGGCGACAAGGCCGCAGGCCAGGAGGGGAGCGATAATACCTGCGCCCCGCGTTCGGAGTAGCCTCGATTGGTGCCGGCGTCATGTAAGCATGCGCCGAGGCACAGCGTAGTCTGCCGCGAACGCAACGTCACGATTAAGCGGCGCAGAGACAAGTATTGAGTGGCACTTGAGACGATGGGGTTCGGAAGGCAGCGACGGGCGAATCGTGGAGCGGAGCCGCCGCAGGAATGTCGCAGATGTGTCCGATGGCTACTTGGCTGCGGCACTCGTAGCGTGCGGGAGACGAGGTGGCCGAGAGACGATGATTCCGGCGAGGGTGGTTTCGGAGGCGAAGATCCCGGATACAATGGTTTGGAAACGACGTTGGCAAGACTTTGGCGTTTGGGTTGCTCTCGAGGGACGACAAGACTCGATCACAGTAGCGGGAGAAGCCACCTGGCCAGAGATGTCGCGCGGCGGCAGGGCGGGCGCGTGCTCAGGCTGAAGCGGCTCGACGACACAGATAATTGCGTGGGACTGGATGTGACTGGTGTGCTCGACGGAGGAGCTAGTTGACTTGAGATGGCTGTTGGTGGCCAGTCGTTGGTAAAGCGAGTTGCGCTACGGAAGGGGAGACCCCGCCTCGCTGATGATGCCAACCAAACGGCCTTGAGCGGAACTAAATAGGCCAGCAGGTAGGCGGCTGTGTTGGAAGTCGGAATGGAGAAAACTGTACTGCGATTGAGATTATTTGAAAGAGGGCTAGATTGGCATTCAGACAGAAATCTGGTGGTAAGAGATGGCCAGCGAAAATTGAGTAGGTACTGTATCCGTATCTAACTAGCCCCTGGATGTCCCTTTAACTAGGTAGGTGGCTTGTCATGAGATCCGGTGGGTTTGGCCGTGTCGTTTTATTCGCTACCTAGTTATACAGCCCAAAATTTGACGGGTCGCACTGCATGCATTCTATTTAACATCTACGAATCACAGCCAATTACAACCTGCGAGTGTACATGCCGAGATTTGCTGAGGCTGCGATTCTCAGCTGCCTGTGCTGACCTGTTTCAAGTACAAAGGCGGGTGGGTTACTGGCAACTGGCTCTGTTCCTTTGAGTACCTAGGTACTTACTGAGCCACTGTGGCTTTAAGTAGTGACACAGCACAAATGCACAATGATGCGGGCTCGCGCCACATCCCAGCCACAGTGGCCCCGCCACCCTCCTATGACAAGGCTGCCGTTGTCTGGTGGCTCATTTGTTTACTTTAGTAGCCTCGTGCCTCGTTCTCCACGCTCTTGTGTTGGCGCGTTTGCGCTGAAACGACCTTCCTCTGTCCCAGGATTTACCCACATCTGCTAGTTAGCCCACGCTAGTGCACATTCATTCCGGCCATTATTCCTTTTCCTTACACAACGAACGCTCCAGTTTTCAGCTGACTGGAAGTCTATTGCTAGCACTTGCTTGCACATGTTCTCTGGCCAACCACGGCGATCATATCACCGCGACACAATGGTACCGATCCCACGAGCCCGTCGACTCTGCTGCCACGCTCCTCTCTAACCTGCTGTCAAGTCTACATCATCCCCTTACAAGGCGTCACCTCTAGGATACCCGGCTTCACCCACGCGAAGCTCCCCATTTCGCCGCGCCGAGTCTCCCTCATCACCATCGCCGCTGCGCTTCTCAACACCCACAGGTTCGCCGACGAAGCCCAGGCCGCAAAGCGGAGGAGCAGGCCGGTTTTCGCAGCCAAGCACGCCAACGACGGAGGATAGTTGGACCCCAAAGTTGCATTCATCGTCACAGTATCAACCGGGATCCAACATGACTACACCTCGTACTGGAGTAGCCCAGGCCATGGGCCATGGAAATGCTCTTTCACAGCTGCAGCCTGCGCAAGTTCGCACTCTGCGCGACAGCTTCCAGATTCTCGATCGCGATTGCGATGGGGCTATCAACAGAGAGGACGTTGCTGAGATGCTGCAGCAGCTAGGTTCGTGGACGCATCAACGGCGAATTCAGATGACTTGACCTGACTTTGCGCCTTAGGACTTCCCTCCGGACATTCAGACGTCGGCCGTTTCTTCCCCCCCTCTAAACCGCAAACAGTTACCTTGGCGGCATTTCTAAACTCTCTTGCCGAAATTCTTGCCGCCTTGTCCGATAGCAGTGAACTGCTCTCCGCCTTTTCAGCCTTTGACGACGATGATAGTGGGCAAATTGACTGGGCGGAGCTGCGCAATGCGGTTGTGAACACAGCTCCAGAACCTGGTGTGAGACCACTCACCGCAGCTGATGTGGACTCTGCTGTAAGCGGCTTTACTGGTCGCCGTGCCTTCAACAGAAATATGAATGCTCAATTGGGTGCGAAGCGCGGCGATGTGTTTCGCTATAATGATTTTGTCAACTCCATCGCTGGTGCCAGTACATCTGGGGAGGCAGCAGCAAGCGGCAACGCAGCTGCATAGTTGACGTGTGTAACGAATAAAGAGCGAAATAATGATTTATGTATATATGGCGCCTAGGCGGTTCAAGAGGCCATGGTGGTATCTTGCGGGACAGTGGGCGGCGCGTTGCGATCATTGAAGGACGAACTAGGTACCTAGCTTGCATGGTGTATTGTTGGAATGTCAAAGTCAATCCTCACCTCCTCGTTACGTTTGTTTCACTGCGCTCGAGATATTTTTGCTCCGATTGATTTTATTGAAGTGCCACTTGCAATGACCACCCACCAAGAATTTGCCGCGCAGCCGGTCCCGCCGCGGCCGGTGACGTATGACCGTCCCGGATAGCCAGCACCGACAACGGCCCCACTGAACCTTCTAGAAGACCTCCCGCATTAATGAAAGCACTCGGTTAGATGCATCACATATCGCCAGAGCTGAGCCATAATTGGATCCAGTTTATTAGGGGTTCAAGGTAATTACAAGATGGCCAGGTGATAGGCGCGCACGATGAGATAGCAGAACTCGGAAACCAGTCGCAGACATTGATAGAAAAACACAATGCGCTCAAAGGCGGGTTAGGCAATCGCTTACGTTGACATGCATGCCCAATGTAGACCAACCACCCTGTTTTCGCTCGCGGGCAGTAGTTAGACTGGTGCTCCGAGCATGCACTGGGGCCGCTACGAGCGCAGTGCTCACAGCACTAACCAAAGTCGGGGTCTCATTCAGGTAGAAGGGTTGGTCAGCGCATGTTTCATCTGGCTACAGGCAGCAAATTCCCTGTAAGAAGTCCTGACAGGTGCGGCAGAGGGCCCCTGAGGGCTCGAGGCCACAGCAGCCACGGCTGCCCAAAAGGCCGACTCCCGAGCCCTGTAGCGCTGTAGAATCACTCAAGACAGCACCTCAGCCATGTGGCACTGACTTGTTACAGGGCACACCTGGCACCCGGGTGCCTCTCCAATTTCTGGCGTGACTGGCGCCTGGGACAACGAGGCAGCTTTCTCACTTTGCATTTCTGCTCGGTGTCTTCTCCGTTTCCTCTCTTTCTGCCGTTTTCATCTTGCCAATAGCCAGATAGCTTGCCTTCTTTCTGCCAAAAGCCAGTCTTCGTCGCCTCGTTACGAACCGTGCGGTCCTGCCATCGACGATTTCGAGCAGAACCGTTTTTTTGCGACAGACAGGAATCGCTTCCACGCTATTCATACCTATCCGCCGCCCCAAAGCTTCTTTTTTTCGACTGCCCGCCATCGCTCCAGGTATCGAAACAAAACTTGGGGCCGCCGCACGTTAGCTACTCCCGCCCGCGCCGGTCGTCCAAGCTACCTGTTTGGTGCCGCTCGTCGCGCTGCGATTTGCTAGCCCACACACACCACCCCAACCCGCCAAAGGGGCAACAAAGTGTGCGCCTGCTCCAGCGACGCCCGCCGTGCAACCCACAGCCTCGTTAAGCTCCGGATGCCCTTTTACATCGACGAAAAAGTCTAGTATCCGATATATCGCTATATCGGGAAGCGCCGCCACGCCCACGCCTGTCCGTCCCATTACCGAACCGGCCCCAAATGAAGAAGCTCTTTGGAAACAGTAAGAAACCGGCGTCCAACAATCACTCTTCCTCCCCAAGCCTGGAGGACCTTCAAGCCGCCTACCGTTCCAGTCCAGAGCCCCCATCGCCGACCAAGTCGTCTTCGCGCTCTCCCAAAAAGTCGGTCCGCTCTGAACACACGCCCCGCGACGCAAAGTCGTCGCCGCGCAACCTTCGCCATTCGAGGCAAGCCTCAGACTTGACCGCATCCTCGCGTCGCTCCAAACACGATCCCGATACACATCCTCTTAATCTTCCCCCAGAGGAGCGTAAGCGCTTCTCTGCTCGCTCATATTCAGCCATGAGTGCCATGGATATTGACCGCGAGCCCTTGAATGGCCCCTCGACTCCCCCGCCAAACCCTTCCGCCCAGACAAATTTCTCTGTTCCAATTCAGAATGGCAATGGTCCCGATGGGCCTCCTGCTCCCCCGCCGCACAAGTCCAACCCTTCCAGTCCGACTCCCTCGCCGCTAGACGAGGCTGAGGTATGTAAAGCGCTCGGCAACAAATTTTTCATGGAGAGGAGCTTTGCCCAGGCCATTGAGCAGTACAGCAGAGGTGAGTCCCCGTTGCTCAATATATTCAATTTGCCGCATCTTCTTACCCCTCATCAGCTGTGACCCTTGTTCCCGATTCGGCGACTTTCCTCAGCAACCGCGCTGCCGCGTTCATGTCCAACGGTCAATATGTGGCTGCTCTGGACGACTGCTCCCGCGCTGCCGACTTGGACCCGCAGAACCCAAAGGTCCTCCTCCGTCTTGCCCGCATTTTCACTGGCCTTGGTCGTCCTGAGGAGGCAATGATCACATTTGGTAGGATCGAGCCTGCCCCTTCGGCCAAAGATACTGCTTCCGCCAAGGAGATGCTGCATCACATCAGCTCTGCCAAGGAATCTTTGGAGCGCGGCACTGCCATGTCCATGGTACTCCATGCTCTCGACCAGGCCGAGCGTGGCCTTGGACCCAACGTGAGCAAGCCGCGCAAGTGGCAGCTTATGCGTGCCGAGGCCTACTTAAAGATGGGCCGCGAAAACTCTCTCGGGGAGGCACAGAATATCGTCATGACCTTGCTGCGACATAACAACCAGGATCCGGAGGCTCTGGTCCTCCGAGGTCGCGTTCTCTACTACCAGGGCGAGAACGAGAAGGCTATGCAGTCTTTCCGTGCGGCTGTTAGTTGTGACCCCGACTTCAAAGATGCCATCAAGTGGCTGCGTGTTGTCCAGAAGTTGGACCGCATGAAGGAAGAGGGTAACGCCGAGTACAAGGCGGGCCGTCTTGAGAACGCCATCCTCAAGTATTCTGAGGCCCTTGAAGTGGATCCCTCCAACCGTGGAATTAATGCCAAACTGCTACAGAACCGTGCCCAGTGCCGGATTAGGCTGAAGCAGTACGATGAGGCCATACAAGATGCGGACCGCGCGTTCTCCCTCGACAACACCTACTTCAAGGCACGCAAGACCAAGGCCAATGCTTTGGGTCTGTCAGGCAAATGGGAAGATGCTGTCAAGGAGTGGAAGGCTATCCAGCAAGACGACCCTGAGGACCGGACCATTCCCAAGGAAGTACGCCGGGCCGAGCTGGAGTTCAAGAAGAGCCTGCGCAAGGATTACTACAAGATTATGGGCCTTGAGAAAGACGCTGGTCCTGATGAGATCAAGAAGGCCTACCGCAAAATGGCTGTCAAATTGCACCCTGACAAGAACCCTGGCGATGAGGAAGCCGAGGCCAAGTTCAAGGATATGCAGGAAGCTTATGAGACGCTGAGCGACCCTCAGTAAGTGCAGCACCCGTATAAGTATACGTCAAATCAAGCAGCAAACTAATTTATTATAAAGGAAGCGAGCAAGCTATGACAACGGCGATGATCTACTCGACCCCTCCGACATGTTTGGAGGTGGCATGGGAGGTGGCATGGGAGGCATCGACCCCGAAATCCTCTTCAGCATGATGGGCCAGCAGGGTGGCTTCCACGGAGGAGGCGGCTTTCCCGGCGGCGGACGTGGTTTTCCTGGTGGTGGGGGCTTCCCTGGCGGTGCCAGCTTCAACTTCAGTAGCGGTGGTGGCCGTCCCCAGGGCTTCCCCGGTGGTGGCGGCCACGGTGGCTTCCCCTTTTGACAAACGGCGGCCGACGGTGACTATGGCGATGCTGATGAGCAGGGAGGGGAAGACGATAACGACGATGTCTTGTACGACAAAGAGCCACAAGTGCACGACTCTCGCCAGCAAGAGGCCCAAGACAAGTTTACAGGTGGCTTCCAACCCCGGCAACGACGTGCCAACGAAGGTATGGTCGAGAACATTCGGACTTATGGCATCATGGTTGTTGCCGCGCTGGTGTTACTACCTCCGCAGCTTGTCGCCGCCGGCCTCGCAGCGGCTGCGTTCGTCTGGGCGTGGATGAACTATGTTTGGCGGCCCTGGACGCAAAAGCAAATGGCCACCGAATAGAACAAAAAGACGGACAAAGCAGTCTCACAAGGTGTGAAAGTCTTTATTTTCTTATTCTGTGTGACATTTTACTTCTCGACTGTTGTAATCTCTTCTGATTCATGTTACTCTTCGTCTTCTTTTCGTCTGTCTTATACGTTGTGGCACATTGGGGAGGATGGAAGAAGCCACGAAGGAGACGGTGCATTACCAAAAAATCCATCATTGTCCGGCGTTTTGAGGGTCCGTTTTACGTCCAAACCAAAATAAATGACATTTACATATTCGCAAAGCAAAAGAATTTGTTTCCTATAGAGAATCGAGAGAAGTATCCTTCCCGCAATGTCAATGCAAACGTTTCATCAACCTCATGTCCCGGTCCATATCCATCCTATCTGTAATGCGAAGGCATGCAGTTATGCTCGTCTCCTGTTCAACATCTGCTTCTACTGGGTTTTTGTAGTACCAATCACTGGGGGGTATTCCCCAACAAAACGCCATTTAGAAAATCAAGAAAATCAGCCCAGCTCAACTCCCCAGCAGCTTCGTCCTCCATCGTAGCTCAAACTCGGCCTCTTCAACGCCGTTTGCGTTTGGTCTTGGTGCCCCGACGCTTGGGCTCCTAGCCCATCGTCTGGACATTGTCCACGCCTGTGCCTGCCACCGCTGCAGCAGGCGCAGCACTGCCCAGCTCAGCCGGCGTCGTGTAGGACGTGGACGCACCGCCGCCGAGGGCCGCCGCGGTACCGTTGACGCCTGCGGCTGTTGTTCGGGGCCCGCCCGTGGCGTCGAGGACGCGGGCGACGTCATCGCGCAGCTCGGGCATGGCCGTGGCCATATTGTGCGCGAGCACGTCGCGAAAGGACCCAAAGGCGCCCATCTTGCCGGCCATGAGCTGGTTGCCGCGGCGGACGAGCTCGACAAACTCGCGCGTGTAAATGTCGGGGTTGCGCCCGTTCTCGACGTACTCGAGCAACTCGGGTGGCACCGACGGCAGGGCGTGCGGCGCCGAGGCGGTCGTGTGCAACGTGTTGAGCGAGCGGGAGAGTGTTTTTCTGAGGAACGGTTGCCGGGGGTGTTAGAAACGTGTAGCCTTAATGCAATGATGAGGAGGGAGGGGGGAAGGTATTGGTACATTTCGTTGGACAGGACCTCTTTGCTGGGACGGCCCATGGAGTCATACGTGGACACCTGAACCATGACCTGGTACAGGTCCTGGATGATGTCCTTGAGCTGCTCTGCGCGAGGGGGTTAGTGGTCGGCCGGAGGAGTGGGAGGGAGGCGCTCGACGTACGCTCGATGCCATCGTGGTCAACTTTGCTGTCTATTGGCGCCATGGCTGACGCTCGCGTCGATGGGAAGTGATGGTGCGAGGTTGAAGTTGGACGGGTTCGACTGTCGCGGGCTTGCAACAGTGGAGCGCCACCCTTTTAATTAGTCGCAACAGAGGTATCACCAAAGCTCGAACTCGTACAAGTTTTCTTCTTTTTTCAACCATTTCTCATACCCAGCCCTAGATCTGAATTTCAGCTGCGAGTCGATGAATTATTTTATCTAACAAGTATACACTTATTACCTCAATCTGCTAGAGGATCAAGTATTCACGCTAAATATTTCGCTCCCACCCTCCTCCCTTGATTGTGCATTTCTCTCTAATCAATGGTGTCGTCACGCAAGTTAAATAGCTGCTTAAAGACTTCGGCAGCACCCGCACGGATACCATTATGATACAGAGCGTTGGTAGCAAAGAACTTGGAGCCCTTGACGAGACGGGCCGTGGCTGTCGCATAGCCAAAGTCGACAAACATGTCATTGACGTAAGAGACAGCGTACAGCGGTACCTCATTGTTGCGCAGCTGCTCCTGGTCGTACAGAGCCGGCCAGTCATCAGCAGTCGCAAGCTTCTCAGCGGCCTCGCGCAGCGCCGACAGTTCGGGGTACGTCGAAAAGTGATCGCGGAAGATCATCTCGCCCGAGAAGAATATGGGATCGGTGCTCTGTGCAACCTTGGCGCCGGGGCGAAGCCACGAGAAGCTCTCAAACGACTCGCCGACTCGCTGAGCGGACCAATTGGACACAGATCCGGGGCCGTCGCAGTAGATGGCCTCGTGGAGGATGGCGTATAGAATGTTGTTGTCAAAGCCGCTCCAGTTCTCAATGGTATACAATGAGGAGCGTGAGAAGTGGCCAAAGCTGACCAGGGAAGCATACAGTTCCAGGATGGCATTGTGCACAGTGTCGAAGCCGTCATGTATACCAAAGGAGATGCCAATGGTCATGAGTCGAGGCACGGTCAGTGTACCGCCGCCAGGCATCCTGACAGGGCCTTTGCTCTCGGTGTAGCTTTCGATATGAGCTACGATCGTCCTGACCCGCTCCACATCCTCAGGGAACTTCTCATAGTAGGCTTTGTTGCGCGACGCTGTATGTGCAAATGTAGTTTGGTAAATTTCATCGATGGAGCGGCCAATGGGAGCAAGGCCACCAGTGAGGAAAGCCTCTCGCAATCCCTCAGGATGCATAGAGAGGTAGGACAGACTGACAAAGCCGCCGTATGATTGACCGATGATGGACCACTTTGCCTTTTCGCCGGAGAGGCCATCGTTCAGGCATTTGCGCACAGCTTCCAGGTCGCGGACCGTATTGTCCTGGCGCATCAGGCGGAGGTATTTGGCCTGGGCCTCTGGATTGGCGGAGTGGTGCTCAAGCATGGCGAGCGAGACGGGCGTGCTCAGACCAGTACCGCGGTGGTCCAGGTAGAGCACATCGTAACCACGGCTGATGAGGTGCTCCGTCATGGGCGCGGAATTGGGAGGGGAGCAGCCAAAGCCGGGGCCGCCTTGAAGATACACAATGTACGGCTTGGGGGCCGGCGGCTGCGCCGGCTCGAAAAGAGGCGACTCGCGTTTTGTGGCAAGGCGGCCAAAGAGCTTGATGCTGGCGGTCTCTGGCTCGGCGTAGTCGAGAGGCACGTTGAACCAGAGCTCGTACTGGGTCAGCTTTCCGGGCACGTCGAAGACTCGCCGGCTGAGCAGCGTGGCCGGCGGGATAGGCAGCTTAGCGGGGATAGCAACGGCAGCCATTGCAGGCAGATAGTTGGCACGTAGCAAAATATTGTAAGATATTTCTGAGTCAATACTATCGTAGCCTTCTATAGGATGTGTTCTCATGCAGCGCAGAGGGATAGAAAGTGGTTGAATGAAGGAGCAAGGCAGCCGCCTGTTGGTAAGTCGCGGGATGGTGGGGGTTTGAGGATGGCCCTTTCGGAGCCACCCCGCAATCACCTTCGGAAAGGCCACCCGGTTGTTACGTGGAAAATGGCTGACAGAACAAGAGAGTAGGTATTGTAATAAGAAGCCAATTGGCAGTAACTGTGGGCCGATACCAGCCGTCTTTTACGTATTCAGGCGAAAGTAATGGATGGTCATTACGTACCGACAACGCCCCAATGGTAGCTGGGTGAGTGAATGATGGCGGGGTCAACTTTGACTGGGCTGGGATTGGAGAACTATTACTCCTTACATACCTAGTTACCTGGCAACTTGGTAATTGTTGTCTGTATTAGATGATCAATCACTCAATTCCTAGGTGCATACAGATTACGAAGGCGGGATTATTGTAACCTGATAAATGCCCAGTGGCTTGCTGCGTGCCGCTGCCGGCATACAAACATAGTTGCATGATCAGATGCAGGGACCAGTTCACAGCAGGCAACACTGAGCTTGCAGTGACGTTATTTATATGAATTAATATCTATTTTGTTTCACTGCTTGTCATATTTTTATTTTCAACTTTGGCTGTTGTCTGCGTCTCTAGTAGGCATCATGCTTTCGTACAGTGGCCAATTTCAAAAGCGAAATCAGCCAATAATCTCCTCTAGTCTTAGTACACCCCAATCATTATCTGCATACCTTTGCCGTTTCTCAAGTTCCTCAGTTGAGGCTCATCTCGGGATTCAGATGAGCGCCCCGCCTGCAAGGCGCTGACGGGCGGCAGAAATTGGCCCCAGCAAGCTGCCAGCTGCATAAATTTTCTTTTCCAGTGCAGTCTCGAGCTAAATTCTCCATCTACTCTTTTGTTCACAATCATACTCCCCCTTGTTCTTGAAAACTCTTCGGTTTTCGAGTCTCGTGGTTCAGATTCATTCCAATCATGAGGCCAATCCTTGTAAATCCGTGAGCGGCTGTCGCGGAGCTATCCCGATCTCCGACGTCTGGTCCTGCTGACGAATCAGGTTGATGCCGCCACACTTGACGCGCCCAACCTTATTCGCCCAGCTAGATAGTACCTACTTGGGAAGCCTGCATCTCGCCTTCGCTGACCTGACATCACCATCCATCACCACCCGGCATCCTCGCGACATCCCGTGCTGCCTGTGCATCTCCCATTTTCACGCTCAAGTCCTGAGCTGCGGCTCTTCGACATGCAACCCCAGCCCATGGCCTATGTCGAGCTCTCTCAGACCCTGGCAGAGTCGTTCAACGCGCTTGCCGATGAGGTTCAGACACTGGCCGACCGCAAGACCGTTTTGGAACACAAGCTGCGCTTTGCCCACGAACAGGTGTGTTTTATTTTCTTCTTACACGAGCCAGAGGTATCCCAGCTCTACATCGTGATTCCCCTTCACCCACGCTGCACACAAACAAAGCAGCAGCAAACTGGACAAGCGTCCATGGACAAAGTGATGAGTTATCTTAGCTCTAGATCATGAGCACAAGCCTTGAATCAGCTTGTGCGTTAGGACTGACATACATTTAACGTCTGATTGTCTAACAAATATTTTGTTTGCTTGCTACCTGCTGCCACGTCAATTCCCCGCCTGCCTTGCTAACTCCCTGGTCAGTTTCAGTACCTCGCCGACAAATATGCTCCTGCTGCACCAGAGATAGCCGACACTCTTTCCAAAATACAACTTCCTCCTTATACTTCTGTTGATAACACATCGCCCGTTCCGCTACCTCAGCGAACAACACAATCCTCACAACACCACCTTGCTCTCGTAATTCGCGACGGTCGCCGTGCTGCCAGTCGACTTGCCGCCTCACTTGGGGATGCGAGTAAAACAACTGTTTCTAGCAAGGGCACATTCTCGCACGGCTCCAACGACGACGTCTCATCAATGTCAACAGCGCTCGAACAAGACTTCACGGTGCAAGGCAAAAGGGGTGCTTTGCAGTGTCCCTTTCAGAAGCCTGCTGAGGATTTGAATGGCAGCCAGTCGGCGCCGAATATCGGCACCAGCCATTATGACCCCTCGGACCCGATATGCGCCGCTTTGGCTGACGGGACAGAATCCTCACACGCTGCTACGGGCAACGGGGCCTCTGCTCCCAGTAAATGCCCCATTCGGTTCCTTGACAAACATAGTCCTGAAGTGGTAGCGCGTTACGTTGAAATGCACAAGCACGAGCTTCCTCGCAGCCATGAGGTGTGTCTGAGACGGTACGGCCGAAATGAGCAAGAAGTCCGCAAGCTTGATTCCAAATATGGCAATATCGCAAGCATGATTGAGGACCTGGGACAATTGCACCAGTCCATGCTTCCCGAAGATGGTCAGCATCCACTGGCTGCCAGCGAAGCAGACGAGACCTCTAACCGACGAGTTGAGAGCTGGGCAAACGGTGTCAATACTTCCTCGCACACGGATGAGGACGACGCTATACCCGACGATGACCAAGACCGCCAGAGCCACTTTGACAGGCCACTCAAAGAGGTCAGGGTCGGCGAATCCCCAAGCAGACCATGGGGCATTTCAGTACCCGTGTACGGGGCGGATGACCGTGATCGGAACCTTTTGTCACCGCCGGCCGCTCCACTGAAACTCCCAACACCGCACCATCCTCCCGGGGCTGAGGGTGGCCCGAAGAAGTGTCCGTTTGACCACACCAAGTTCGCCTCGTTTGCCGGAGGTCGTGGCGGAGAAACCCCCAAGCCTCCGCTAAAGGACGGGCCTGGTTCGTCAAAGGACGGGCCTGCTCTGCAGGGACCGCCCCCGTTCACACCTTTTCGTGACGACGCTGCCCGTTTGTCGCCTACACATGGCCCGCAGCAGCAGCAGCCAGTATTTGTGGCCCCAGACGCTTTGAGAGGCAAGTCTGATCCGCCGCAAATGGTCTTTACAGGGCCAGTCTTTATCGGGTATCCCATGGACCAGGCCCTGCAGTTTATGAATCAATTTCAGCGTCGCTCTTGATTGTTGTCTGTTTGTGACGAACACTTTTCCGGCTCGTCTTTATTTCCATGGTATCCTTCCTTTTTCTTTTCTCATAAGCGTCGGCGTTTGGGCAACTTATAATGAAGACGATGATAAATTTACTGGCGTACTGCTACCAAACCTGTATACAGCGAGGAGTTTTTACGCACTTTTATTCTATATTATTAGCAACACGAAATTGGCTATCTTATTCAAAAAGATTGGCAGGCGGTGTAGAGCACTATGTGCAGTGAATGCTGGAAACGATTACATTTGCGTTCTATTAACAAGAAAAAGGATTTCTCATGGCTCATATCAAAACGCCAAACCCGTGATTACGTCTATGCAGTTTCATACATGGCAAGGCTCTCCCCCCTAGCTCGTCTCCGCCTCTTCTATTTTGATCAGTTGATTGTTTCGCCATCGTAGATAAAGTGCTAGAGCAGCTTGAGGCCGTTGGACTTGGACCGGTTGCCGTCGCTGCCGCTGCCGCTTTCCTCGTCCGAGTAGTTGCCGCCCTGGGCCTCCCACATAGACAGGTCGTCGTCGGACATGATGGCGGCAGCATCTTCTGGGTCGAGGAGGGTGGTCTCGGAGTCGACGTAGCCGGCGTGGCCGTGCTCGGCATCGGTGCCGTCCATGGCCTGCTCGCGAGCAATCTCGGCGGCGCGCTTCATGGTGCGGCGGTAGATGACGAAGCCGACGGCGAGGCCAACAAGGCCGCTGAGGGCCATTCCGGTCCAGTTGATGACCTTGTCGCGGGTGGACATTTCGGCGCCCTTTTCGAAGAGCACGGCGAGGCGGCTGCCGATGAAGACGTGGACGAGGAGTTTGACACTGTTTCAGGCCCGGGGGGTTAGCACGCAGAAGAGCTGCAGGGCGAATAGGGGAGGGGGGTGGGGTTGCAGTGCTTACCTTGAGAGGGCAGTAGATACCGTAAATGCCAGAGGCGTGATGCTAGGGATCGTGGCGAGGAAGCCGTTGCTCAGGCTAAAAGGCAGCGGGCAGAAGCGGATGGCGGTGAGGTAGAGGATGCCCTCCTTGCGCATAACCTGGGCGAGGGCCATGAAGCGCGGGTCCTTGCCGACCATGCGCTCGACGAAGCCGCCGAGGACGGTGCGGCTCGCGACGAAGGCGCACAGGCTGCCGAGGGTGCAGGCGGCGGCGGCAACGGGCCAGCCCCAGGGGAAGCCCCAGACGAAGCCGGCGACGGTGGTGGCGGTCGCGTAGCCGATGACGGGCGGGAACGACGTGACAAAGACCATGGCGAAGTTGATGAGCCAGCCGGCGGGCAGCCGGCGCCACTTGTCGGCGACGGGGCCGAGCCAGGCGAAGAAGGCGTGCGTGTAGAGCAGCGCGAGCAGGCCGAGCACCCCGAGCACGAGGCCGGCGCCGCCGACGAGCGCCTGCTGGAGGCGCGGCAGCCGCAGGTACCAGGCGAGCATGCTCAGGCCCCACGCGACGGTCTGCTGCACGAGGGACAGGGCCTGGGCGAGGTAGGAGGCGTCAGCGGCCGACGACGGCGCATGGCTGTTGTTGTTGTTGCTGCTGCGCCGGCGGTTGTGCAGCCGCCGCGAGGAGTCGTGGCGCGACCAGCGCGGCGCGGCATCCGTCGGGGACGGCGACGGCGAGGAGGCGGTCGAGGAGGGACGCAGGTGCGTCGGGGAACTGCTCGGCATTGTTGCAGAGCTGCGGGCGTGTCAAGGGGTGGGTGGTGATGCAGAGGCCGGCGGCGGCTTTGGTTGGAGTGGCAGGAGGCGTGGGTTATCGTGTAGAATAGTAGAGGCTGCAGCGTTGTTCTACCTCGCCATTGTACGGAAGACTGGTATATGTGTGGATTTCGGTTTTGGGTCCGTAATGTCGTGACGGAGAAGCGTCGTAGGGCTTGCTGACGAGGCGTCGTCGGATATCTCGGGCTGCGACCGGGGGGAGCGGATGAGATGAGGCGAAGCAAATTGGCAGAATGATGATTGGCGGTATTCAAGCTTGGAAGAGAGTTGTATGTGCGGAACAAGATGTACAGGGCGCGAATGTCTTTGCTGATACGAATAGTGATGTACGGAAAAGCTGAAACAAGTGGAAGAACAAAGCCGCGTTTTGACGCTGTGTCGAAGGGGGGGGGGTTACGGTGGGTGTCGATGCGCAGCGTCGGGAAAATAGATGACGTGGGCCTGGCTGATGATAATAGCAGGGTCCGAGGGCCACAACACTCCGCAGTACCATCATCAGTGCAGCAGCAATGATAATAACCTACGAATAAATCCTAATTAACATCTTCATGAGCGTCCTCTCTTCACCCCGTCAATGCGTTTCTCACTCTACCAGCCGTACTTGTGCAGCGGCGCGGCAGTGCCGGGCTCCCTATTCGCGGCACGGGCTGATAGGGCTGTAAATTTCATATTGAAAACTGAGACCCAGTAACTATTACCCAAGTAATCTCTAAAAGTTTCCGAATATCGCAACTTGGCCCGAAACGATCAAGTATTTCAACAAAATGGCGGCGGCTCAGTGCGGTGCGGCCAACAAGCAAACGCCAGCTCTCTGTGTGCTTCAGAACCTGACAAAACGGCCTCTTCGTGGCGGGACAGTACGGTTGCTTCCATTACCGAGCAGAAACGTGTGATGAAGGAGCATCTAATAGACGCGGCCGTTTCCCTACCGCAACCAATTCGCCGCCTTGGGGAAGGCTCTCGTTCTCGCTGTGAGTCACCAGTCAGCCTTGCCACATGCGCTATAAGACTCAGGTCAGCGCATCACCTTGGAGACGGTTCCATCAAAGAAATCGAAGCAACAGAAAAAAGGGCAATCCGCTCCTAATGGATGACATTACTACTTCCCTACAGTCGCTTCTGCGGCAACGCTTCCACATCACCCCAACAACGACCTCGCGGCACGATCAATGGTTCAAAAGAGTCTACCAGAGCTGGGTCGAAACAGACAAACAGCTACTACTCCTGACGCCCAAGGTGTCCCGTCCCGAATGGGCTCCCGAGATGCTGCAGCTCTCCGCTCAACTTGCCAGCCACATACAACTCCTGGCCGCCGCCGAGCGGCAACGACTAGACGCCGCATTCCCGCCCCGCCAAGACAAACTGTTTCCAGACTCTGCGCTCGACGAGCCGCCACTCTTGTGCCCGCTCCATGACCGGCAAGCCCCGGTGTTGACCCCTGGCGTGCAGCGCGGCGACTGGTGGACGGACAAGGACCCGGCGGACCTGGCGCGCGTCGCCAAGGCGCTCCTCGAGCACGAGCAGACGGCGGCCTTGCTGCACGTGGCCCAGATGCGTGGCGTCGACATGAAGGCTGCGATGGACTGTAGAAAACATGGGCAGAGTCGCGGGGACTGGTCGGCTCCAAAGGGCGGCGGTTGGGGCGCGGCGGTCGACGAAGCGCTCTCTGTCTTTTTCTTTGCGGCCATCCTAGGGACGTTTCCGGAAGAGCTCCTCACGGAAACCACGTACAGAAACTGGCTGCCGTACGGAGGGCTTCTGTCCGACGCGGGGCCGCCCATGCGCTTCGCCGAGGCGCTGAAGAAGCGGCCAGGCTTCAGGGGTCTGCGCGCGCACGACGACGTGCGGCCGCACATGGAGCGCTGTGTGCGCATCCTGGCCGCCGCCGACCTGCTACACTCCGCCTGCCGTCTCCCGGCCGTGGACTGGGCGGCGCGCATCGGCAGCACCCTGTTGTACTTTGTCGGCTTCGAGGCCTGGAACCGCGCCCGCGAGGGCAGCACGTACCTGCACTGCCACCTCAACACCGCTAAAACGGACAAATGGCTGTCGCATGGCCTGGAAGCGGGCGATTGCGGCAAGGATGCGGTCGTGCGTGCTGCGAAACGTGCCCGCACGGCGAAGACGGCGCGCCCGCGCGATCCGTTGCTGCTGCGCGCGCCTCGGGCAGATGCGGCAACCAACGACGCCGAGGATGAGGAGCAGTGCAGACTTGCGGACTTGGAGCAGGAAGAAGCTGCGTACGGATCAAAGAGGAGCACGAAGTATCAGAGGAGGAAGGTGAGAGATTGGGTGGGATGAAGTGGCTGGATAAGAAAGATCCCGGGTCCTGCGCCGCCGTGGCTCCGGTTGGGGTCGGAGGGGCATGGAGAGGGTGCCGTGAATGCGTCGATTCGGGTTTATCATATTCGAAGGAGCCACAAACGTCAAAAATTAAGTTGAGCTGTTTTTCTAGGTATGCGAATGCGTGTCCTGAGCAGCACGGCTTGGAAGCATCACCTACCTACTCGTCCATTGTCCAGCCGAGTATCCGGCATTCTAGCATGTGAGCCGGGATACCCAAAATGCAGAAAACGCGAATGAGAAGCGGACGAGGCTCTTGCTAGCCACCGTTTTCAGCTCCGTGTCCGACCCGGACGCTACGCACTTGCTCCTAAAATCTGATCAGCCCTATCGCGTCAGATTCGGCCCATCTTTAGGCCTAGCGACCAAGACAGCCCAGAACAAAGTGGTGCGCGCGTCCGCCGCTCCCTGATCCGGGTTCTCAAGTTGCCGCCTCTTTCGTATGTGCTCAGGTCTTCGGCCGATTTTTCAATTCATCCGTAAAGAGGCCGACCCGAACGACGGCGCCGCCATGGAGCGAGACCCTCCCGAGCCGGGCCTTTCGGGATTGGCTTGCTATGCCTGTAAACGGTAGGTGGTGCTCGCATGGACTGCCAAGATATGCTTGAGGACAAGCACCCTTGCGTGTCCCGTTTCCGGCGTTGCCAGCCATGTATGTTGAATGCTAATGCAGCTTGCGGCATCGTTTAGACGCAAGGTCAAGTGGTCAGTTTGCATAACTGCAACTCAGTCTCTATGGAAATGCGGACAGACACTGATGTTGTCATATAGCAGCCGCACTTTTCCAGTATGTTCACTTTGTGTCAAGACTGATTCGACATGCGAGTACCCAACATACGCCGAGAAGCCCGGTCCAAAGTTAGGTGAGTGCCGTCACGATTACGGGTTCGATCCGAACAACACGGCTGTACCAACCCATGATGACCATGTAGGTAGCACGCAGAAAAACCAGCGTCGTCGCTCTCAGCAAAAGCTTCTTCGCCCTCGGCCGCCGCAAGATCCTATCAGTACCACGACTGGGTCATCCGAGAGCTCGACTACCGCGACAACGCCCCTGGCACCAACTTTATCACCACTGCAAACTAACTTCTGGTCGACTCCCGTCGGGACGGCAACGGCAGTAGCAGATGATGACATGGCTGAGGCTGAGTCCACTGCTTATCCAGATGGCCTAGCGTTTTGTCAAATTATGTATTCCTCCCACCATGAACATAACAAAGAGCAGCCTCTCGGTTCTATCGACACTCTCGAGTCATCGGACCTGACAATTGGTGTCACATTAGAGGCTGTATGCCAGAGCTTACGAATTCCAGAGAGCATATATCACACTTTGTAAGTCGGGTTCGAATCGGAGTCGCCAGCCATATTCGGTAGGCTAACACCACGTGTCTGCAAAGAATGGCCTCGTATTTTCAAAACATGACGGCGTTTTCTTTGTTTAAACCTGGTTCGGTCGAGGCAAAATTCAGCCAAATGCATTCGATAGCCGAGGCCGAAGCATTGGTCGCTTCTATTTTCTCCTTTTCCGCACGATTCCACGCGGGCGAAAAAGACGAGTCTTTGTGGAACTACTTTCCAGCGCCGTCCTACTTCGCCAAGATTGCCTCCAAGAGAATCGAAGATGCCTTGGGACCCTACGACGAGACCCCGCCGCCGCTGTGGCTCTTACAGGCAAGTGTTCTGGATACGTTTTACCGCCTCACACGCAGTGTGCGGTCGAGTTCGTGGCGGGCCACGGGCAACCTCGTCCGTCTGGGGTACGACCTTGGGCTGCACCTCGTCGACGTGGACGGCCAGAGACGGGACAGCCAGGGCAATATAGATGTCGAATTCTGGTCGGCACAGGAGGAGCAGCGGCGGTGCTGGTGGGCCATCTGGGAGCTCGACGTGTATGCCAGCACGATTCGCCGGCTCCCTCTCGGGATGCACTGGTCGCAAATGTACACGCTCCTTCCGATACACGACAGCGACTGGTTCGAGAACAGGTACCGGCCAAGCTGCCGCCTGCCGAAAGACGCGGCCACAAGATGGGAGACGCTGTTGGCATCCGGAAACACGAGCCCGAGGGCATGGTTCATAGCCGTCAGCTCGCTCATGCACGACGCGCAGCAGCTCGCGTACACGCCAGAAACAAACCAGGACCTCACGGGCAGTCAAAAGGCGCAGCAACTCGCCGGTATTTCCAACTGCTTGAGCCATACCACGACCGCGCTGCCCGCCGGCCTGCGCTACCTGGGCGAGACGCTCGACTTTCGCACCAAGGCGGCGCCCAGCGAAGCCAGCCTCCGACAGCACCATGCCGACATTTTCAGCATCCACATGGTAACACAGCTGACGCGCTTCATGCTTACCCACCAGCATGTGCACGCCGTGTCCCAGACTAGTCCCGGCGTTCACGGGTCGCCGGCGAGTCACAGCCAAGGCGAGCAAGCGGCGGCGGATGACGCAGCGTGGACCAACTATATGGAGGCATCCGAGGCCATCGTGACGCTGGTGCGCAACAGCGCACCCGACAGCTACAAGTACTTGAACCCGTTGGTCGCCCACGCCGCGCTATGGTTTGCCGCCACCGCCCAGAGTACATACCTCGGCCGCTCGCGCTATAGCAAAACCCTGGCCGCGTCCAACTACGAGCTGCTGGCGCGTTTTATGGAGCAGTGCGTCGGGTTCTGGGGCAGCGCCGAGATTCTGCGCCCGCATCTCGGCAAAAGCGAGGCCACCGTCCTCGACAACTTGATGCACACGCCGGAGCAACAACGGGACGGGAGCCACGGTGCTGGGCGGGCAGGCGGAGGCGGCGATGCGGAGATGGAGACGCCTCCCATGATGAATAGCGACAGCGCTGGGCACGGCGCGCCCGGGTACGCGGACCTCGTGGGCATGCAGGTGGGTGGCGACGGCGGGCTGGACGGGCCGCAGCAGGTTGGCACCTTGTCGTTTCTGCCCATACTTCAAGAACGACCGCTTATGAGCCAGCTCGGATCGTTTGAGGATTTGGAGTATTTGTTTCCGTACGGCGTGGACAATGCAAGTGGGCAGGGAACCGATAACCCGCCCCCAGCCGTGTAAGTGGGAGGGAGAGTGAGTGTCCCATTGTGCGTTTAAACAAGAGTCCGGATAATGGTGAGCATGAGATAGGAACTTTTCATATATGGGCTGACAGAGCTGTCTCTTATATAATTTCACCCATATATAGAATAAATCTGGGGATATGTACGACGCGAAATCAACAACAACCCGTTCAGAACACCACTTTACACCACCACGCCTCGCTACCCCCACAAGTCAAAGCATCACGAAATCCTTGCACAGCTATTGCTTCACTGTCGTCTCATCCAGACAGCCTCTAGCTGCAGATGCCAGCAGGAACGGTGAAGTCCTCGGTGCGCTTGCTGCTGTTGTACCGGGCTCCCTGGCCCAAGCCGCGCTTGGCGAAGCCCTTCCAGATCTCGCAGTGGTTGGCGCTGCCGGTGAGGGCGCGGTCGGCGTCGAGGATGGCGTTGCGGGCCTGCACAAAGTTGGGGTTGCACGTCTGCAGCGCCATGCCGTCGAGGGCGAGCTTCATGGCGAGGAAGCGGCCGTCGCCCTGGGGCGCGCCCTTGCTGTTGAGGGTCGGGTAGTACGCGCCCGAGTTGCCGTGCTTGTCAATCAGGTTCCAGAGCACCTCGTAGAGCATCGTGGCCCAGATGTTGCCAATGGCGTGCTGGCTCGTCAGCCCGTCCGCCTTGGCGTACGTGTGCGTGTTGGTCGTCAGGCTGGTCGAGTACGGGAACGTGCGGATGCCTCGCGGGTTGTTGAAGATCCACGCGCCAAACGCGTTGTCGTGCGCGCGCGTCTGCGTCTTCTTGACGTCGAGCGCCACGGCGAAGAAGTCGCTCCAGCCCTCGCCCATGCCGCGCGGCTCGGTCGAGGACAGGCAGCCAGAGTTGGCCGGGCCGCCCGTGAGACGGTTGCTCACTATGGATTTCGTGTGTTAGCCCATCTACATCCCGCCTTCTTTTTTTTCCCCAAACAAAACTTACGACCATGAGTGTACTCGTGGATAACGACGCCAGAGTCCAGGCTGCTGTCGCGGTTTGGCTCCGACCTGTCCCAGACGTACATGAGCATGCGCCCTCGCTGGCCGTCTGGCGGGGTGCTAAAGTAGGCATTGTTGACGCCGCTGCCGTCTTGCGTGTTGAGAATGACGCCGTCGGCCGCGCGGCCGCCCTTGCCGTTGTTGTTGTCCTGGAAGTTGCCGGCCACCTCAGTGAAGCCGAGGGCATACAGGAGATCGTGGTAGCTGTTGGACGTGTAGAAGAGCTGCGTGGCGGAAAAGTCGACGTAGTCCTTGGGCTCCAGCGAGCTCGAGTAGGGGTACTCAAACTTGCGCTCCGCGTTCTTGGGGCGATAGTTGCTCACCCACACGTCTCCGCCGGTCGGGTTGTTCTGCGCATGGCCGTTGTTGCCCTCGGTGGTGGTGTAGTTGGTCGTCCCGTCGCTCAGCCAGCCAAACGGCGACGCCGAGGTCCAGGGATCCTTGACAATCACGCGGCTACCGACGCTGGGGTCGGCGACCGCGCCAAAGGGAAAAACCTGGAACGAGGCGGCATCCGCCACGTAGTCGACGACGCCGTGGACCTTGGTCGGCTCCTTGGCGTCGACATAGGTCAGCAGCCAGTTGTCCTTGAGGTCCGTCTCAACGCGCCAGCTGAGGGTCAAGCCGCCCTTGCCGTCCGAAAAGTACACGAGCTTGGCCTCTGGGTCGCTCTGGGTACCAGAGGTGCTCTTGATGACGAAGACGTTGTCCTCCTTGTTCTCGGCGGTCGCGCGACCGGCGTCGATGGGGAGGCCGAGCTTCTGCGCGACGCCCTTGAGGGCCTCGACGGGGTTGATGTGGTTGGGCTTCTTGCCGGGATCTCCTTGCGGCAGCTTGCCCGCGAAAAAGTTGTTGCCAAAGGAGAAGATCTTGCCGTCGGAGCCGACCTGTCAATGGCGGGCGCGCGGCCCTGGGTTAGCCGGGGTGGCATCTTGCTGCTTCGGCCCAAGTTTTGGAGAAGAAGCCCTTACATTGACCTTGAAGTCACCGTTGTCAATGTCAATGCCGTTGTGCGTCTGTCTAAAGTTGACGTGGGCAACACCGCTGGCGCTGACAAAGTGGTCGTCGACCAGACGGAACTTGGCGCCCGGGAGTTCCTTCTTGAGAAACTCCGTCGCCGTCTCGACATACGTCTCACGCTTGCCAACGGCGGCGGCGGCGGCATTGCTTCCAACGTCAGTCGACGCCGTGTAGTTGGATACGTCGGGCATGGTGAACTGGTTAATGTCCACGCCACGTCGGGAGAGCGCCGCCGGGTGCTGGTCGTCGTGGACCGGATGAGCCTGGACATTGGCTGCAAGGCCGGCAAGGCCGAGAACAGCGAGAGATCTCATAATGCGAGAGATGGAAAGGCGATGAGGTGGTAAAGATGTTGTTCTCAGAATTCTAAAGTCTCCTACTCAATAGAGAGTTTCTTCAATCCATGGATCCGAGGGGTCGACGGCTCCCTGTTATATAGTAGTTTTCCGGAGCATCTCGCCCCCCGTATATCCATCGAATACGCACATCAATCTGCTTACAGTGCCGCTCCGTTGACCATTGACCTTCCAAAAGACTCAAAGCGCGACAACACAAGAGCAGCATTCGCCTCCTCTGCCAAGAACGACTCCACGTGCGGGCAGTGCCTCGAATAGGCAGCTCGACTAGGCACTTCGCCGCCCGGGGTCCCCTCCCGTCCATTTCGATAAGCATATCCCCATAGTCTAATCCTAGATCCGTAAGCCAACACTTTTGCAATCGATGCTTGGCGTGTCTTAAGCCGCTGTCTTTCCACGTTGTCCATATTCCCCGATTGCTACCTTCTTGTATAGTCAAGAACTAACATTCCAGCTGCGCATTTGATAAGCACAGAGACTCTGAAGCGAGGAAGAACGAGAGCTCTCTCGTTTCCAGACTTTTTCCCCGCTACGCTCGGCCGACATGACTCTATTCGGGAAGGTGGTAGTAAGACTATCTGTCTGGTGATGGTTTTTGAGAAACGAAAGAGAAGTCGTAAAATAATTGGTCTTTTTGTTGTGAACCTCGACTATATTGATACAGGTCCTAAACTCAACGGCATTGCATTGGTCGATGGTGGTGTCTTGTGGGTAAATATATATGCGTCCACAGGTTGGCTGTCAAACAACTTCATGAATTGTCACTCACGGGCTAGCGAACTTTGTTCAGATTGGAAGCCAATAAGTCATATGTAACGTAGCGCGCGAATGCATATTGAAATCCAGCTCGGCCTTGCAGATCACACGACTTTGTAGATGACACAGCTGCGTTGAAGGCTAGGCGATATGACATCTCTGGCTCTAGCAAAACCCGGCCGACTTCACGGCCGCCCAGCAAAGCGGCCACGGGGGATCCTCATGGCCTTGGGGTACTTGGCGTCAATTACGCGAGACTCCGGTGAGACTGTGCGTAATAAGCCGGCAGACAGAAACGAGTACAGCGTGAAGCGGTTTGGAACGGGTGAATGCCACAAGATCTGGGGCAGACGGGTGGAGCTTTGTCGGCTTTTGGACGCGCCATCTCGGGTTTCACTTTCGTCCATGTAATTGAAAGCTTGGCACCCTGGCAAGCGAAACGCGTGCATGATTTGCGAGAGGCACAGTACGGGGCGAAAATCGGTAGTTTTTAACCTTAAAACAAAGGCTATTTCCCCTTGTGCACTCATCCAGCAAGCTTTCAACCCGAACAGCTTCTATAATGAGCATGGATTGCGTCTTGGAAACCAAGCGCACGCTATCCTTTATTAGGAAGGATCCAAGATCGTGTTACTTGGTAGCTTTTCTGGCCAGTGCCTAGCTTAATAGCAACTCTGATCCTACCTGCCTTTTACATCGCCTAGAGCCATGCGCTTTGCCCGGATATTTTGCTATCGGTGGGCCTGTGCAGCTCGCTGTCTTGATGGCGCGGTTGATGGTGTTGATGGCGTTGGCGATGGAAAAGGAAGGCGAGGCAAATGCCGGTCCTTGGCGCTGATTCGTCAAAAACACATCACATGGTACCAGTCCTGTTCATGAAGAACAAGTCAAAGCGTTGCGATCCATCTAGAAAAGGAACTTCCAACCCCGTACCTGTTTTCATGCGAATCCTCACCAGTTTCCCGCGTTAGATCGCGCCAACAGCGGATAACATAGCACCTTCCGCCTCAGTCGAGTCAATGAGTCTTGTATCGGTAAGGGGGAGAGACGTGATGAATCTTCCAAAGTGTGCTTTCACCTCACAATACCAATTTTCGATTGCACGTGTTGGTCTCGGTCTTGCGGCCGGCTCGGGCCGCCACCACGTTGTTCTGCACCTTGAAGCCAAGACGTCGTGCCTGCTCTGCACATGGCAATGCGCTGCCAAGCCCGGTATGCAGAGACTCGCAGCTCTGTCTCAGATCCGAAAATGTAGGTAGTGTTGCCTCTTCTTGTCGCTCCAGACATTACAACCAACGCGTCGTCGTCATCTTCCCCATCTACAAATGGCTTTTTGAACCAGCCACCCACGGCGCCCGCGCTATCCTAGTACCACGTGAATTTGCTGCAGTCGCTCTTTCAGCGATTCAACGAAATTATGTCGGATACAAGAGGCTTTTGTCTTTGTACGCGGATTTTTCTTTGTTGACAGGCCTGAGAATTGTGGTGTATCATCACCAAGCCAGCCTCCCGGTCAATGGTAAGGTCGAGGCGATGACATGAACATTCCGGGCCTTCAGTGTTTCTTCAACGAGTGGGAAGACCATGTCCGACTCAGACGTGAAGATGTTGCAGAAAATTGACAACTCTCTTGAATTCTTAAGATTAACGGCTTGCTTTTGAAATGAGGGCATGGTCACGTTCTTCATCGCCGAGAGTCGTCGTATGCGTCGTACCCTATCATAAGTATTTTGCAGGGACTAGGTCCAATCAAAGATGTTTCCGGATATCGGCCCTTCCCTAATTCATTCAGGTTTAGAAGAACTGTGGCGCAGGTCCAGGGACCACCTCCGATAACGACAGCGTAAAACAAAGTCTCCTCTAGTATCCGTGGATTGTGGTTTTTCGAGGTGGATTTGGTGACGTTCTTGGTTCTCCTCCGCAGTCCAAGGGATAGACTAGCGGCTGGGCCACGAAGCCTGTCATGTTAGGTGGGCGTGGATCGAGTCGGGCCGTGTCCACCAAGAAAGGTGCGTCCGTGATGGAACTGTGCGACGTTGAAGTGACGGTGAAGGTCGAGGAAATGAAATGGCAGACCTGAAACTCGATGTCTGTTTGCTGTTGGCTGTCGTGGTGGGTTATCGCGAACGAGTACAGTGTGTACGCGTACAGTATGTACTGTGCGAATTTGATTGTGTCAAAATGGAGCTGGCTGGTAGAAGCTGAAGCGGTCCACTCAGAGACGACGCCCGTCGCCTCGGTTGGCTTTTGGTGCCTTTTTTATGGAGTCTCTCTAGTTCTTGGCCCTCGAGCCCTGGAAATGACGTAGTGGAGCGGGTCCTTTTTGGGCCGGGCGAGGAATTTGGGGGTCCAAACCCCACAGCTTCAAGGACGTGGGCAGGCTAAAGGCTGATGCCTCTGGAATAGATAGATAAATAGTTAGATAAGGAGTATGTATGTATCCCCGAAATGAGGCGAATCATCATTTCTCGCGGTGTGGGTGTGGTGAGAGAAGCAAGAGAGACAAGAAGACTGTGGCTGGATCGAGGCGCGCCAGTGTCCGGATACATTGTGGCTGGTAGAGACAGCAATGGGGCGCGCCCGTTGCAGTTGGGGTTCAGGGGCGGAGCGTAGATGCGAACCGGTCTGGGCACAGCACCTGCCAGCTTGAGGCGGTACATACCAGTAATTACCTTAGTAGGTCACTGTACAATTTACTGTCGAGAATCGATGGCCCATGAGCACGACTATCACTATAACTACCTACCTACCTACCTGCCTACCTACCTGCCTGCCTGGTCACTGGCAGATGTTGGGTATGAGGAAACAAGACAGAAAAACGGCTTCACACGAGACCCTGCCACCTTTTCCAGTCTTTTTCCCCATGCACACGATCTAGACTCATCTTGTCTCTGGGCCGGGGCTACTATCTCATAGATGGCCTCGCGTGTTGGCGGAATTCTGGCGCTGGTGCCCTTGTACCTAGGTAGGTGTACGGATCCTCGCCCCTTTCAACGTCTCGGTGGCGTGTTTCCCCCTCTTCTCTCTGTAGCGGGCGCTTGTAGGTCAACACCAGCGTGTCCGCCTTTTTTTTTTTCCAAACTCAAAAGAAGCGAAATAAATAAAACTAGACGTTCTCACTACTCAGTACCATCCTCTTGCAGAGGTCAGTGCAGTGTCCATTTTCTCCTGCCGACTGGCAACCTGACAGACAACTCTCCCTCCTCCATCACCCTGTCTTGCCCACCACCCATCTAACTTAGTATCTGGTGGGTGCCTGGGCCTCGTCTCGTCCCGAAATCCCGCTTCGGCGCGCCTCACAGTGCGAGAGACTGTAACTACTAAGCCAGCCTCAAGCCGGCTCCTGTGATGGCCAGGGATGATGGCCTGGCACCTCTCTGGGAGCGACCCACCAGGACAGCAGCTGGGCACCGGGCTCACCTTTTAGTTATTTATTAGCGGCAGTCGATCGATTTGTCGTATTGTATGGCGCAGTGCGGTATTGCCGTAGTTCCAAGTACCTGCTCCGTATCCCGTATTGGTCAAGTGCAATTGTGGTCTTGCGCAAGTCTGGATACGCCACTACTGCTGTGTGGGCACCCCGGTGCCTCGTTGCATGGCGACGGGTAAGGCTTGGTCCTGCTAGGTTTCTAGTCATGCGAAATCTTCAATATATGTATGTTGTTTGAAGAGGCGCATCTGATTGCTGGTTCAGCAATGCGGCAAGCAGGTCCCTGGTCGCTTAATAGGTACCTAGGTACCTAGGTACTTGTGTCTGCACCAGGCTGATCTTAGCCCGCGTTCCTTCTCGGCGGTAATGCTCCGCACCAGGTGCCTACTAACAAATCATAGGAGAGAAAAAACCACCACTAGCATACAGGTCCTGACTGTGTCCAGCCAGCAGCCTTGTTTGATTCAAGAAAGTGAAGAAAGAAAAAGAAAGCAAATGACTCGATGGGCTAGCTAGGTACCTACCTACCTATGTACCTACCTGGTACCTACCTACCTACATACATAGGTACCTGGTACGTACGTACCTACCTGTACCTACTAAATGAACCTGATTTCTCACTAACCACATCTCGCACAGTGCCAATGTCACACATGCCCTTTTCGCACAGTACTGCCCACAGGTAGGCCGCTAGGTACCTCACCCGCGCGCCGCCGCCTTCCCTGTTCCTACCTCCCGGTACTGTAGCCAACCACTGTGAAGAGCCGCAGACAGAGGCCATTTCACTGTCCACTGCCTGCTGCCCACCCGCTACAGGCTTCTTCCACAGCGTGGAACCAGCGGCGCCGCGCGATCGCTACAGCCTCCCTCTTCTCTTCCCTTTCCCCTTCGCCTTTTGTCATCTGCCGCCATTTCTCACATCACCATCCCAACAAAGGCCACGCCGTCTTCTCCAGGGCTTCCTTCCGACATTGCCTTTTGGCACCCCTCTCCTTTGGCTTGCCCGACGCCAGAGTTCTTGCGCTGCCTTTTTTTTCCTTCGTGTTGGGTCGCTCACCCACACACTAAACGCACCGAGCACCTCCTCATTCCCTCCCTGCTCTCCGCCCAATCGCGCGCACCTACTTCCCTTCCCATCGACATCGACACCGACACCGACTCAACCCACCCATCGCCTCCCGACCTACCCTCCTTTTGCTACTCTTACCAGCCGAAGGATGCGATCGTGCTAAGTGTGCATTGCGCACCTTGTTTCGGCCTGTCGTTTTTTTTCCTCCTCTGTCGACTCCCTGACCGTCTAGGTAGTCCGCATAGGCCTCTGCTGCTCTCGACCTGAACCGCCCACGAATCCCCATACTGACGAGGTGGTATTCGTACCAAAGCCACTGTCGCCGCCATAAAACATTTCACTTCCCTCCATTTTCAGCCTACCGACACTCGCCCGTTTCTCTCCCAACTGCGGCTAAGCAGTCTCACCCGACGACATGGTTGACGACGCGGTCCTCGCCGCGGCTGCCCAAGTCGTCTCCTCACTTGCCGCCGATGCCAAGACGGCCTCGTCCCTGACCGTCACCCTTGGGTCCAAGATTAAACTCCCTGGAGATGATTCCCCCGCCAAGCAATATTTCGAGATTGAGCTACAAAAACTCGCTCTCAGAATCGATCAGCTAGAGCGGAGGGCCGCCACTGCGCCTCCTGCTTCCCTCCCCGAAACGCCAAACGAAATCAACGACCCTGTCTTTGGCGATGATCCTACCATTTCCCCCGCCGTTCGCGCCGCCAAGGCGAAGCTGCTCCAAGCTCACCCTGGCTTGCTGGAGGGCTCTCGTTTCACGGGCCATATCACAAAGCAGCAGCTCGAGGGCCTTCGCGACCATGTCGATGGCCAGTCCAAGCTCCTTGACAACCAGCGTAGTGAGCTGGCCGGCGTCAATGCTCAGCTCATGCAGCAGAAGCACCTTCAGGAGCGTGCTCTCGAAGTCCTTGAGCAGGAACGCGTCGCCACCCTTGAGCGAGAACTATGGAAGCATCAAAAGGCCAACGAGGCCTTCCAAAAGGCTCTCCGTGAAATCGGTGAAATTATCACCGCCGTCGCCCGCGGTAATCTGACCATGAAGGTCCGCATGAACACCGTAGAGATGGACCCCGAAATTACCACATTTAAACGCACCATCAACGCCATGATGGACCAACTGCAAATCTTTGCATCCGAGGTCTCCCGCGTCGCCCGTGAAGTCGGTACCGAAGGTTTACTTGGTGGCCAGGCCCGCATTGGCGGCGTTGATGGAACCTGGAAGGAACTGACCGACAACGTGAACGTCATGGCCCAGAATCTCACCGACCAAGGCAAGTATTGTATACCCCAGTATCGCAACGTCACTCCATTTTAACCTACCCCAGTGCGAGAAATTGCCTCCGTCACCACGGCCGTCGCTCACGGTGATTTGACCAAGAAGATTGAAAGACCCGCTCGTGGAGAAATCCTTCAACTCCAGCAAACCATCAACACCATGGTAGACCAGCTCAGAACATTCGCCTCTGAGGTCACACGCGTGGCCAGAGACGTCGGCACCGAGGGCATCCTCGGCGGTCAAGCCGATGTTGGGGGAGTCAAGGGCATGTGGAACGACTTAACCGTCAATGTCAATGCAATGGCCAACAACCTGACGACTCAAGTACGTGACATTATCAAGGTCACGACGGCTGTCGCCAAGGGTGATCTCACCCAAAAGGTTCAGGCCGATTGCCGAGGCGAAATCTTCGAACTCAAATCCACCATCAATTCCATGGTCGATCAGCTCTCCCAGTTTGCTCGCGAAGTCACGAAAATAGCTAGAGAAGTCGGTACCGAAGGCCGACTTGGCGGACAGGCCACCGTTCACGATGTCGAAGGCACATGGCGTGATCTCACCGAAAACGTCAACGGTATGGCCATGAACCTCACAACCCAGGTGCGAGAAATCGCAAAGGTTACTACGGCCGTCGCCAAGGGTGATCTCACAAAGAAAATCGGGGTCGAGGTCCAGGGTGAAATTTTGGAGCTTAAAAATACAATCAACCAGATGGTTGACCGTCTCGGCACCTTTGCCGTCGAAGTCAGCAAAGTTGCCCGCGAAGTCGGTACCGAAGGAACCCTCGGTGGCCAGGCCCAGGTCGCCAACGTCGAAGGCAAATGGAAAGATCTCACCGAAAATGTCAACACCATGGCTTCCAACCTCACAGTGCAGGTCAGAAGCATCTCAGCCGTCACACAAGCCATTGCCAACGGCGACATGAGTCGCACCATTGATGTCGAAGCAAACGGAGAAATCAAGGTTCTGAAAGAAACCATCAATAACATGGTTGGTCGACTCTCGAGCTTCTGCTACGAGGTGCAGAGAGTAGCAAAGGATGTGGGTGTTGACGGCAAGATGGGGGCCCAAGCCGACATTGCTGGATTGAATGGACGATGGAAGGAAATCACAACAGACGTCAACACTATGGCTGCTAACTTGACAACTCAAGTACGCGCCTTCTCCGACATCACAAACCTAGCAACCGACGGCGACTTCACCAAGCTCGTCGACGTTGAGGCATCCGGCGAAATGGACGAACTGAAGCGCAAAATCAACCAAATGATTTCAAATCTCCGAGACAGTATCCAGCGAAACACTCAAGCCAGAGAGGCCGCTGAACTAGCCAACAAGACCAAATCCGAATTTCTTGCCAACATGTCTCACGAGATCAGAACGCCCATGAACGGTATCATTGGCATGACTCAACTTACCTTGGATACCGACTTGACACAATACCAGAGGGAAATGCTGAATATAGTCAATAATCTTGCGAACAGCCTCCTGACCATTATTGATGATATCCTGGACTTGTCCAAGATTGAGGCCAGGAGAATGGTTATTGAAGAGATCCCGTATACGTTACGTGGAACCGTTTTCAACGCGCTCAAGACTCTGGCAGTCAAGGCCAACGAAAAGTTCCTCGATCTCACCTACAAGGTCGACAGTTCTGTCCCCGATCACGTTGTTGGCGACAGCTTCCGTCTTCGACAGATTATTCTCAACCTTGTGGGCAATGCCATCAAGTTTACCGAACATGGTGAGGTAAGCCTCATAATAAAAAAGAGTACCTTGGATGAGGAAGTCGGACCTGGCCAATATGCTATTGAATTTGTCGTTGAAGATACGGGTATCGGCATTGCTAAGGATAAGCTGGACCTCATTTTCGACACTTTTCAGCAGGCCGATGGGTCCATGACTCGCAAGTTTGGTGGCACAGGTCTCGGTCTGTCCATCTCCAAGAGACTAGTCAATCTGATGGGCGGTGACCTATGGGTCAACAGTGAGTCTGACAGGGGTAGTCAATTTCACTTTACCTGCCGTGTCAAGCTCGCATGGGATGACACCGAGAGTCTTTACAAGCAGCTGCAGCCCTACCGCGGCCACCAAGTTCTTTTTGTCGACAAGTCTCAATCTAGCTCGGGTCTCGAGATCCGTGCCATGCTGGAGCAGATTGGCATGCACCCGGTTGTGGTCGATTCGGAGAAGAGCTCTGCCCTGACAAGACTCAAGTCTGGCGGCGCCCTGCCGTATGATGCCATACTCGTCGATTCCATCGAGATGGCGCGAAGACTCCGTGCCGTTGATGACTTCAAGTACCTCCCCATTGTTCTACTTGCCCCAGTCGTGCATGTCAGTCTCAAGTCGTGCCTAGACCTGGGTATCTCCTCTTGCATGACTACACCATGTAAGCTGATTGACCTGGGCAACGGTATGATCCCTGCACTGGAGAACCGCGCAACGCCAACCCTGGCCGACAACACCAAATCGTTTGAGATTCTGCTGGCCGAAGACAACACTGTGAACCAAAGGTTGGCTGTCAAAATTTTAGAAAAGTACCACCACGTCGTCACGGTAGCGGGCAATGGTTGGGAGGCGGTTGAGGCCGTTAAGGAGAAGAAGTTTGATGTCATCCTGATGGATGTTCAGATGCCGATCATGGGTGGTTTTGAAGCCACCGGCAAGATTCGAGAGTACGAGCGCAGCATGGGCTCACATCGTACACCAATCATTGCTTTGACTGCTCACGCAATGATGGGCCATCGCGAGAAGTGTATCCAAGCTCAGATGGACGAGTACCTGTCCAAACCACTCCAGCAGAACCAGCTCATCCAGACTATCCTCAAGTGTGCGACCCTCGGAGGGCCGCTTCTCGAGAAGAACCGCGAGCGTGAGCTACTCGCCATGCAGGCGGATGCAAACTCGTCGCTACACAAGGAGGATAGCGGACTGCTGCGTCCAGCCATGGAGAGCCGCTCCTTTACGTCGCGCGAGACGATAAAGGCAAAAGAAGCGGCCGCGTCCAACGGCGAGGCAAGCTCGTCAAGGCAGGACGCGATATCGATAACACGTCAAGAGATGGCTGATACCCGGAGACTTTCCAACTAGAGCGATGGAGAGCACCCCGACGATGTTTGACATGATGTGCGGAATCCGATTACGACCAAGGGGGTTTTCCATCTCACTTTTTCATTTTATGTTTTTTGCTTGATAGGCAGCATGGCAAAGCGGATAGTCTCTTATCATTGCAATGGCGCTTCTCAAAGGCTGTCGATACGAAGCTCCACGAACTCTTGGCCACGCTGAACGACGATGCCACCTAGGAGGGTCACTGGAACTTTGGAAGGCCTTGAAGCAACGACTTTTTTTCTATTGTATTTTAACTCTTGATTGTTTCGGTGTTTGTGGAACTGGTGGCTATGGCGGCTACGATGCATAATCACCTTCGAGCCAAGGAGAAGGAGAGAAGAGGGATACAGAGCAAGAAATACGAAGCGGCGGGCCACCCGGGATGGGAAGGAAATGCAACGGGACAAGGAATTTGGCTGTCCATTTGGCATGAGAGCGAGATGTGCTGGTGACGGATGGGGGGTGTTGGCATTTGGCATTTCATACTCTTTTCCCTCTTTGTTCCCTTGTTACCCTCTGTTTCTATTGCAGTTTTTAGTGTGCTTTTTTTTAGGTGCGTGCGTCTGCGTTTGTTTTTATCTGCCTTTTTGTTCCATGGTAGGCTCCTGTATGCTGTCGTTCATTCTTCTACACTACAACTGGTCCTTTTTTGCTCGCATATTCCAAGACTGCTTCTCTTTCTTCCCTGTCTCGCGCGCTTCTTTGCTTTCTGGTATAAGCTGATAAAAGTAGCCCCTCCCTCTTTTTGCCCATGAGGCGTCCGTCATGGTTGCAGTAGACGGCAGCATTGGCAACATCACTTTGAAGCTCAACTTTTATACATTATTTTTGATTCGTCATGGACCAAGAGTTCGTGGATCTATATGGTTGTAATCATGATTGCTTGATGAGGTTATGGCTTTCTTTCTTGTTTGTATTTACACAAAATAGAGATAAAAGGGCATATTTTTAGGGATCGTTGCTGTTACCATTGCTTGCTGAGCTCGTTTTGCCGCCGCTGCCGCTTTCCTCGGTTGCTGTCGCGGCGGCCTGCTGCTCGGACGGGCCGAGTATGGCATCGAGCTTGTTCTCGAGGCTTGTGAGCTTCCTCTCGAGGTCGGACATGGCCTCATCGCCCCTGTAGCCTGCGTTAGCCTCCCTCTCGTCCAGATACGATGGCTCTCTATCCTTCTCCCCGCCAAAAGGGGACGAAAAGAAGACGAAAGAGTACATAGCGCATGGAAATCAATCCTTGGCAGAGGGTTTACTTTGCTTGTTTTCTGTTTCTGATACGCGCATTTGGATCGCCCCCGCACAAAAAAGGCAGACTTACTTGACAAGTGCTTGGTAGGCCTGAATCACAGGTTAGTTTTATTCCTGTCTGCTTTTTTCTTCTTTTGCCCGAGTTCAACTCGGCATGTCGGCATAACAGGGTTGAGCACGCACCGATGCGATATCTTGTTGAGACTTGAACAGCGCCGTCTGCGTCCCCTCCTGGTTGCCTTCCGTTGTCATGTTTGGGATGTCGTGTGGTTTTTACAGGTGCCCGTGTTCTGCTCAGCCGGGGTTATTCGAGGGCAGGTATCTATGCCAGTTCGCGCAAGGGATTGGTGCGTTGGGTAATGAGAGTTGCCAAGTTGCCAGCCCTTCTAGTGTTTTGGCAGAATATCTCACGTGACGCTACAGCATAACCGTGTTGGTCAGTTGTTTTTCAACCAACGAATTTCAAAACCGAGGAGCGCGGCGGCACATGAAGAATCAAATTGCAAAGAGAGAAAAAAAAAAAAAAAGAATGGTCAAAAATGTACAACACCCGGGGTTCGCTGGTCGTCACCGAACCAACTACTAATCTGGCGCTCAAGTGGTTTTCAATCGGAGATCGGACGGGATCCAGAATTTTCACTCGGCTATGGTCGTACATGCTAGAAGAATGAGCTCGTTTATCTTGTAAACGGTATTGAAAAGATGTTTGAGCCTCTTCTCAGGCCACGGCCTACTTCTAAGCCCTCAAGAGACCTGGGGACTAAACTGGAAGTCCAAGAGACTCGCTTCTTAAAATCATGGAACCTACCTTGTATCCTCGAGCCTAGAGAACGATGGGCCATGGTCTCACGATGCCATCTTCAATTGAAGTCACCCTACAGCTCGGGCGACTCGAAGAATGAGGTGTCTGCGGACTTGGAAATACTTTAATTGATCCCTAGCTACGGGAAGTCCGAGGACAACATCATCGACGCGGCTGGCTTTGGTTCTAGATGGGTCGTGCAGAGGGGCATGTGGGCGCACACACCCAAAACCGATGGCTTTCGGAAATGATGGATGACAGATCTCGATGCAGACGTTTGCTCCTCGTGCCTGTCTAACCATGCTGGGACTTGGGGCGAGGCGTTCGGGCTGCTACGATTGGGATGGTGCTGCAAGCCAAGGCAACATACTCCATTATTTTGGTGGCGGGGTGAAGAGAAAAAGGATAAAAAAAAGCATGAATAACTAATAGAAGAATGGGATGACAGCCGTCCGACGAAATTGTTACACGGACCTCCTCGTCTTTCGATTTACGGCATCGAGCTGTGTCATGCCCGTTTATGTGTGAGGGCACGGGAGGCGTGAAATTTAGGATACGAGAGAGAAGAAAAAAGCCTGAATCGTGATGGCGAGCGCATCGAGATGTTTGGTATCGCTTGGCTTGGAGGGCCGGTGGCGGGTGGCCAGTTGCCTATCTTTTTGTGGTTTCGAACGATCAACGATCCAGGACGTCAGGATGGCGGAGGAGCCGAGACAGGTCGCGAGTTGCCGACTGTGCTCCCTGGGCGACGTTTGCGTTGGATGTGAAGGTCTAGTTGATTCCAGTGTTGCTCAGCAATGTACAGATTAGTAATTAAATAAATGAAGGGTGTATGGGAGCGGCTGGCTGAACATGGCCAAAACTCTTGTTTTTTTGTCTTCAATTTTGCGTTTGGTTGTACGGGGTATGCGTTTGTGTTCCGTGTCACGGAGAAAAGGGTAAACCGGGTAGAAGCACAAAGCCGGGGGGACAAGGTGGTCCATGCCAGAAACTTTCGGCGGGAACGCGGCGGGCGTCCAAAAGAGCCGTCGATGAAGGTGGAAATAGTCGATCGCCGTAGCCCGGTATGGGAGGGAGGGGGTGGTGAGAAAAGAAGAGGGGTCGGCGGTCGGTCGTTTGCCTTGTCAACGGGCGACCTCGTTAGCTGCAAGGTACCAGTACGCATTCTGCCTGTAGAATTAATATTTTGCTCTGGAAAAAAAGAAGGAGGTGCTTCTCTCAAGTTTTTGCTGTTATAGGTACATACCTGTTAGTTTGTGTGGTTAGCTTGCGGTTAGACTCGGATTCTGGTACAACGCTGAATGTCGCATGATGTCAGGACGGATGTGGTGGAAGCGCTAGAGATCAGTGAGTCAATCCTAGGTTACCGAGGAAAAAAGGTGAACTGTTACATACATAGCGGCCGCTGAAACGTGTTAAAAAAAATAGTAGTCAATATCAATGTGATGTGAACACGGCGACGGACGGTACAACGACTTGAGGAGGAGTCAAGGGCAAGCTGCTTACAAAGCGCAAAGTACTGATAATGTTTAATAATTATGCAAGATGCGAACCTGTAGGCGTTGTACTCTGTGAGGGCCGACTTGCATGAGTACCTATGTGGTGGTATCGACTGACTCAACAGTCAACACTAGAGAGAGGCATGCATAATGTCAGAAAGCCGGTAGTGCACATCGAACATTAAACATGTCACTTTTTCTTTTCATGCAGGTTGCGCGTGGCCAATAAGAACAGAAGGGCGTGGCTAAAATGTGGCGATTCAACAAAGGTTGCGACGGGTCATGAGCAGCAACATGAGGCCATTCAGCCGCTAAAATAACGGTTGAAGGGGGAGCCCAAGAGCCGTTGGGATTGACTAAAACGTTAGTGAGTTAAAACCGTGCTGGTACGAGGTGAGGGTCGGAGGGGTGCGGGACGAGAAGGGGGCGGCGAGATGGATGCTTTTGGCATCATGCCAAACTACTACTACGGTGCGGTTGTAGTTATTTACCATGGAGTCCTTGACTGTAATGTGAGCGAGCGACCAGAGGCGAAAGATGCTATGATGAGTGGGCAAGCTGTTTTCATCCTGCAGTCTCTCCAACTTGTCGCTGGACTCGGTAACTAACTGCTACGCCAGTATGACGGATAATTACGACAACGAATTACTGGTACGTTAGCTGAGCACACACGCCCTCGACACTGCGCACACACCCCTGAGCCTCGGGGACACAGAGCGGGGGCACCATTTCACGAATCACCATGGCACTTCTCGATGTCCACGCCAAATGCTCGATCCGAGAGGCACCAGTGGATGGGCACGGCAGACAACTAGTGCCACTTTTTGCTGGGGGTTTTCATTTTTTCATGGCTTCCGTGGTCATGCCAAAGACGAACCCTCTCTTTCATCACCCAATTCTTGATGAATGTCGTGTTTTTCATCCCCCTGTGGTTGACTCGTTGGTACCCTGAAAACGAAAAGCCCTGGGTGAGACTTTTTGCCCCCCCCCTCTCTCTGGCGCACTCACACACCCACTCTCTCAACTCACTCACGCCATCTCGCTTCGCACATGCATACCGAGTTGACATGTGCCTGAATTCTTCTTGGCTTCTTGTCGGCAACGTGTAGCACCAGGCATGCAGTTCGCCTGCGCTGCGTCTTTTCGAGAGGTGGGCTCACCAGCTGCCTAATTAGCCCCGCGACATCGAGATCGCGGTCATTGTAGAACCGGCCACCACCCTCCTTTTAGTTACCTCACAAAGGCCTGCCAATGACAAGACGTCTTGTTTGTTGTTTTTGCCCAAAAAATAGGGCAAATGACCCGACCAAGCTAATACCTGCCACATCACTATAAACTGCTTCCGGATACTTGGGAGCCTGAAAGAAGGAAGAAAAAATCAACCGCTGGCGCGGCTCAACAGCCTAGTTATCAACTGCTTTACTTATTGCCGAAGCGTGAGAGAATAGATGTGATATGCAAGTACTTTCGCCATTTCCGTTCTGCTGCAACACTACGTTATCATGATGAAATTCATCGCCGATCACGGATCGTCAGCTCCTACTTTCCAGCAGAGTACACTACGTGTCTCACTCCCCGAGGTCGCTTCCTCGTTTCTTTTTTTCTTTCTTTCTTTTTTCTTTCGAGCCGGGCCGCACCGCGTGGGTGGTGCTTGTGAGACAAGACAATGGCGCGACTCTGGTTCAACGATTGACATGTGCAGCTTTATTAATTACTACCGGTGTCGAGCTCTTCCGCCGTCAGCAAGCCTGCAGTCAAGCCAAATGCAGGCAAGATGAAGTGGAAAAAAATCGGAATTGTAGCTGCCTTGAGGCGGTCCGACGTCCTAACCTAATAACGATGCCTCAAGACATACCGCGGGTTCGGCATGTTCTAGCTTTTCACCATGCCACTGATAATTATTAACTAGCAGCTACTGGCAAAAGCCATGTCTGACAAGGGGCCCAGTCGCGGGTGTGTGGTCATCGACGATGGCCTGGCGCGTGCTGCTTTATTATCCGTCCTAGAAGACAATTTGGCAGCTTGGTATTCTGTAACTAGCGGAACAGGTGAGCCTCGCACAAAGATGGCGAGAAGGAGGGGGGCAACGGTGAAGCTGAATTATCCATCTGTGCATTGTTTGCGCATGTCATTCTGAGCCGCAACTGGGTGACACGGCCATTTTCGTCGGCGTCATTTGCATTACCTTTGCCACCACAGGGCACAGATGCTTTTTGTTAGGCGTCGTCATAGGTAAAGCTCTGGCGACGGTTTCTCAAGTTCGGGTGCCCGAGATGATATCCTGTCATGCCTGAAAGTCTTCTCCTGCTTGAAGCCTACTCACTGCTTGCCTGTGCCTGCTTTGTCCGTGATGCCACGAGGTGCTGCTTCGGCAATGGGGTCGTGCCATGACCCAGATTGACGTCCTCTTGTGATTTGCTGGCTTCACCGGGGCTGGCTCCGTGAGTGCGTCGTTCGTTAGCCGTTATTAGCTCAGGGCGCCAACAGCGTCGTGTGGGGGGTTTGTGGGTTGGGGCGGGGGGAGGCGCTGTTGCTCCGGCTTACGGTATTGGCGGTGATGTCTCTCTCTATCTTGTTGTCAGTAACTAGGTAACTACTTGTAGTTATTAGTTAGACTATCAACTGTGGATTGGTTGTTCAATACACAGCTAGTTAGACAGAGTGTTTAGCTCGTTATTCTTGGTCTTTACTTGCATGACCGCCGCTGGCTCATTTATTTCGACGTTGGTTTTCCCGTCATTCTCGTTCTCTTTGACTCTTATACTTTTGCTTTTCTTTACGTGCTGGCCCTCTGATCGCTCACTTTTCAGGCACGATAAGCAGCTCTAGAATACAAGGCGAATGCCGTTCATGTTAAAAATAATAAATAAATAAATAAATATCCAGTTACGAGTTTCTTTGTGGGTGTTCTCCATTGTGCTCTGTATGTATATGCGCACCAACTCACTAGTTAGACCAACGGAAACGGAAACTGGAGCTGCACGGGAATGCGGACGTTGTGAGCAACACGTCCGGAATAAAAAGGTTAGTAACAACATTGGGGGGTGTTGTTATTAACATGTCTTCGTCCGCTATTTATCTGCAATTGCAATACTGATAGAGAGATGGCACCATACACTGACCAGGACGTCTCAGACGCTGGGGTTGGTTTTATCCAAGCAGGCAGACGCGAGGCCACCAGCGTTGGAGCCTTGCAGTCGAATAGCATGGCCAAGAGCCAATATGCTGATAGGGCTTGCAGTAAGAATGGCTGCATTTTATGTTACTTGAGTGCAGCAACAGAAGAGGTAGCTAGAGTGAAACGGCTGTACCAATTAGTTACGTAGTAAGTGTTACTTCCGGGTAGGTATCGGGTGAGGTAGTGGCAGCCCACTCTGAAGCTGGAGACAGACGTAGCAAAGAGCGCCTTTCTTTTTTCTGTTCCTTTTGCAATTGTGGTCTGGACGGTTGAATGGAAAAGAACATGTTATTTTAGAGGTAGACTTGCCTCGCATTGCAGATTCGCTAAGCAAACGCCTTGCCAGCTGCCATGATAACATGACTGGCCGCAACAAACGGGCTTGGTAGGCAACGAAACTTGCAGCTGGCCGCTGGCTGGCAACTGGCAAACGCAGAAACGCAGGTACATACTGACACCCGCTCACTACACACACCCCTCCTCCTTCTTCCGCCCCCCTTTCTAGCTTCCACCAACCTTCCAATCATGCCGCCCGCTCAACTGGGACAACTGGGACTGGCCACAGCTCATGGAGCTAAGCAGGCTTGACCAGTAGGCTAGCGGCTACAGGGGCAGGCTACCCTCCAGGTAACAGTAACTAACAGTCGAGCTTCCCAGAGGTCTACAGGTCTACAACCGCTTGAACGCTTCTACCACCCGTTGCCTGCTGGGCCAGCCAGGCCTCCCTCTGGCCTCGTCCTCGTCGCCGGCTTCTGCTCTTCCCACCAACTCGGCGTCCAACGTCGTCTTTTCCCTTTCTTCCAATTGCCCGCCGTCTCTTTTCATCTTCATCCTCCATCCGCCATCTCCCGCTGCCCGACTCCTTGCCATTGCGCATCCCGCCCTCTCAACCATCACCGACTCTCTTGATGCCCGTCGTTTCTCCACCAAGCACCCGACTTTCTCACAATCCGGCTCTCGTCTCTTTCCCAGAACCGAAATCTCGATTGTCTCGCCCAAATTGCTGTCTACTCTCTGCGCACTCTCCACACACCACACCAGCCTGAGATCGCCAGTGCTCAACTGCGTCACACTTACCATAACTTTCCCACTAGCAACCTCCAAAAACGGGCTCCCACTAAATAACCACCACACCCGCACCCGCCAGCTAACGCGCGCGCCCTGTCCTCGATTTCATATTCACTATCATTACACCACAACAGCGACTCACGTCTCTCAACTCACTCCCCGCTCTCTCATTCATTATCCCTGGCTCTCACTCACCTCCGCTTACTCTTCATCCTCATCGACGTCGCCTCTCATCGCCAACTTCCCTTCGTCATCTTTACGACCGTTCTCAACGCATTCTTGACGTCATTTCACTCGAACCAACCGTGCGTGCCTCACACTGATCATCAAACGGCCACCAGCGCTCGCCTCCAACCAACAATTCTTGCCACAAGGGCGCTCCATTGTCGCCTGCCTCGGATCCATTACTGACAATCGTGTACATATCTCAAGCCATTAAACGCGCCTCACCCACCCCTCAACCCTCCAACAACATATGCACCCACTCTGCACTGCTTTTGTCCATATCGTTATTTTGCCTCTAAATGCCGGCCATTGATATATCATCTCTACAACAACCTCTCAACATAGATCCCACGATCTGGTGAAGGACGAGCACCCTTTCTGCTACCCATACTCAATAAATCGACTGCATGCCTCGACGGCTCGAGTCCGTTTTTGCCGAGCTGGGCCTCGCCCAATACCTCGATGCATTTGTCGATCAAGGTTTTGACTCCTGGGAGACCATTCTTGACATCCAAGAGTCTGACCTCGATGCACTTGGTGTCAAGCTCGGCCATCGACGAAAACTTCAAAGGCGTATTGCCAATGCTAGGGGGATCGCCCCTAGTGTCTCTCTTGTCTCTACGCTGAAGTCTGGGGCGGAGGATGCCAGGCAGCAACAGCTCAGACGGGAGTGTGCGACACGCTCCGAGGCCGGTTCCGAGCCAACCAGCGGCGTAACCAAGAGAAAATATCGGCGTCATCCAAAGGTACGTGTCTGGCCAACCTTCCCTGTATGTTTGCCGTCTAACTTGTCGCAGTCGGATGAAAACGCCCCCGAGAGGCCTCCTTCCGCCTATGTTCTGTTTTCAAATAGTATGCCTTGCCCCATCGTCGTTACACTATCGTTCACTAACCACATGTTCTGCAGAAATGAGAGAAGATCTAAAGAGCCACAACCTCTCCTTTACAGAAATTGCTAAACTTGTTGGAGAGAATTGGCAAAACCTGGACCAAGGCGAGCGAGAATTGTATGAGAACCAGGCCAATGCCGCCAAGGACAAGTATCGACGAAGCCTTACCGAATATAAAAAGACTCCAGAACACCGCAGATACGCTCAGTATCTCCAAGAGTTCAAAGACAAGCAGAACAAACACAGCCAAGGCTCGAAGGCTCACCTTTGTAAGAACCTAGCCTCACATTTTGACCTTCCACATTCATTCACTAACTCCAACACAGCGACAGACACCTCAAAAAGGCAAAAGGTTGATTCAAAGCGCGAGCCTGGTCGACTTCGGCATGACAGCAGCCATGGAAGCACTACTAGCGGCGGCACCAACGGTACACCACTGTCCAGCGCCGCCTCGGGGACAGCAAGTGGGAACAGCAGCGAAAGATTGAGAGAGAGCGAGCCGCCACCTTACCGTCGCCGCCGAGTCGATTCGATTGCTTCGATTGCCGAGTCGCAGGTATCTTCGACTGCGCCAACTGCCCTTTCGCAAAGAAATTCCCTCGATGAGAATGGCCTCTCGCCACGTAACTCTCATCTTGATGGCAATAGCCCCATTGACGGCCGACACTCGCAGCACGCTGCCATGTGGTATGATCGCTCAAATCATTCCGACTCCTCCAAGATGCCTCAGCAATTGCCATCACTCTCGGATATGCTCGACAAGGACAACCGTCAAGGCATCAGTGGACGACTCCCCCCTGCCGGCTCACCCACGATGGGTATGGGCTCACCCGTTGCCTACCCCGTGGAAGATCTAGTGAGGCGCTCAGGAGGATCAAAACTGCCCGATTCCCGTCCGACTGGCGACAGCGCGCTACCTATTCATGCGCTGCTTTCCAGCCAAGCGTCACCAAACCCGCTATACGCCAAAGCCCCTCTAAGGAGCTCTAATATGCCCCTGAGCAAGGATGCGCTTGAGCACCCTCAGGGACCGCCTGGTTATGGTATGTTGTCAACATTGCCCATAGGTCCTGCCAACTGTTACTAATGTTTCTTTCAGGATTTCTGTCCAACTCGCCAACATTTCGCCATATGAAGACGGAGCAGTCCGGAGATGGCGATGTTGTTATGACGACGGAGCGATCCCCTCCTAGCGCTGGCGAGAAGGGCCGCTTCGATGGCATGAGCGCACTGCTTCAAGCTGGCGAAATCGTTGGTCGTCGAGGTAGCCGCCGCTAAAATTGAGCATCGCTACCGATGCCCGCCACCATTTTTGTTGATCTTGACATGTACCAAGCCAACACGCCCACCATACTTGTACTGTTGAACTCGGAAGTTACGGCGTTCTTCTTTTTGATATCTTGCTGGATGCATGAATACGGAGTTTTGGTTGATACGTTTCCTTTCAGTGGATGCCCTTGCGAAAAACTTGCAGGTAGCATCTCGGCGGGCTTTGTTTTGCGTTCTCCCTTATCAACATTTTAGCGTAGAGTCCTGTTGGAAAATCTTCTCTTCTTTTTATTACTTTTGTCAATGTTGAGCACTGGGATTGGCCAATGACAATGTTTTGGGAGGAGGACTGAACCGGGAGGGAAACCGAGGGAACCTTTTCATTTCTTTCCTGTTGGCAGTGAAGCGCGAACAAGATTGAAAACATGCCGCGTCGTACCTGCGGCTAGCGGCTAGCTGCCAGCTAATGAATCTACAGAATGTATATAGCCAATCAATGACTTGAATGAACTTGCTTAGAGTCACTCGTCCTCTGAATACAAGTGTTGGTATGAGCGTTGCATTGACTAGAGCGTCACGTTACTGTCACTGGCTGGGCAATAATGCAAAACTCTGGATTGTAAAGGTTGGAATAAAACAAAATTTGCTCTCGTAACAAAAGACATTAAATGTTCGATAGATGTTCGTCACTGTACAGATGCCAGCTTCCCACCACTCCCGCGCCTGGTATAAAAAAAAGGTGTATATGATTTCGTCCCTGCGTCAACTCTCTCTCTCTCTCTTTTTTTATGTTCTCACGCCTCGCCCTCAATGACCTCCCTCAATGACCTCGGCGGTCCAGTCCTTGCGAATCTCGAGCTCTTTGAGGTCCTCGGTGGTGTTGATGATGAGGCCACGCTCGTTGGCGAGGTGGAGCAGGCTGATGAAGCAGTACGACGTGGAAATGTCATTCATGACGGGCTTGGGGTACACGCGCTGCAGGTTATTCATGACCTTGGTGAACTTGAGCGTCGGGTTCGTCGCCGCGTCCTCGGGCGGCTGCTGCGGCGGCTGCGGCTGCTGCTCGGAGAGGGAGCGGCGGCTGGCAGGTTCGGGAGGAGCCATGGCCGGTGGTGTCTGTGTGGTCATTAGTATATGTCGTTGCATGTTGGTAATTTTTTTGGGGGGGGGGGCTCGTGTGCTGTTTGTTGGCTTACCTGTAGCGCTTCAAGGCCCATGCCCTTCCAGATTTCGTCCTTTAAGCGGCGGATGTCGACCTTTTTGGCCACGCGCGCGTATTGCACATACTCCGGACGTACGCGCCTCGTTGCGGCGACGAGCGTGTCGCCAAATGCGCCCATGGGATTCGCCATGGTATCGCCGCCAAACATGGCCGTCACGCCGCCGACATTCTCCGTCATGCCCATGTCGGCCCCAGCCCCGGCTAGGTGCTCCTGAGCATCCGCAAACTCCATGTCGTCATCGTCATCATCATCGCCGCCGCCGCCGGGAAATGGTAGCGCGTCGTCTTGGAAAAAGTTGGCGTCGTAGTCGCCGCCGGGAAGCGCCGTCTCCTCGGGCGCCTTTTGCTGCGCCCAAAAGGCTTCGTCCAGCTCGCCCGCGGGCTGGTTGTCCATGTCGTTGGCAGAGCCGCCGCCAAACATGCGGCGCGCGCTCTGCGGGTTGCCGGTGCTGCGCTGGATCAGGCGCGCCTTGGGTTTGAGGAACAGGCTCAGCAGCGACTTGGAGTTGAAGTGCTTGTCGTCGGGCAGTAGGTTGCGTGATTTGGATTTCCAGTCCTTCTTGGCCAGACTAATGCTGGTGTTGCTCGCGGCTCGTGTGTAGAGGGCGTCGGTAAGGCTCGAATTGAGCGCGGAGCCAAAGTCGACTTCGAAGGGCTCCTTTTCCTTACGCTTTTTGGGCGCATCGCTACTAGGCTTATTTGTGTCTTTGATTTTGCGGATGCGCCAATGCTCGGCGCTCGTCCAGTTCTTTTGCAGCGCCTGGTCGAAGAAGCCTAGAATATCTTGGTGCATCTTCTCGGCGTTCTGGGGGTTGGATATGGAGATGACATAGTCGCCGTTCTCATCATATTCGTCCTCCTCAGCACCTTCTTCACCTGCCATGGGGTTATCGTATACACGCATTTGGGGCTGCAGCGCCGCATCTCTCGCCCACGCTTCACCACCCTCTCCAAAGGCAACATCATCGCCAATGTCAAAGCTGCCCAGGCCTAGGTCGTCATCGTCAAATCCCATGGGCGCGTCGCCGTCGATGAGCATGCCGGAGTTGTCGCCAAATGCGCCAGGCAGGCGGCCGTCTTCGTCTCCGCGCCAGTCCTCAGGGGCTTTGAGGAAGGGAATATCCATGGATCCGGAAGGGTCACCCAGCTCGAAATTCTTGAGTGAGGGACACACGTCAAAATCATCGAGCCGGCTCAAATTGGGGAAGTAGCGTTGTCGCAGACCAGTCAGGTCAATCTCAATATCTCGCGGGTCATCCTCCGGCTCAGGCTCCTCGATGCGAAGAGCCTCGACGTCACTTTGAAGTTGTGAGATTTCACTCTCTAGATTCTCCTCATCCTCATCGAGATCAACATTAACTTCCTCTTGGGCTTTATTTCCACCAGCGATACCCGGCGTGTCGGTGTCGTCACTGCTATCGAAGACGATGCGACCTTGTGAATCGATCATGAGATGGTTGAGGAGTAGGCCCTTGGCGCCGCCCTCGTCAAAGTCGGCAGACGCCTTCTTGAAGAGCGGATCGACGGAGAACTCGAGCTCAAACTTTTTGAGCTGTAGTGATGTGAAGGAGGGCGCCAGAGTGGCTTCGGATCGTTGTGACTAGAGTGTCTGGTCAGCAGGCGTGCGTCGCGCCGTCAGTTCGGCTGCGCCTTACCTTTTTCTTGGGCTTCTTCTTGACGTTACCATCTTCGTCTACTTCATCATCGCTCTCCTCACCGGTTCCACCTTCGCCGTCCGCCTTTTTCTTGCTGTTGCTGTCGGCCAAGCCACTGAGCAGCTTACCCGTCTCGGTCGCGACACTATCGACTCTGTTTGTGTAAATCTTGACGCAGCCATCCAGTGTACAACTGGCTTTCTGAAAATTGACACCGTCACCCTCTTTGAGTAGGGACATGTCGTGGAAGTAGTCGATGAGGGCAAAGTTCCAGGAGTTTGTGGCGTTGATCTTGTTATCGGTGGCCATCTTCATCCATTCCTCAAAGTTGGCAAGAATGGGAACGCGCTTGACGGGGGTGAGATTGACACCATTGATCATGATGGGGTCATCGGAAAGGTCAAGGCCACGCGAAGCACGTGGTGTGCCGGCGTTGGAACCTGGAGCTGCATTTTCAATGTCTTCGATCCCGAGGCTCGATTTGCGCGAACCGGAGGCGGCGGCCTTGAGTTGATTGATTTGCTTGTCGTGTAGGGCTTTTCGGGAATTGATGCGCTTGCCACGCTCCTCGGCATCGTCGTTGAGGGGAATCCTGTCTCGTGAGCGTCTTTTGTGAGTATTTGTTTGATGCGACGCGCGACCCCAGTGAGGGGCTAGATTGCTCTGCGACGCGAAATACTTACGAGTTGAGCGACCCCGACACGGATCTGGCGCTGCCGGAGCGCGGCATCTGGGCAACGCGAGGCATTCTGAGAGGGAGTGAGAGATTAGCCGTGGTGCAAGGTATGCCGGCCAAGAAGGGGCTCTTTGTCGCGTCTGGCCACTTGAAGTGGTTGTGGTGTTGCCTTGGGTTCCAGGCTTACCAACAAGTAAACAAAGTGCCCTTTCGGTAAGCTTCGTACACAGAGCGGAAGTGTGGCTAGTGCGTAAGAGGTGTGGCGCGCCATTATAGCCTTGGATCTCAGGCGCGAAGTCACCGTCACTCTCGTCTCAGCGGCGCCACACGTGAGTTGAGCCACAGGCAGCGCCAAGCACTGTGTTAGTTGTTAGTACAGCATGGTGGTGCCGGAGGCCGCTGGGCAGGGCACGCGAGAGGGGCCGTCTGAAGAGGTGTCCTGGAGAACGTTTTGATCTTGGCTGTCCGTGAATTTTTGATAATATATATATATATATAATGGTTGTCACTTTACAAACTATATTTCTAAAAAATCGGAGGAAAAAATCAACATCAAACTTCTGTTCAATTATGATCCCCATCCGCCTGAAGTACATACAGTACCTGCCTGGAGCTAAATATCTGCAGCCACACACCCATTTGCAAGGGCCAAAGCGCTGTAACATGGCGCCAGCTGCCCGCCACCGCCACCGGAAGAGTCCTAATTATTAAAACATCGGCTTAAATTGGACCAGTCCATCCATTACCTGATGCCAATGATCGCTCCACGACTGGCTTGCTCATCACGTCACAATCCGCGCAGCTTGAACTCTTGCATGAGAATTTGCTAGCGATACGGGGCCAGCTTCACCTGCCTCGCCGAAACCACGGGCTTGACGCATTGTGTTGTTGCATCTCTCGACTCTCCGCGTCACTGGCCCAATCCGTCACAATCCGAGATGCCGATGCCGCCACCATGGCTGCAGTCCTAGCTAGAGGCCGTCGACGCCTCAGCTCATGGCCCTTTGCCATCACGCTCCTGATCATCTCCATTCTCTCTGTATATTCGTTTTTTGTGCAAACACATCGCCGCACAGTGCCAGGAGCTCTAATCTCCGATCTCGCCCCTCACCTCGTGTCTCGGAGCGAGCACGCCGAACCGCAATGCCGAGACGTTCGCTTCGTCAAGGACCAGTGTGCCTTTGTCAAAAAATACTGCCGAGATGACGACGCCAGCCTCATATCCTACTTGGATCTTTACTACTGCAAGTTGAACCATGCCCAGCCGGTTGCCTTTGTCTTGATTGTCTTCTGGCTTGGAATGCTCTTCACCACCATCGGTATTGCTGCGAGCGACTTCTTCAGCATCAACCTCAGTACCATCGCCACCATTTTACGACTGAGCGAAAGCTTTGCCGGTGTGACATTCCTGGCCCTCGGAAATGGCTCCCCCGACGTATTCAGCACATTGGCTGCCATGGCATCTAACAGCGCTAGCATGGCTGTCGGCGAGCTGCTCGGCGCTGCCTGCTTCATCAGTGGTGTCGTCGCAGGATCCATGGCTCTCGTCCGCGAATTCAAGGTCGACAGAAGGTCGTACGTGCGCGATATCTGTTTTCTCATTGTGGCTGTCATTTTCACCATGATCTTCCTATCCGACGGAAGTCTGCATTTCTGGGAGTGTTGGGCCATGATTGCTTTTTACTTGCTATATGTGGCTACCGTTGTTGGCTGGCACTGGTATTTCTCTCGCAGAAAACTTCAGCTTCGTCGAGAAGGTGAAGCTCGCAGCCACTTCTACGGCTCCGCGAGCCAAGCTAGCGACGAATTGGCTGGCGAGCCATACCGCGACGATCCTGACGACCCTGACCGCACCCATGGCGCCCAAGAGCAACACAGACCTGACATCTCTACATTAGAAGCGGGCCCTCGCATTGAACTCGAGGGAGATGATTGGGAAGAGGCCGTCGACGAGCAGGCTCAAGACCATGAGAGAATGGTGGCTGCAGAAGTATCTCGAAGCATGCGTGTGTTGCGAACGAATCGACCCCGGAGGAATACCAAGACACCCATTAGACCCAGTCTTGTCGGCGCTTTAGAATTTCGATCTGCCCTGGCTCAATTGCAGCGTGAAAGTAACTGGCAACTTGCCAACATGCCTCGCCGCAGCCATTCCGACAACCATATTCCTCATCCACGACACCGCGGTGCCTCATTTGCCGATCTATCCGCCGTTGCTCACTCGCAACCGAATCCTCATTTCGATCCTAGTCCATATGGACGCGAGCGAGCCTTTTCAACGTCTACAGCACCGGGAGTAATCACCGAAGTAGAAGATGCGTCAAGCGACGGCGAGCCGGCGACAGAGCGATCAGGAGGCGCTACCAAAGCTCCATTGCATTCATCATCCTACACTGTCGGTGGAAATTTGGCCCCTCCTCCAAAAAACCCTCCATCGACATCAAAAAGCGCAACAATCAATGGCCAACCTGACAAGCACCTACCCGTACTTGTGGTGCGGCCACCCACACGCCAGGGCGGCCACATCGATGGCTCGGCACCAACCTCGCCATTTCCCGACTTAACCGATTCACCCATGCTTTTGACACCATCTCCGAATGCTGAGCCTAGCGAATTCATGCTTCCGTCTCCAGTTGTCGGGCGACGGGCTGAGTTGCCTGGCTCTTTGCGCGGCTGCGACTGCATTGCAGAACAGAAACCTGTCTTTTGGTGGCCATATTCCCTACTACCGCCCCCACACATTATCCTAGCTACACTATTCCCAACACTACAGGGTTGGAGCAGCAAGACGTGGTGGGACAGGTTTATCAGCACCATTTCTGCCCCCAGCATCTTTCTCCTGGTCCTGACGCTGCCTGTGGTTGAGCCGGAGGAAGACGAAGACGATCATACCGATGTGACCATAGCATCACACTCCGACCATGAGGTCCTTGTGGGTGATGTTGCTCAGTTGGCTCGGCTAAACGGCCAACGAGAAGGTACCACTGAGTGGGAAAGATATCGCGACCATGAGAGCCGAAGCAGCATCCACTCTTCTTCATGTCGCCAGTCACCGTTGTTGGCGGGTCTGACAAACGAGAATACCCTGGTCAATCCGGCGTGCGCGACCGAAGTAGCGCCTATAGCCGTCGCGAACAAAGCACTATCCGACTTTCCTTCTGCCGGCGATAGTGCCGCCGACCCTGGGACTTGGAACAGGTGGCTGGTTTGCGTGCAACTGTTTACCGGGCCGCTCTTCGGAGTTTTTATTCTGTGGGTTAACCAACTGGATGATTGGGAAAATCCCAAGAGAACTCTAGTTAAGATGGTGTTGTGTTCTTTGCTGCTGTCGCTAGTCTTGCTAGCAATACTCGTCATCGTAACGGTCGAGCATATCCGCCCCAAGCATCACTACATTTTGTGCTTTTTAGGGTTCATGATTAGCATCGCGTGGATCTCGACAATTGCCGGCGAGGTAGTTGGTGTCCTACAAACTCTGGGCGTCGTGCTGGACATCTCGGAAGCGCTCCTCGGGCTGACCATCTTCGCCGCGGGCAACAGCATTGGCGACTTGGTGGCTGACATCACTGTGGCGAGACTTGGCCACCCTGTCATGGCATTGTGAGTAGAGCAAACGAGGAAATATGAGTGCTGCGCTAATATGAACAGATCTGCATGCTTTGGTGGCCCGCTGCTGAACATTCTACTGGGCATTGGTATTGGCGGTGTCCTGATGATGATCAAAGGTGCGAACCACGAGAGAAGCAAACATCCTGATCAGCCCGTGCAGTACGGCCCGTATCCTGTCGAGATTGGTGGGACGCTGCTCGTCTCATCCGTCACACTGTTGGTTATCCTGGGGGGTTTGTTGATTGCCGTCCCGATGAACAAATGGGTGCTGAGTCGGAAAATTGGATGGGCATTGATTGCAGTGTGGTCAATCAGCACAGCCGTGAATGTAGCCATGGAGGTTAGCGGCGTTTGGGGGGGTTCCAAGAGTTGAGTGTTATTTTTTCTTCTTTTCTTCTTTACTTCTTTTGTTTCCCCGTCTTCTCTTTTTTTAAGGCATCAAGAAGCTATCATATTTTTGAATCGGCCGGCATTGATTGCCCTCGAGAACAACTCGGTTGCCGGCAAGGTGTATGTATGGAGGTACAGAACGCGTGTGCGGTGAAATGGGATGTAGCTCATGCGGAGGAAACCGAAGAACCTTGTTCATTATTTTATATAGAGAGCGATACTTGTATACTTCAGCCAACGAACATGATAATTTTTAGTTCCAATACCTGTCTTGGCTGTACGACGGGATATGGTGGGTGGCTTGGCGGGCTGAGAGCGAGATGAAGCCCTGCACTGCGCAAGGCAGGAAGTGAGTCGTCGAAAAACAAGATTGACTATTGCTTCTTCTGCCACGATGCAATTAAAAGTTGCAACTACGTACCTAGGTAGGAATTTAGTCCCCCTCAAGGCACGCCCGTGGCCGGCCACCAAAAGTAGTGGCCCAACCTGTTTGCACTCACCGCTTAGGCCCCGAAGCTACCCCTCCAAAAGGGTTGGCAGACCCAACTTGAATCCCTCCTCCCTAGGGCAAATCAGATTCACCACCTCCTCGTTCCTTGATTTCTTTTCCCGTCCTAGCTTTAAGGAAAAGCGACAGCATAGCAAGTACGCAGCCCAATCTTCTATTCGTCTATGCCCACCGCCATCGACTGACACTGACGTGCTGCAGTAGAAACACGACCCCTCTTCCCCCCCGCACCTCTCTCGAACTTTATACAATCATGGCTGATGCCACCTACCCCCTTCTCGAGGAGCGTCCTCTCAAGGACACCATCTGCCTCTTTGACGTCGATGGCACCCTGACGCCCGCCCGTCTGGTAAGCTTAGAGCTGTTCGCCGCTCCTTGTGCAATCGCACGATAAAAATAGCAGCACCTCATAGCTAACGCCTCCCTCCCGCAATCGACAGGACGCCTCTCCCGAGATCCTCGCCATCCTCCGCGCGCTGCGCCAAAAGTGCGCCATTGGTTTTGTTGGCGGCTCCGACCTCGCCAAGCAGGAGGAGCAGATCGGCGGCCCTGCCGGCGTTCCCGTCACCACGCTCTTTGATTTCTGCTTCTCCGAAAACGGCCTCACCGCGTTCAAGCTCGGTCAGGCGTTGCCGTCCAACAGCTTCATCGAGTGGATCGGCGAGGCCCAGTACAAGGAGCTGGCCAACTTTGTCCTACATTATATTGCCGATCTCGACATCCCGATTAAGCGCGGCACCTTTATCGAGTTCCGCAACGGCATGATCAACATCAGCCCCGTCGGGCGCAACGCGAGCAACAAGGAACGCAACGAGTTTGAGGCGTATGACAAGGAGGCCAAGGTGCGGGAGAAGTTTGTCGCGGTCCTCAAGGAAAAGTTTGGCCACCTCGGTCTGACGTACGTTTTCTTCCCTTTCCATTCACCATATGCGGCTGTGCTAACTCACCGCCGATAGCTTTTCCATCGGCGGACAGATCTCCTTTGATGTCTTCCCCACCGGCTGGGACAAGACTTACTGCCTCAGGCACCTCGAGAGCGAGGCCAAGAAGCCCAATGGCATCACGTACAAGAACATTCACTTCTTCGGCGACAAGACAGCCAAGGGCGGCAACGACTACGAAATCTACGAGGACCCCCGCACCATCGGCCACTCGGTCAAGGGCCCGGAGGATACCATGACCATCCTCAAGGAGGTCTTTGGCGTATAATGACGAAAAGAGGAAGTTGCATGGCAAATTGCAGGAAAATTTGCTCCCAAACCAAGGTGCAATCAACGGAGAGCTCCGAATAGTAGCCGCGAGGAATCAGGCCGGAGAAGAATTTAAACGTAGAAAAAGAACATATTACGTGATCTTATCATACATAGCCTAATCAAAGACACGATGACCACGCTATTACATTTATAATGTTGGCGAATTCTTTCAAAATCATGATGAAAATACAGATGGACCAACCTCGCAGTGCCTTATGATTTCGCTCGAACGGCCACCCACACGCCAGGGCGGCCACATGGATGGACCTACCCGGGAGGTGCCCAAGGCCCATCTAGTTTGCGTTGCGTCCACTTCTTCTGACGAAAGGTCAGAGGTAACTCTGCCACCCACCCTGACGTTTATCGCCATCCTTGACATCCTTGACAAACCCGAACGCGGTTCCAGGCGAGATCTGCTAACTATGCGCGGGGCACAGATGCGTCAAAAAAGTTCGCAGCGAGCTAGGGTCGCAAACCAAGCGGCTGGGTTTTTGACTGGAAGGTAATAGTCTGTGCCACCAACGAACGGGTCTTGGATGGGCAGTCCCCGAACGGATACTTTGTCGGCCACATGCCGATTGCAAGCGAGTGTCACAGTCGTATTGTGAGCGGGGCTGCGGTCGTGCCGAATCAGCAACGGAAAGAATTCCTTTGTTTTGGAAGGTTTTGGGCCGTGTGGCCGGCCAGGCCGCAAGTCGTATTGCTGCACGATGCTGGTTGCGGGGTTGCGCGTTCCAGCCGCATGCTCGATCGGCGTGGGCTGATTGCTGACTGCAAGCAAGCCCTGTCAGTGCGCCAGACAGTACCTATGTAGTTAGCCAGGTCGCCTTGCCCGCAGTCGATACGGCGCTTTCATTTGAGATATTGTCGAGATTCGAAAACTCAAAGCTGGAGATGGACGAATTTTGTTTTCGAGCGCCAAGCACACGTGGTCGCAACTAGTTGGGGCAGTCGACCGACAACTCATACCAACGACGACCGGACGCAATTTGTTGCCTCGAAAAAAAAATTGAAAGAAAGGGAGGAGTCTATTTTGGGCAGCCTTTGATATGACCAATTTCAGGCTGAAGACTGTAACTAGTTACCTGTGGTCCTGGCCGTGGTAACTAGTTCGTCTTGGGCTGAGTTTTGGTGAGTGTTTTGCAAAGGCCATCCATGCATGTAGTAACTCGGTAGGGTTTCTAATTCCTAGACCGAGCGAGAAATACGGCTTCGGTGTTCCTTTTGTAACCAAGACACGAAAAGGACATGCAATGCGAAAAAGCGCTCAAAAAGGCTTTGCAACTATTGGCCGCCATGCTTGGAGGCGTAGAGCTGTCGCGTGCCTCTTGGCAGTGTACTCTACGGATCATCACATCCCAAACAACCGGAGCAAAGCGGCGTTGCCAAGTAGTTACGAGGTGGCTGCCAAGTCGGTCCCTCAAAACTGTTACCGACTCCTGGCCTTGGCTATCGCGTGCGTCCTCTTGAAGATTGACTAGAGGAAAGAAGAATCGGCATTGCCAGACAAGATTACAAGAAAATGGAATAATCTCCTCGGCTCGCCCTGTTTTATCAGGCCTAGAACAAGGAAAAAAAAAAACTCGCGACGGCGACGGTCGGGCGGGGAGCGGGCTGAGTCGCGGATGCTACCAATCACAACAGGCACGCGCCTCCATGGGCGCTGTCCGAGGTCAATGGGGAAAAGACTTTTGGGACGTTTTTAGGGTCTTCGGCGAGTCCAGAGGTCCAGAGGTCTAGAGGTCCAGAGGTCCAGAGGTCTAGAGGTCCAGAGGTCTAGAGGTCCAGAGGTCCAGACGGGTCCTCTTGGCGTGAAAAGGGAAGGCGAGGAAAGAAAGAACTCTGTCTTGAGCCGTCTTGAGAGCCAAAACGGGTGCTTCCACCGATGGAGGGGTGGCTTGAAGCCGCGCAGCCGCAAAAGGATCAAAGGAGGGATCTCAACCTCTGAGGCGTCAGGGACGATCCCACGTGGGCGATCCAAGATGGATGAATGGCCCTCCTGGGGTAATAAGTGGTGCGTGCCAAGCGTTTAAGCTTAAAAAGATGTATTGGTGGCGCATCACAGTTCCACTTCCGGGCCAGTTGAGCGTGGAGTTTGTTGCAGTTTTTTGCAGTGGCCTCGCCAACCGCCACCAAGTGCCTATCGCCTCGCATGAAATCCACGAGCTGACTATTTCCTTCGGTGTCGGTTTGGTCAAAGTGGTAGGGGTCATGACAGCCTGTCATGTCGTGCACATGCGACAAACTTCTCGTTATGGGGTTCGCTATTGAAACGCCACTTGCACGCTTGACGGGTCGCTGCATGCGTGCGAGCGTGCGAGCTCCTCCCGTCGCTCGTTAAAGTTATAAAGAGAAATCACTTCCCGGAAGCGAACCTTTCTTCCGTGTCCATCAGGCTACTCGCATCCCAACCGGCTCCCAACAGTCCAGCTGCTTCCCTAGTCAGACTTGGAACCAATACACACACAACCGTCAACATGGTTCTGCACGAGTACACTTACGTCTTTGCCATTGGCACCTGCTTTGCCCTTCTCGAGGCATTCAACAACGGTGCCAGTACGTTCATGCCCCCGATCAAGCCACGCTTCGTCTTGGCAATCTCGCTAACAAACCTCTTCCCTTCTCATAGATGATGTCGCCAACGCCTGGGCCACGAGTGTGTCCTCCCGATCCATTTCCTACAGAGCCGCCATGGTTCTCTGCCTCGTCTTTGAGATGCTCGGTGCCGTCGCCGTCGGCGCCCGCAGTGCCACCACCATCAAGAACGGCATCATCCCCGTCGCTGCCTTCCAAAACGATGCCGGCGTGCAGCTTCTCGCCTTTGCCTGCGCCTCTGCTGGTGCTTCCATGTGGGTCATGTGGTGCACGCGCAACTCGGCTCACGTCTCGTCCACCTACTCTCTGATCTCGTCCCTCGCCGGTGTCGGTGTCGCGACCGTCGGCGCCGGCGGTGTCCAGTGGGGATGGAACAATGGCTCTGGTCTCGGTGCCATCTTTGCCGGTCTGGGCATGGCCCCCGCCATCGCCGCCGGCTTCGCCGCCGTCATCTTCATGCTCATCAAGCTCACCGTCCACATGCGCAAGAACCCCGTCCCCTGGGCCGTCTGGACCTCTCCCTTCTTCTTCCTCATCGCTGGTACCATCTGCACCCTGTCCATTGTCTACAAGGGCTCTCCCCGCCTCGGTCTCGCCAAGAAGCCCGCCTGGTACATCATCGCCGTTACCCTCGGCGTCGGCTTCGGTCTCTTTGTCCTGTCTGCCCTCTTCTTCGTGCCCTTTGTCCACGCCAAGGTTGTCAAGAAGGACTACAACCTGCGCTTCTGGCACGTCATCTACGGCCCCATGCTCTTCTGGCGCCCCGCGCCCGCGGATGCTGAGGAGGCCCGCGTCCCCAACTACCACGTCATCCAGACCCCCACCGCCGAGACGGAGAGCGAGACCGACGTCCGCCCTCCCAGCGACAACCTCAAGGGCCAGGAGGAAGCCGTCTTTGGCAGCAAGGAGGTCGACAGCAACAAGACCGGCCAGAAGAAGCTCATCCTCGCCGAGTGCAACCAGGAGGGTTACCAACGCCTCATGCGGGAAGCTCTCGAGGCTCACCACGCCCGTCTCCGTCAGGGTCGCGGCCCTCTTGCTTGGGCCATGCGCACCCTGCACAACAACCAGATGGGTGCCGGTTCCATCCACGAGACTGCCAACCTCATCGCTTTCTGCAAGCGCGTGCCGGCCATGATCGTCTGCGCTCTCCTCTACGGTGCTCACTATGACATCCACACTGCCCAGGTTGGTATCGAGGGAACCCCCGAGGGTCAGCGCATGGCTCGTGTCTACGACCATGCCACCAAGTACCCCAACGAAGTCGAGTACCTCTACTCCTTTGTCCAGGTCATTACCGCCTGCACCGCCTCTTTTGCTCACGGTGCCAACGATGTCGGCAACGCCGTGGGTGTCTGGGCTGTCATGTACGCTGCTTGGTCTACCGGCAAGGCTGCCGGCGCCAAGGCCCCCGTTCCTCTGTGGCAGATTGCCGTCATGGCTCTCACCATTTGCTTCGGTTTCATCACCTACGGTTACAACATCATGAAGGGTAAGCTCACCGTTCTCTTTCCTTAACCCAGTCAATCATACTAACTCGTTTACTAGTCATGGGCAACAAGATTACCTACCACTCTCCCAGCCGTGGTTCCTCCATGGAACTGGGCGCTGCCATTACCGTCCTCATCTTTTCTCAGTACTCCCTCCCCGTCTCCACGTCCATGTGCATCACCGGTGCCACGGTCGGTGTCGGTCTGTGCAACGGCACCCTCAAGGCCGTTAACTGGAAGCGTGTCTTCCTCCTGGTTTTCTCGTGGATCATGACGATCCCCATTGCCGGTCTCATTGGTGGCTGCACCATGGCTATTCTGCTCAACGCTCCCCACTTTGGCGCCTCCCGGTAAAGAGTTGATGAGGATGCCGGCTTCGCTGGTTACATTGTACATGGAGTTTTGCATTTTGTTCAATACCACAAAAAGATTGGAATAGACTTACATAAAGTACACGCGTAATATTATATGCTTTTTTCTTTTTTTCAAGATTGCTGCCTCACCTGCCCACGTTGACGACTACAATGTACTGCAACACGTTTTTTTTTGCATCTTGTCTACTACGACAGAATTATTGATTAGACTCACATCACTATACTACTATCATCTGCCTTGACTTATTAATAATTAAGACCGCTCCTCCATCTGCCCACGCTGACGATCCATCTGCGCCGCCACCTTCTTCTTCAACGGCGGAACGGCATTGACCAGTCTCAGCCCGGTACGCATGGCCATCATGGCCAACCAGCCCGTGATGCCCGGTTTGTAAATCGCATCGTCCTTGTTGAACCTCTCGAGCGACTGTTCCACCCTATCCCAGGCATAGCCGTGCATCTCCTTCTCGTACGCCGCGACGGCCTCCACGACGGCGACCTCGCCGCGCGCGGCGCGCGCCAGCTGCTCGCCGAGGATGCGTGCGTCCAGCAGCGCCGTGTTGGCGCCGACGCCGAGCCCCGGGGTCATGGTGTGGATGGCGTCGCCGAGCAGCGCGACGTTGCTGCTCGGCCACGGCGGCAGGCGCTCTGTGGTGCGGATGTCGAGGGCGAAGCAGGTGCGCGGGTCGGCCAGCGCAAACAGCCGGCGCAGGTGCGGGTGCCACGCGGCGGTGCGCCGCAGCAGCAGGGCGTGCAGCGCGTCGCCGTCCAGGGCGAGCACGTCGGCCGGCAGCTGGTCGCGGTGCGCGCCAAAGCCCAGCAGGATGTAGTCGCGCGTGTTGTCAAACTGGGCGCCGGGCCAGGCGGCGAGCAGGGCGGCGTCGGTGCCGCCGACGCTCCCCGGGGTCGGCGCCGGCGCGTGCTCGGCGTCCCAGGGAAACTCCATGACGTGAAGGATGGTGCTGTCGCCGCGCGGCGCCTGCACCATGGTGACGCCGCGCAGCATCCGCGGCGTCAGCAGCGCGCGCGTCTCCTCGGTAAGCGGGGCCTTGGTGCCGAGCCCGCACAGGCCGGACGACTTGAGGACGGCGTGCGGGAGGTACTGCCTGCGGGTCGGCGAGTTGGTGCCCTCGGCGCCGACGAGCACGTCGCCGACGGCGACGCTGCCGTCCGCAAAGTGCGCCGTCACCGTGCCGTCCTCGTCGTCGCTGCTGCGCTCATAGTGCGTGAAGCGGCAGTCGAAGCGCACGCGGTCCTCGAGACCCGTGAGGAGCAGCTGCCGGAGCGTCATGCGGCTGACCGAGTACTCGGCGGCGACGCCGTCGGCCGAGGCGCGGGCGAAGCCGTCGATGCTGAGCAGCTCCCGCAGCTGCTCGGTGACCATGTTGAAGCAGTCCGGGGCGGCGGCGGCGGTGCGCTGGAAGAGCGTGAAGAGGGCGGGGGTGACGCAGGCGGCGAGGCTGCGCGCGCCCTCGGGCGAGATGCCGACGCGGTACCCCTGCAGCCCGTCGCGGCGCGTGCGGTCCCGCTCAAAGACGGTGACGGAGACGTCGGCGTGCGAGTTGACGAGGGCGTGTGCGAGGGCGAGACCGCCGGTGCCGGCGCCGATGATGAGGACGCGGAGTGTCATGTGTGGGCAGTGGTGGGTGGAGACTGTGTGTTGGAAAGGGTTTTGGATTTTTTGCGGAAGAAATGGGTTTGGCGAAGAGAGTTGGAGAAGAGACCAAGAGGAAACAATTTATACATTTTTGGCAGGAATACTTGTCGTCGTGTTGACGACTTGTCGACTGTCTGGACTTGGAGGAAGCTCATCGACGCTAAATCGCAAAGCTAACCCAAAAGAGGTTCTCATGCATCTCCACCCATTTGTCGCAAATCCTCAGCCCTACGTAATCCTTTTCCCACCTTGGTCTCTCTCTCCTTTTTCTTTCTTTCTGCCAACACGTGCCTTTCAAAAGAAAGAAAAAAAAATTCAATTTTTTTTTCTTACTGCCCAACAGCTGCCGAGTCACCACCCTTCCCCGGCCCGCTGCCACCCGGCGCACGTTTGACGCACACGCACACGCACACGCATAAGAATAGGCAACGGCTGCAAGCCTGCCCAACCGTGTTCCCCTTGCGAATGGCGCAAATGTGTCACGACATGGAGCCGTGTCTCAGCCTCATTTGCTCTTTATTGGCGTCTGAGTGGTAGAGTGAGTGTAATTTGTTTGTCGGACCAATACAGCCGTTGCATACCGTGGTACCTGGCAGTGGCCCGGTCGGGCCATATTGCGCTTTTTGCATGACGCCAAGTCAGCATTTGACAGGTGAAAATCTCTTGTTTGACGACAGCAAGGAGAGAAAAAAAAAAAAAAAAAAAAGAAAAGAAGGGCTTCCGGAGCCATGTTTACGCGCCTCACCAAAAGCACCGCCCTGAAAAGTTTTCTTCTCCCGTCTTTGTGGTCGAGTTGCACGGCGTCGGGCGTTGGGTTGTACAGTACGTATAAGTAGGCGACGGCGGGACTATACCGAGGGGGAGGAGAGAGGAAATGCGAGTAGACAGCGAGACGAGAAATATATCAAAATTGATCAAGATTATTCCAACTTCAAAACAATCTCAAGAAACAGGGTAACAAGTACGTGCCGATACATTCACCGCCATCAAACTCTGACCACCACACCGATACTAACTCATACCACCAGTACCAACCGAGTACATCGTAAACGACGCCACAAGTCATGTCGGCCGAGCAGAGCCAGCTTGCCGCGCTCACTGCCCAGATTGTGCAGATGCACCAAGAGATGGAATACTGGACGCGGCAGCTGCAACACGCCCAGACGCAGCTGCAAGCGGCACAGTTCCGCTCCGGCCAGTACACCCGGCACGGTCAGAATCCCGACCCCTTCATCGTCGTCGCCGTCAATAACCACAGCGTGGCGTGCAACCAGATACAGCAAAACATGGCCGTCCTGCTCAACAGAAAGGCAGCTGCCGAGGTCGAGCACGCGCGACTATCGCGGCTCGTCACAAGACGAGGATTCTAGGGCAAGGGGGGCGGGGGCGTGCAAGGCGGGCGGGCCAAGGAAGAATCATGTATATAGTAGCCCGAATCCAAATGGCAAAAAGTCATGACCAACTAAACAGGGCTGTGAGGCAGACCAGTGTCAGGGCCGTTGGGCGACAGCGACGGGTGAGGTCTGGCAAGCACGGCATCGCGTAGGAAATGACGCGCCTCCGAAGCAATAAAAACGAGACTGCCCATCTCATTATGCCACAGCTGCCACTGCGGAAGAAGCACTCTACTTATATGCGAAGCGAGTCTGCCAGAAACCTCGTCCGAGTGCCGCTTCTGGACCGCGAGGAGCCTGTCCAGCCTGGCCTTGTGCTCCGGCTGGCTGAAGAAGCCCCCGAGCAGCACATAATCGGCCTTCTCATGCTGCGTGTTGTAAAAAAGGTCCCAGAAGTAGACGGTCGTCAGCGAGTCCGGATACCGCAGAATGGCGGCGAAGAAGGTGTGCGCCTCGTTGTCCGTGTAGTAGCGCAGATGCTCGTGGTAGGCATGGTCCGGCGTCACAACCTCCAGGAACTCTTCCCAGACACCATCTTCTCTTCGCCGCTCCGGAGACAGTCCGACATCCCTGACCCAGTTCATCGGCTGGCAGAGCTGCCGGGGCAAAATCTCCGTCCATGCCCAGTTGATGATGCCTCGGATGTTGCCTTCGCTGTCGACAAAGATGTTGTTCGAGGCGAACCGCCCCTTGCTCAGTCTGAAGCCAGCATTCTCCCGCCAGAACAAAGCGCTTTTGTCATTGACGTGACGCGCCACCGCGTCCATTGCGAATATCTGCTGAGGAACGACTTCGTTTGGTTCTGTCTGGCAGTAGATCTGCCGCATCTCGGGTCCGTCTTTGAGGACTGCAAGATGATGCTGAATAGAGTCCCACGCAGTCGTGAATACAGGCCGGCTGCGCGTCGCCCCATCCCGGTTAGAGAGATATTCATCCCACCTAGACAGAGCTGGCCCAATACACTCCTTCATGTCGTCCGATTCGGCTGGATACAAAGATCCAGTGGTGGGGAACGTCAGTTCCTGAAGCTGCGCAAGCGCGTCCGCAAGCTGGCACCAGACCCTCTTGCGCTTCTCCCGCGTCATAAGGGCCAAAACGTCGCTTCCGAGTGCCTTTCCAGGAACTCTATCTTGGATTATGTATGAATGAGTCTCGTACAAATCCTCGCTCAAGTGCTTGCCTGTTCCGTACGCTTGGACTGTGGGCACCGGAATTGAAGTGTGGCGCTGAATGTACTTGTTCCTACACGTGAGCTAAACAGATCTATATCATCATGCGTCACAGGGGAATGACGTACCGAATTGTTGCAACTTCGCTGCGGATCATGTCCCACTCCCTATCGACGGTTGACTTTGTGGCGATGCGGACGACCCATTCTTGCCCGTCGTTCGGAAACGTGACGGCAATGCACAGGAATGTTTTGCCCACGACAATGTCATGCGATATACGACAGAACTTGCCCTCGTTGTGCTGAGACGCTAGCTCCTTTACCTTGTCAAGGTCGATGGCATCGCGTAATTTCAAGACACGAGTCTGGAGATGACAAAGATCCCAAGGCTGTTCGGGGCTAGGCGGAGGAACCGCGACGGAAGTGAGTGAGGGAGAAGCCGCTGGAGCAGAAGCCATTATGAAAAACGTCGTTATTTGGTGTATATGAATGTTTTCCTGGGGGAAGTGCAGTCTATTTGCGTGCTTTTTAGACGCCCATCTTTCAGGAAGCGAGGCCTTTGTCCTCGCTCCACAGCAACTTCCGTGACAAGGTGGTGCTGAAACGAGATGACGTGGGCTAGAGGTTGTACCTGTAATACCATTGAAGCCATCATGAATAGAAGGACATATATTTTGGGCACTTAGGAACGTACAGCAGCTGGGGTTGATTCACTGGCATGGCATTGCACGCCCGTATGTCGGACCACGGAGTGGTACAAGCGACTGCGACATCAGAGCGAGGATATCAAAGGACCAAAAGGACAACAAGTAGAATGTAGATGCAATACGAGCACGGTACTAGCTATAATGTGTGTCTTCAATTTTGTAGCGTGGCTTAGGAGGACTCGTGCCCTGCCAGTATCTTGAGTGTGATGTCGTTTGTCACCAAAGAAGCCCGCAGCCAGATTTTGGAGGAGAGGTGCGACTGGGGGGAGAAAGGGGGCTATTAGGTGTCTTTCTGAATCAAGGCGAATCTTCAACGTGATTTGAGAATGAGTTGCTTGTTCCATGCCGGCATCGGCGGTGAACCCCCAACCTGTGTCGCATGTTTGTCGGTCGGTCAGTCATGGTATCAGCGCCGCCGACAACAGTAATACAAAAAGTAAGACAGGAGCTACGGCAGCTCTTGTTTCTTACATCGGTGCTCGCATAATGTCGGCGGACATGTGATGACAGCTTGATAGGTTGTCTTTTCCCCCGATTGTGGCACCCGTCATGCGACAGAAACCCGACGGTTAGGTAGAGAGACATTCCATACGGAAAGTCGATGGAGTAGGCAGAAAAAGTGAGAAGGACCTGGAACAGTGTGTTGGGTATTTTGCAACATCGGGATAGCTGTGACGGTGAAGAAAATGATACTTTGTAGATTGGAGGCGATTTGGAATTGACGGGTATATGAACAAGACATGGATGTAGCGCTTGGGTGGAAATAGTATGGACGAGGTACATGGGCTGCCAGCCACACGCGCCGCAAGTGGCTGTTGAGTGGAGCCTTGGAGATGAAGGAAACGAAACGGCGTCGATGATTTGGAATAGCTTCTTCTCCTGGTCTGTTTTTGGGTTTTTGGCAGCTGACTTTTCCGTCGCACGGATGTATCTTGTAGTGACTCCGAGTTCAATTTCGTCCGTGCCATTCGTCGCAGACGAATTTGCAATAAAAATGATGGCGTCTCTCTCAACAGCGTCGCAGGACCACGGCATCTCAAAACGAGGCAGCAAACGCCGGTACATGTTGTTGTTGGGGGGGCCCGCTAGGCTATCAGGCCGCTAGGCTATATCAGGCCGCCCCCCCTAGATGCCCGCTTGCTCCGGACACGATCCTTGAACAATCCTCCAACCTCCTCCGTCATTGCAACCGGCATCCCGCATCTCAAATCTTTTCTACCCTCCCTCCCTGGAAGCTAGCTAGCTAGCAAAAAGCATTGCGTCGCATCGCCCACCCGCTTGGATCGCCTTTATATCGCCGACGGGAGCAGCCTATTAAAGCGTCCGTGTGTCTCGACCGGCTTCGTCGTCGCATGACGCCCACCCACCCGCAAAGGCCATGACGGACCAAGACCCCCCAGCGAGCACCAGCGCGAGGCCGTCTTTTCTATCGTACCTCAAACGAGACAAGGAAAAGTCCAAAGATAGAAAAAAGTCGGCTTCTACACCCAAGACTACCACGTCCTCATGTGAGTCAAACAACCGTCGTCTCTCTCTCCGCGTCTAGCCCCCCTCCCCCCCCCGCCTTGTTCGTCGCACCTTGCCAACAGTACTCCGTATGCCGACTCGATTTCCCGTTCGCATTCTCGTTTACTCATTGATATTTTATATCCGGATCCTATTGATGCCCCCCTTCCTCTACACCCCCGGAGCCCAAAACGCTACACGTCGGTTTGTCCGTTTGTAGTGTTTGAGCGCCTGGCCCGGCCCCCCATGTTCCTATGATTTGTCATTTCCCTTTTGGGATTTGCTCCCACGTCGTCAAAAGACGCCGCCGCCACACCGTTGATATGTCGACGCTTTTATTTTCCCTATAGCTCCCTCCCTAGCTCGCCAGCGCGCCCGCTGCTGCTTTGGAATTCTTGTCCCAATCTCTGGCTCTAGCCCACAAGATTCCATCGCCGCCTTATAACCCTCCACTACCCATACTTATACCTACTCTGACCATCTACCCTTTATTACTGTCATGCCATAGTGCTCTTCCCTCCATAATGCCATACATAATATCCAGCGCGGCTGTTCGGGACACTGCCAGAATGAAGCGCTTCAAAAGAGACAAGTACCTGACCAAATCGTTATTAGCCGGAGCCGGTGACAGCAGCCCCAACAACCAAGATGGCCTGTCCAAGAACCAAGTTCGCCGCGCCCAGGTCCGCCGCGCCCAGATACAACATCGCCAGCGCAAAGCAAACTACGTCAAGCAGCTGGAGATGGACATTTCCCAGCTCCGAGAGCTCATCACACAGGCCCAGCACGATACCTCGGCCTTTCGCCGCGAAAACGACGACATAACCGCCTTTCTCGGACAAAACGGCATCCTGAGCCCCCCCGGCCTCTCAATGGGCACAGCGTCACCGAGCGCGGCTACTGTCCTATCTGACGCGCAGCGGACCGACACCTCGCAACAAAACACCCCCGGATATCCCGTCACGGACAGCATCGACTTGCTCCCGCTCTACGGCTTGGACCAAGAACTTATCGTCACGCTCAGCTCCAACAAGCTGATGGGAACACCGGCTTTTAGCGTCAACCCGAGCTCCCCCAACAGCAGCTTCTACACGGGGCCCGTGTCGGCAGACTGGTCGCAAGGCCAGATCCAACTCACACCCGTCCAAGAACTCACCGTCATCAACTTTATTCTCGCGTAAGTACACAGTCCCTTATTAGAAGCCAAAGCGGGCGGGCCTCCAATCCTAACATGCGCCATCTCTAGCCTGGAACACGTCTGCTGGGACCACTTTTGGGTCGGCGACTGCCACAACCACAGCGTCCAGACCGAGGAGGTCAAGGGCCATACCCTCATGGCCTCGTCCTACCTCATGGCCAACGCCCCCGAGTCCGTCTACGCCGAGCGCGAGGGCTTCCGCAGCCGCTTCCGCAGCGGGCCGACCCTCCAGTGGCCCGCCTCCACCGTCACCCTCGACTCCCTCTACGGCCTCGCCCAGTCCCTCAACCCGGGCAGCGAGGAGATTGCCCCCGTCCAGGCCTGGTTCGAGCTCGCCACCCGCTACCCCATCGACACCCTGCTGCTGCGGCCCGCCACCCTCGAGACCCTCAAGCGCGAGTTCAAGGGCGTCGTCCGCTGCGTCGCCTTTGGCGCCGCCATGGAGCGCGAGTCATTCGAGAGCATCATCCTCCGCGTCCTGGGGCCAGATGTTAATGCCCTGGCGTTGCTGTAGACGGCGTTGTTGTACATGCAAGTAATATGGGCAAGGTTGGTGCTTGAAACGTGGGGTAATGGCGGGGTTGAGGAGCGTAACAAGGAAAAGTCGAGGCGTTTCTTGGATAATTACTGGGCGTATACGGGAATTATGGCCGTATCAACGCATGGGCAATGATTGCCAATCTACTCAAACTACAGCAAAAGACGAACAGAAACATAGTCATAATAAAATCGGGGAAAACAAAAACGATCATTACTACATCTACATGGGAGACCCTTGCTCCTTCCAATTTGGCACCTCTTTTCCTCCTCAGAGAGCCTTGACCATGGTCCTGTCATCAAAGAGATCCCGCAGCAGGCTCTGCACGCAGCCCGCCACGTCCGGCGCGCCCATGGCGTACGTCGACTCAAACGCAAAGATGCTGAGCTGCGCGAAAAACGGCCGCAGCACCTTTGCGACGAGGTCGTCGCGGCGCTCGAGCAGGCTCGCCGCGTCGTCGGCGATGCCGCCCGGCCCGATGAGCAGGCGGCGCAAGCCGGCGCTATGATTCGCCGTCGCCGCGTGGCCGTCGGTGGTGGTGGTTGTGGTGGCGGCGGCGACGGCGCTGCCGAGGTCCTCGGCGAGCTCGTCGGCGAGGGCCACGGGACGGGACGAGGAGGAGCGGTAGACGGCGTCGATGCTGTCGGTGAGGAACAGCCACTGGTGGAGCTGGAAGTCGTCGGGGGCGAGGCAGACGACGAGGTCGAGCAGCTTGCAGGCCTGCAGGACGGCGGCGGGCGGGTACGTGTCGTCGTCGAGGGACGCGGCGGCGGCGACCGAGGCGAGGGCCGCGTGCAGCTCGGTGCAGACGACGGGCCAGAGCATGGCGAGGTGCAGCGGGTCGGTTCGCAGCACGAGCGCGCGCACCACCATGTAGACGTCGGCGCGCGTTGTCGACGACGGCGACGAGGTGCTCGTCGCCGCGAGTAGCTCCACGAGCTTGTCGACGACGGCGCCGAGGTCTGCGGCAAAGGCGTCGTCGGCGCCGGCGAGAATGAGCGTCGCCGCGCGCCGCAGGTTGAGCTGCGTCTTGCGGTCGGCTTCCAGGCGCGCCGACGTGGCGCCGACACCGAACACGATGCCCGCGGTGGTCGGCGCCGCGATGCGGCCCATGACCTCGGGCAGCCTCTCCTTGTCCGAGGCAGTCCACTGCCGCAGCAGCGGCAGCCAGCCGTCCGTCACGAGCGCCAGATCCATGCCGAAGAAGCGTCCGTCGTGGAAGGCGTCCCCGACGTCCTTTTTCCAGGACCGCTGGTTGTTGGGTAGCCGCGACAGCTCGTGTAGCAGGCGGAGCGTGTGCCGCGTGACTGACTCGGGAAACGTCTTGGTGCGCAGCGTCGGGCCGATGACGTTGGTGGAAATGGTGCCCGCGGCGGCGAGCACCCGGTCCGGTTCCGGCAGGACCTTGGACAGGTTGGGCACCACGGATGCGAGGATGCCGACAACGTCCCGCGCGTCGGCGGCATCGCTCTTGGTGGGCTTTTCGGTCGACGAGGCCGGCTCGGCAAAGGTAATGGGCCGGGTGGTGAAGAGAGCCGCCAGGAGCCTGATGAAGAGATCGCCGAGTTCGCGTCGCATCTTGCGCTGCTCGCCAAAGTTGGTATTGTCCACCTTCTCGCCCAGGGTCGCGGCGAACTCAAGCAGACTGGGGAGTGTCTGCCGATGAGGAAACGGATTGGCCAGTATGTCCTTGAGGAAGATGATGCAATCTTGCCAGATTTCATCCATGGCATCGTCGTCCAGCGATTGCGTGTACTGGACTAAGAACAGGCCCAAGTCTGTGTCCTCGAGCGATATGGTCAGCGTTGAAGTACGGGATGGGTCCAGAGCACTGGGATTTGTCCGGCTGTAGATAGCGTTGAATATCGAGGGCACTGTTTGCCGTGGCCGGGATGCCTCGAGTGCAGCCAGAAACTTAAAGACTTCAGACTTTTGCACCTCGGGGGTGGCTTGCTTCCAAATATCGACAATGGTTTCCAAGCACTCCAATGTCTCGGCGGCGAAGAGATGCTCCAAGAGTCTTCTGGCGCGATTCTTCATTCGTAGGGAGGTATACATGAACGAAGCAGTCGCAGAGGCGTCGTTAGCGGTCGCGTCATCACCTTGGCCCCAGGACCAGATCATGTAGCAGATACGGACCGCATCCTGAAAGGCAAGGTGGACAGTAAGGCGATCGTTTGCAGTTGCGCTGCGGCCTTGCGGAACGTCTGACTGGAACACGCCGGACACCATGCTGCCGAACAGTGACTGGGGTTGATCGGGGCTTTTCAATGCCTGAGCACGCGCCTCGTCTGCCAGCAGCTGGTCGTGCGCACGCGCAAGAACTTGCTCCAGGCCATTGAGGAGAAAAATCAGTGTGGTTTCTGGGGCAGCAATCTGTGCACCAGAGTTGGTGTTCGCCAGACCGAATGTGGCTCGCAGATTTGTAAACGTTGTGCCAACTTGCTTGCAGAGAGTCTCGACCAACGGGATAACGATTTGAAATATAGTTCCGCCATACAGCGGTAAGCAACGGCCCAGAAAATTCACCCAGCTATCGAGAACGAGTTGACTGTTTCGAGCTCCAAGTCCTGACAACAGGCATTTGAGAAGCTGCGGAGGTAGACTATTTTGAGGTGGGTGGTTGTCTGCATTTGAACTCGAAAGCCTCCTGGGTCGAGTTAGATCTGTCGTTGAGTGGTATTTTTCAGATATTGCGGAGAGGGGTCGTTCAGGCGTGGAAGGCTCATGTAGCTTCAGCGCTGCGAAAACGGAATCTAGGAGAAGCACCTGGATGTAAGGATCGGGGCCAGTGATGGACCTCCCGAGCCTGTCGATGAGAACATTCTCGACATGAAAGCGAGACAGGCGACTAGATTGCGGCGCAATCAGGAATTGGTGAAGAATCATCAGAGCATATCTTTGTAATTGGTAGGTTCTGTCGATAACATCGCTGTCTTCTGTCGAAGGCTCCCCGGTGAGGCATCTTATCAGCATTCGAAAGAGCAGTTCCTGGAGCGTCATTTCGTTACCCTCGCCGCCGGCTGTTATCTGTTAGCTGAATTCGGGATAGAGAAGATATAGACACCTACTACTAATTTGTAAGTTTTCATCCCTAGGATAAACGTGCCTGGACCCCATAATGGCCCAAGGAATGTCGCCCGCGCAGCCAAGAACATTGTGCATAGTCCGGATGTAGTACAAGCAAAGATCCAGATCGTCGCTTTCCGAGAATAATAGCGCTGTCGTATCCAGTTGGTCAGTGGAAATAGCATCCCTGATGCTCCTCAAAAAAGGGAGGGCTGATATATTAGATGCAAATAAAAGGAACAGTCTTGGCGGGTTAGTATGTTGCTGTGACCGAAAGGAGCGGCATGCACATACCTGTCAATGCCGACCATGCTATTCAGCCACGACTTTACGTTCATATACAAATGAGTTCGTTCATCCATCAACGCGTCAAGTACAAGAAACAAAGGCTGTGTTAGCATGACCTCGTAAACGTCTGCGCCGGCGAGCCTCGACCGAGGTTCAGCTAGAAATGTTGTTCTCGATCCACGCCGTTCCGTCTGGTTATCCTGCAAGGTATGCGACCAGAGCACAGCAAACGTTCGGCCCGTATCGGCATTGTCGCAATTCTTCTTTTCGACGATCAAAGTAGACAGCGCTGCCTCGATGTCGCGACGATCCAAAGTCAGGGCCGTTTGCAGCTGCCAAAGACAGCGGACAGTCTCGACATGAAACTTGGGTTCTGATACGGACAAGTAAGACCAAGCATGGCGAACCAGAGGCAGTACCAGATCGGACAGTTGTGAGAGTGTGATCCTGTCGGCGTAGTATAGTTGACTGACCAGAGTCAAGATTGAGGAAAACGTAGCAAACGAAAGGAGTTTTCCGTTGGACAATTCCCGGCGCGTGAACGAAAGCAGTGCTCCCTCCTCAAATCCATATTGTTTAGGGGTTTTTGTGAGCACTTGCAAGAATATCCGTACCCGCAGATTGATTTCTGCCGATAGTCCTGTCGTCTTATCACCTTGGTATACATTTTTGGCGGCCCTCTGAATGAGAAGCTGCCCAGATTCGACAGCAGTGAACGGAGCTGGCGAAACATCCAAGTTGCCTTGCTCGTTCACATAAAAATTTCGTATCTTCTTGAGGAGATCCATGTTGGTTAAAGACAGGACTTTGCACTCCGTGTTAGCTTTCGTCGACGGCGCCGGGAATGTGCGCTCTGGGATGAGATCCAAGAATGACGCCACAATCGACAAGACTTCATTCACCAATTCTACGGAGAATGACCCAGTCGCACTTTTTGTCTGCCTTTCTTCTAGGTCTTCAAGCATGTAAAGGGCTGCGAGACACGTCAGAGGGGCGTGTACAGTCACCATTTCCTCTTCTCTGACGTTGAAATTGGCGACAATAAAGCTAACAAGTGACAGTTTCTCACTACGTTGCGTAGGCCCCGAGTTCCCAGGCCCGATAGCCTGGGCAAGAAGAGCAACAATCTCGCTATAGATGAGACCGCTTTCTATGCCGTCAAAGAAGACGCTTGCGCTCCGCAAGACTTCCTTGAACTCTGCCGAGGAGGAAGTCGTTTGCTTGAAGCGCTGCACACTCTGGACTACTGGTAGAAAGATTTCTGGAACGACTAGCCCACCAATCTCCCATCTATCCATAAGCGACAGGCAAATACGGTAGGGCTTTGCACGTTCTGAGACGCTGCTCGATTCTGCGTCTTTGATCATATCCAGAAGCGCTCTCGTCAGTGCTGCAAGTCCATATTCCTCAAAGTATTGAGTTCGGGCAGAAAGATAGGCATGTTGCTGCTCTGGTGGAGCGCTGGTAGCATCATGTGCATGTTCATTCTCTGGAACCGCAGGCTCAGGGCCTAGCAACCAAGCCCACAGGCGACGGTTTAGACTCATATCTCGTCTAATGACCACCCCAACAGCCGACTTGAGCAGCAGCTCAAGATCAGATGATTTAACGCGAGTTTGTAGGACCTTTGAGTTGAGGGGCAGGTGTGACACAAGCAAATCGAGGAACCCGCGTTGAATAAGAACTTGTTCGTCTGCGAGGCCACTAGCAAAGCATCGGATCAGCAGTCCTGGCTCAGGCGATGTCACCATTGTGGCAAGTTCTTGGCTGCTCTTGTCGAGGTCCGTAGCGCCGATTGGAGCCCCAAGAGCTGGAAGGTGGCGCACGAGATAGGCTAAAGCCCCGGCGCGCCGGCTATGACTGGTAATGGAAGCTAAGAAGAAGCACTGCCAGAAGAAGTCGTCACCAACAGAGTGATAGCCTGTCAGCTCCTTCGTAGCTGTCGGTCGAATGGCCTTCTTGAAGCTTCCAACTAGATTCAAAGTGCGATCAAAGTCCTCACTTGTCTCATCTTCCAAGCCGGGAAGAAGGGCTAATATGATCGATCGCATGGCGGGTCGCAGGAACCGGGCGTCCAGCTTGATGAAGTATTTCTCGAGCAGTTCGAGAAAGGGCGAGCGAACGGATAGAGAGGCAAACGATAACGTCGGTGCGATTCCGGGGAGGTATAGTGGAAGGTCTCTGGACAGACCATCAGCTCCGATCGTGTCGAAAACATAATTGTAGACCTCGAGGGCTTTCTGGTGGACGCCAGAGGGCAACGTGGGATTCAGGCATTGCGCCAGCCGTTTCGATAAGAGCGCATTGGCTGGTATCGCGGTGATTGAAGACGGTCGCGCTTGTAGAGCCTTTGGAACTTGGTAAGTCATGCGATCCATTGTGTAGGTTCGCGGCGTACCTTGAGGACCCTGTTCAGGAAAGATATGTAGTCGGCCCATTCTTCCAGCGCCGTCTCAAAGAGCGAGAGGGCTTTTTCCACCCCAGATGCGTATCTTCTGTATGCCTTATCGTTAATGGGAGCTTCCTCTGTTTGGCTTCTGTCAGTCAACAGTCTTCTGGTAGCTGGGTAGATTGAGGCGCGTACCCCCGCCAAGCTGGTTGCGCCTCTGTCGCGGAATGGGGGAATCTCGCCCAGAGCTCTCGGGCGAGCCCGTCCACGCTCTAGAGCCGGGATCAAGCGCCATGGCTATAAGAATCTTGCCTCATGGGGAGTTTTGAATTGCGGTTCGTATCTGCGTCAGAGGTTCTGGTGCTGTGTAGGCCAGCAGTCGCGTACTGTTTCGTGGAGGGCTACGTTGCAGAGCCGAAGCTTGGACAATGTGGATACGCCGCTGTCACAGATCTTGAGATGACCAGGCACCTCCCTCCAACTGCGAACAATAGCCGTCAAGGCGACAGGTGCTTGACAAGTACCTAGCAGCACAACTGGTCAATTTCAATATAAAAAACAGGATCGAATAAGCGGCACTACTGCCTAGAAATTGTAGCTAATTTTTTTGGAGAATTGTTGCAGCAGGCTAACCCCGCCGCGGTGTAGCTCTGAGCTACCTAATAACGTAAGTTACCCCAAGAATTGCAGGCGTCTTTAACAGACTTTCAGAAAAACGGCAAGAATTGGTAGGCATCTAATATTCCTACTTAGGTATGAGTCCCCTGCATATGAAGGGATACTGTAAAAGAGCTCGGTGCTCGGTGTTGATATAGCCCACCTGACTAGTTTTGGCCTGAGGCCAGATTGTGTCCGGCCAGCATTTTCCCCTTGATTTCAAATTCTTCTTCTTCTTCTTCTTCTTCTTCTCCTTGAGAGAATCAATAAAGCTTGTGAGGCCTACTCTCAGTAGCCTAGGGCTAGTTCGTGATAAATACATTTTAATCGACGAGGAACATGCGCGGGGACCGACTTCATATCTGTCGAAAGACTAATGTCTATAAACCAAATTGTTTATATAAGACTAGTTACCTAGGAACGCCCGTTTCCTAGTTCTCAATCACCTCCTATTCTGTACCAGGGCCCTACTTCCGAGCATCCAGGTGCGTGTGGGGATGATCGTCAGCATTCGCGTTGCATTTGCAATTGCATCCCCGCTTCCAGAGAGGTTCAGAGAAGAACCAGACAGTGGAGATGGCCTTTAAAATGGCAGGATACTGTACAAATTACATGTGTTAGCCTAATAAGTTATATCGAACAGAGGGGCATCTCATACGTCATGAGGCTGGAGATTGATATTGGCCCTGCCCTGGGTAAACTCGCAAGAGCCCTCAAAGTCGTCTCCGGGGTATCGAGCCAAACCAAAAATGTCGGCCAAGTTGCGCAGTGCAAGCTCGGCCTTGAACTTGGCGAAAAATTCCAAGTCTTTGTGGGTAAAATCCGCGTCCTGCGTTTCTGAGTAGTGATACTCAGTCGGCCTTAAGAGCCCAACATCGTCAAAGGCCCACATGGCTGGCTGGGGCTCCTTCATCCCAGAAGAACCACCGGACCAAGGTGTCGAGGTCCCCATATATTCTACCAGCTTCTCCGAGGGTTCCAGATCAAAGTGGCGGTGAATCATGGCCAGTCCGAACCGTTGATCCATGCCATGCTTGACGAAGAAATCCTTGAACCATTCAACATGATCCTGGCCCTTAGCGGGCATGAGCGTCCTTGATCGTCGGCAGACTGTGGAAGTGGTGGTGCGAATACGGAGCAATAATAGTGGCAGCCATTTCGACAAAGGCGGGGGTGAGGATTCTTGAATGGAAGAGTAGCGGGTCAGTGGGCCAGTCTAGTCCAATTTAAACTAGACTGGGCGGGGGTTCTTGACCTATTATGTCAGCGTTTTAGCCAATCATAAATGGCAACAGATCAGTGGACTGGATCTATGCAGGTGATAAAAAATCAGCCGGACAAGTCTAGTTATCATTAAAACTAGGATAAGGACCAAGGGAATAATACTAAGTATAAGCAAGATAAGAGGGATAATAAAAATGAATAAAAATAGAAAAAGAGAGAAGTTAAGAAATAGTAAGAAAATAGTAAGAATAAAGAAGGGGTTAGTATCCTAACCGCCAGGTTATTTTATCTGCCTGGTGGCTACTTACCCGATTATGTCAGCTTTCCACTCTTCAACAAATTAGAGACTAATTCGACCAGTAGTTGTAGTTCATATATTCCGAACTTGAGGCAATGATAGCCGAAAAAGTACAGAGTAGACAAAAAAGAGAAAAAAAACGCCAACATATAAAGATGACAAACAGACCAAAACAAAGAATGGCATTTTGCGTGCCGCAATGTGTCTGTCTGCGACGACCCCCACAGATTGCCAACTGTCACTCCACCACACCCAGCACCTTCCACATCGCGTGCCATTGACACCGACCTACCTAGCTACCTACCTACCTAGTACCTACCAAAACACCTATCGAAGTGTGCCGCCCGCTGCCTCGAAAAATTGCACGTCTAAGCCGACATGATACACATACTAGGCCCTTGAAAAGAATACGAGGCCAACGCCGGCGTCGGGCTGGCTCCACTATCACAGCATAAGATGACGTCGGTCGAGACATTCAAGAGACGCAATGGCAACAGATGACAATATGGCGAGTGATGGCACAAGCGAGGCATCACAACCACCATCAGCCGATTCGACCGAGTCTAAGCTATACACAGCCCAAGCTACCACAGCACTGACGACTGTCGATATCCAAACTCTATCCTTCCCCGATGGATCTCGAGGCACATTTCAAACCCCCGGAGCGAGATCCGTATCAACGCCAGTCCCCAGCGGCTACGCTTCTCCAGGCTACAAGGCGAGCCACTCGGGAGGGGAGGGAGACGATGGAGCAAGCGTCATGAGCTTTGCGCCGACAATGCGACCGGCCGGTGATATCGCGAGCCTGTTCGTTGGTGACCTGGGCAAGCGCAGTGTCGCGTGGAACATGCTACGCTCACAAGCACCGACTGTTCAACCGTTTGAGACAAGTCGATACCGACAAACTGATACGCTGGGAAATTTCCAAGGAGAATTCGAGGCGGTGCCGGCCGAGGCAACGGCCGAGGTCGACGATGCTTCACGAGTTGCCATGTGGAAGGCAAAGCTCAAGCACTACATGATTCTCTCGTCAGCCGGAAAACCCATTTGGAGTCGACATGGAGACTTGATGCTCATCAACTCATCGATAGGGGTTATGCAAACCATAATATCCTTCTATGAGGGCGCCAAAAGCCCACTGTTGGGCTTCACCGCTGGCGACGCCAGGTTCGTTGTTCTAACTCGAGGCCCCCTCTACTTTTTGGCCGTTAGCAAGCTTGGTGAGAGCGATTCGCAACTGCGCGCACAGCTCGATGCGCTTTATATGCAAATCCTCTCCACCCTCACACTGCCGACTTTGAAACGTATTTTTGTCCACAGACCGTCGTCGGACCTTAGGAAACCACTTCAAGGCACCGAATCGCTGCTCTCTTCGCTTGCCGATACGTTTACGAGAGGCTCGCCAACGACATTACTGGGGTCGCTCGAATGCCTCAAGCTTCGCAAATCGCAGCGACACTCGATCAATAATACGTTTTTGAAGCTCCGCGCCGACAAGCTCCTATATGGACTTATTATTGCTGGCGGAAAACTTGTCAGCGTCATTCGCCCTCGACAACACTCGCTGCACCCGAGCGACTTGCAGCTCATATTTAACATGCTATTCGAGTCGGATGGCATCAAAGGAGGCGGTGGTGAAAACTGGATACCCTTGTGCCTACCTGCATTTAACAACGAGGGTTATCTATACATGTACGTCAGCTTTTTTGACGACGAGGGCCTGCAAGTGCAAAAACAAGCAGCAGAAGCAGGCGAGCAGACGGCGCCTGCGAGTCAACAAATCGCCATGGTGCTCATCAGCACCGACAAAGAGAGCTTCTTTGGCCTTCAGAAGATGCGCAACGACGTGGCCCAGCAGCTGACCAAGAATGGCAACTTGGCCGTGATCCGGGGCGCGGTGCGGGCAGGGCGGCCGCGGATCGCCCAGATTGTGCCTGGGAACCCGATAAGCCACTTTTTGTACAAGTCCAAGGCCAACGTGCAATTCTGCATGGCCGCCCTGGAACCACCGTTGGACGCCATCGCCGAGCGCCGACGTCTCATGAGCCTGTACCACGAGATGCACGCTGCCGTGCACGCCAAACATGCGCACCTCAAAATCTTGCATAACACGAGCGAAGATTCTACGTCACTCGCGTGGGTCACCCCGGTCTTTGAGCTCTACTGCGTGGGAGGGCCCAACATGTCGCGCGCGACCATGGGGCAGGGTGCCAACAAGATCATTCAGTGGGCCAAGAAGGAAGAGCAGCGGCTATTTATCATTGGAGGCGGTGTCTTTTGATTGCCGCTATCGTAAACCCAACCAGGAAAAGAAGTTGGCAACTCCTGAGCGTAGCTCATAAGGGTGATTATATACAAAGAATAGAAGAAACGCTGAACCCATAGCGCCGAGTCTGAGTGATTGATGCTTTGGCCACTCGTAAATGTCCCGCCAATCATTCAAATAAAACAAATAATTCGTCCATAAATCTCCAGCCCATTACTCGTTCAAAAATGTAGAACATGATACTCTCGGTAAGAATTGACCTCTTTATTTGGGCACACCTGTGGTGGTGGACGCCTCGGTGATGTGGTCCACCTTTGAAAATGACCTCTCGGTCACTTCGTCTGGCGAAGTAGGGCGGCTTTTGAAAATGAGTGACCTCCTAGCCCAGCCCCGTACCCGGTCGTTGACGCTCGATTTGCGCTGTGTCTTTTGGGTCCAGGGGAACTCGCGCCACGCCTCCGTGGGCGACTGGATGGGAAAGGAGGGTGTGCGCATGGAGCTGCCAGGCGAGGAGCGTCGGAGCGAGTCGTCGAGGCTGGGGCGCTCCTGTGAGGGTGAAAATGCGCCGGAGGCAACGGTGTTGAGCGAGGCATTCATGATGGCCTCAGAAAAGGGAGCGTCAAAGTCCTCATGGAAGCGCGGGCTGCGGGGACCGGAGTAGTGGGAGAGACGCCGGGGCGGCATCGCGATATGTAGGGTCGGCTTGGCGGCCATGGTGTAATTTGTACGTTTTTATCGTCGGTGTCGGTGCTGATATCGAAGGTTGGTTGTGGTATCAGATGAGGCGTCGGGAGGAGGCGATGATATATAGCGAGCAGGCTGATATGAAGAGTTCTTGTACTGCTAGACTCGGTCACGATGATGCGACGGGACGGTGACACGCTGAGGGTTACAGCTTTTAAAACAGGTGCCGGTCACGCAGCGACGAGCAAGTCCCTGTTGCAGGTGTGGAGTTGAAGGGTCTCTTCCTTTTTGATGCTACCCACACACTAGTAGCGACAAGGAGGTCTAGAAAGACTAGCTGCGGAGACTGTGGCGCTCATTGGCAAATGCCGCTTTGGCTAGGGAATAATTGGCGGCCAGGAGATGATGAAGTGGTGGGGTCGGATACATGGCTCTCATTAGGCGCAGTGCAGGTGTGAGTCCAGACTTTCCGCTCGTCGACTTGGCTGGAGACGACACAATCCACACTGTAAGTGGTGGGCCGGTTGGAAATTACTTAAAAAAACGGTTCGTCCTGCAGTGGCTAACCCCAGAAGTCAAGGTGGCGTCTGCCGATCGTGGTGCTGCTGACAGGCCAGACCTGGTCGATAGAGTTCAAGGGGGGCGTGGTGCTCTGTCCACGGGGCTAGCCAGGGGTTCACAACGCCTAGAATATTGTTCAGTATGGATGGAAGAGCCCAACGACGAACAATAGTTCAATACGAACCGAGAGGCAATTACAATGGCTGGTGATACCTTTGGGCCAGCAAATTTTCTGCAATGCAGCTTGTGTCTCGCAGAGTGTGACAACCACAACAGCGGCAGCCCCACGGTCATTTCGGCTTTCAACGGCCAGAGGCTGGGCCTGGCCCCATTAGCACGTGAGCGGGTTCGACAGCCGAGAGAGGGGACCGGCCGGTCGCTTTGACAGCACGATAATAATAGGGGAAACAAAAAAAAGAAAAGGGAAAAGGATCGACGGGGCCCGTGAAGGTTCTGACACGGCAAATACAAACGGGGGGGGGGCGACCATGGACTTGGCGTTGGTGATCGAGCGAGCATTGACAATTCTGTTTGCTGCAGAATTACCTCTGCTTATAGGTAGAGTACATAACTAAAAAGGAACAGACGCGGCGAGATGAAAACTGATAGCAGTCGACTGCCGCTCGTGCATATGACTCGTCTGAAAGTAATACGGATAAGTACCTATATAGGTAGGTACCTAGGGTCTGTACCTGGTAGGTGCATGCCCCTCCATCGCTGCCCCTCCACATCGCAAACGCCGCAACGCCGCCGACGTGGTTTTGTCTCGCAGCAACACCACAAAACTGATGATGCGCCATCGTCCTTGTCATCGGAATGCGTCGGTGGTTCTTTAAGTATCAAAAATCAAATACACAAAATACCCTGTTTTATTCGCCTGCATTCGCCTGCATTCGCCTGTCCTCACCTTCCCACCCGCACCTTCGTAGTCCTCGTCAACGATGCCCGCCTTTGCCTTGGCCCTCACGCTCTTGCCGGACCAGCACCATGTCGCCAAGCACACGCGCAGGCAGGCATGTATCAGCTTGCTGCCACCTCCGAACGTCTGCAGAGTTATTGCCATAATGTCCTGAACATTCACATTCCACGCCCTGGCAGACGACGCAATGCACATCTTGCTCCGATATACTTGAACTTGCTTTTGCTACAAACCATTGCCAGCCTACGGCGCCCATTCGATCCTGCTCAGGCTGTTCAGTTTGCTTCTAGCTTCCGTCATTCTGGCTTATCCTTTATACTTATCAGCGTTGTTACTCACTTTTATCCTCGCTGCTTGGCAGCACGCCACCAGGCTGGCCCAGAGAGAATCTTCCCAAAATGGATGTACCTCACATTCAGAGGGCCGCCGGTCTCCGTGCCGGCAATACGGCATCCCAAGCTGCCAAATCAAGGCCTTTGAAGCCTCCCGACTTAACACAAGAATCAGCACGTTGGCCACTTCAGGCGGTGGACGACAACACAGCAGCAGCCCGGCATCTGACGTCTTCTCAATCACGACACAAAACCCCACGCGAATTAGAGGTCTTCGGTCATCCTTCCACCACATTGGAGAGAAGCGTCCCTGCTACATATCACGCACCACTTCGCCCAAGACGTGGCCTTGACGACCCACCCTTCTCGAGAGACCCATCGGCGCGCAGTTTCGAGGAGGACCAGTTGGCCCATGAGCGCAGGGCACGCTCCTATAGAGACACAACTTCTGAAATCATCTCACTATATGCGTCAAGAAATGTGACGTCTCACAATTCCACACTTTGCCGAAATGATGACGATGCTTCCTCGACGACACCCCACGCAAGGGTTCCCACTAGCCAACGCCACACCCAGTCCAACAGTACTCATCTTCGAAATGCTTCTTGGCAGAAATCAAGGACACCGGGGCCCTACCCTACGAGGCTACGACGCCCTGGAACAAGTATCACCTCGCCGCCGATGACGGAAGCTCGAGGCAGGGAGTACAGCAGAATGGTCGAGGGCGAAAGGGGCCATCAAGTATGTCGTATCTCCGATGACACTGATTCTGACGACGGCTAACACCATAAAAAGAAAGTAGCACATAATCTCTACAAAACCTCGCTTGCTAACAACCAAAGACGAGCCCCTCCGCTATCTCTACGTGCCGAAATGAACAGGTCATCTAGCTCACTACCATCTAGATCTTCACCAGGTCTGAATCACTACATGACAGCATCGGGGCGCGCTAGAACGCCGAGTTCCACTGTGTCTTGGGCATCAAGACCCTCTGATCGGTACTACATGGGCTCGATTGACCAGAGCAGTAGATCTGCGAGCTTGACATCAATTGTTGAGATGTATCAGCGCCCCATGACATCTAGCAGCACTTGCCCTGCCATGCGGCCTACCGGCACCCTCTACTATGATTACTCTGAGGATTTCAAAGACCCAGATTCCGAGGATATCCGCCAGCCTGTCATACCGCTTTCCCCTATTCCCTACAGAGCCGGTGGCGGAACCAAGCCGACCATCCTACAGCAAGATCTACAGCTAAAGATGCACGGTACTATCGATAACCCCCATATTCAGGGCTCCGCATACTCTGGATATAGACGGGGCTACAGTAGGACTGACAGTAGCATCGAAGACTCGTTCGATTCATATCTTCAAGGTAGCCATGACGACTCCATTGAGGAAATCGAGCGGGCTATTGCGAATGCAATCTCCAATGCAGCGGCAGACAAGCTAGTTGCAGCTTCAGAGCATTTAACTGCGTATACAGATGCGTGCCGCAACAGACGAGAAGACAGCCAGACGAAGACGACAAACGTTGCCAACATGTCTCGGCGACTACCTGCCACAGAGCGACAGTATGGTTTGAAGACAGCAGCTCCGAATTTGGAAATGAATATCAACGCTAGACGAGCGTCTCAGTTGAGTTTGAACAAGAATTTCATGGCGCTAGATCCAGCCTTTGCAGACTTTACCTCTTTACTTTCTTCATTTGAGCGATTGGCAAAATCCCCGTTTTCACGACTCAGTGATGAAGATGATGTTGATGAACGACACAGCAGACGAAGCAGCAAGTTATCGACGATGGACACACTTGACGAGATGGAATCCATGGAGAACCCACACTTGAAGCGTCATCAGCGTAATGTAGCCACCGCGCAGGTTGGCACTCCAGCACTGAGCTCCTGTGAATCCCCGACTGAGCATCCGTTGTCGTCAGGGGAGGGTGCATTGATCCTCACACCCGAACCTCTATCCCCTCGCCGCGACAAAGGTTTCAATGAGCCGCATCTGAGATTCATGAAAGCACTACCACCTCTTCCAGCTGAGATTCCTAGTACTCATCTCACCCACGCGAACCAGAACTCTAGCAACAAGCAGGCTCAAAATGCGGGTGCCATCTCCCAGGCTCGGTCCTTGTCCCTCCGAAGCCATATTTCGCGCTCGGGTAGCCCGGGAAAGTTGAAGCTGCGTGTTCGGACGCCATCCTCATCTGGAGACAATGACTTTGCATGTGTATCGGATGGTGCCAAGCGGGAACGTCGCTCTGCTGACGAGTGCAGACCAGCCACCAGTTCAAGACCCCCTCCGAAGCTCAAGTTGAAAATATCACGAAATCAGCTTGGCCAAGGTCGAAATGCCCAGACTGAATCAGTGATTCGTAACAATCGTTTAAAGCAGTGTAACGCACTCGCCGACGTGGCACAGCCACCACGCAATGATGTCGAAAAGAGAATAGAGAAAAGGAAAGACGAGGCGAGATCAAAGGGGCCGAACGAAAAACAGGAACCGTTGGTCACAAACGTCGACCCGCGGGAAAGTAGAGTCGGATCGTGCCAATCGTCGGACCAGTTCAACCTTTCGTATCCACCGACCTCAGTCGAGAGTGTAGATGTCATGTTGCCACGACTGGAACCCTTCCGTGAATCAGTCGAGGAGGTTCGAGCCGTGCAGCCAGAGACTAGTGAAACAGCGGCACGCCGTATCAAGCCAAAGTTCTCGCTTCTACGACTACGGCCAGCGAACCACGCAGGACCAGCAACGCTGACGAAGCCTGCGCCCTGTCATGCTTGCACTCAGAGCGAACCCGAGGCAAAGACGGTGGACAAGAATATCATTGTTGCCTCGACTAGTCAGTTTGATTCGACTGTGACTGAGAACCGCGTTGGAAGTGTGTCGGTCAAGTCGGAACGGGTAGGCAATCGAGTCAAACGGTGGGCTACGGACGCCAAACGTGTGGTTCGGTCATATGTCAGGCGTACACTGATTCGGACTCCCAAGAGCGCAAAAGTGTAGATGAAAGCTTGCTCCTATGCTCAAAGGTTAGAAAGATGGCGACTTGTTTCGAGTGTACGGAACGAGGTCGGCCGGAGGTGTGGCTGAATGCGCGCTTGATTATTGGCTTTGCCAGAAATGGCAGGTATCGAGCAAAAAACTATAATTCTCTCCTCGGATAGTACAGGCTTAAATTAGCAATATTATAAACGTATCAAGCTCGAAACACTATGAGGTTTGTTTTGCCCCAAGATGGAGTCAGGAAGTGAGGCGCGAGAAGACATACGTCAGTGGAATCTGCTAGCTGAAGCCCAGATCCGAGATGCGAAGGTCGGCCTGAGAGTCTTGGAAGTTGGGCGATGAGGGCAATGCTGGGTAAGACTGGAACAAGACAACTACAATTAGATCTATTCAAGTGTTTAGATTCAGCGCTCTGTTTATTGTGCCCTTTCATGAGTATGGCTGAGCGAGGTTATGTATGTGCTGGAACAGGTTCGCCTCGCGACGCGAAGGAAAGCATGTAGGCCCGAGGGCCGGCCTTGCCCCAAGGTTCCTACAGGCCAGCATGCCTGTTTTGCGTATCGAGTACGCCGACGAGTACAAATTAGTTACAGACGACTCTGGGCGCACAACCCATCGTCGTGCCCTCTGACTGCTGAGTCATCCGGCCAGGCCGCTTCGACAGCGTGAGATGCCGACAGCTTCGAGACGGCGCGACGTGGAGCAAGCAGGTCAGGGCGGTGACGAGACGGTTCGGCAGCCCGATTGCGTGGGGGAGTGGGAGGAGGCGCTGACGATGCTGGGAATTCGGCATGTTGATGATGAGCCGGAATGGGGCGACGCGCCACGATGCGGGCGCGTCAAAAAGCCGTGAAGCGTCGTCCCAAATTTCTTTTCTGTGACGGTGGTGCGCTCGCTGCTCATCCATCTGCCGGCACGTGGAGGCCACCGACTCGGCATCACGTGATACGCAGGTATATTGACAAGGCATCTACCTGAAACCCGTCCCGAGTCAGGAATCGCTTTTGCAGCAATCATCCATTCCAAATTGTGTAACGACATTGGGGGCCGCGGAAAAAAATGAAGGGCATGGCTTGTCATGTATGCATTGTTTGTTTCTGATTTCCGGTAATTAATGCCCGCCGCCGTCCACCGCCCCCCGAAATCATGGACCAGGTAAAGCTCCTCCACACGACGCGGAGTGCCGCCCTCCAGCTGCTTCAAGATGGCAAGAGACCGGATTACTTCCCCGAATGTAGCTCGTCTGTGGGAAATTGATATGCACAGGGAATAACTAGCAGCGCGCGACGGCTGCGGGATGGAATGACACGTTCATTTTTTCGGAGCATCTCGGTGAAGGCGCAAAACACCACCACAAACATCGACATGACCGCAGTGGGCTATACTGTCTCGTGATTCGTGACCAGGCCAGGCCAGGCCAAAAAACAAGTCATCATCCCCGTCTTTTTCCTCTTGCCTGGTCTCTTCAGTTTCAAATTGTTTTGCCCCATGACCGCTCCCTTTCGGCATTCTGAGCGTCGACTCAGACCTGAGCCAACCCGCGCCGTCACACCAGACAGCACTTCCAGTGTAGTTACCCCTTTGGCCCTGTTTGCTCAAGTCAAAAACCTTGGCTCGGCCGGAAAAAACGCCGCCGCTTGGATTCTCCCTTTTTTCATCATGTTGAACACAAAGGGCATGATGAAGCCAAGAAAGCTAAAACGGGAAGCACGCATGCGTACAGCAAAGTTGTTTGTTTGGCCTGACGGGGTCAGTCGGGCTCCTTGGCCTTGTTGGGCGACAAGCCGTCGCTGCGTGGAGCGGAGGCATGCGCTCAGCCCATTGGCAACTCTGTATCATAATAATAATACTACGTAGAATTGGGCAATAGCCCGCGAAACCAAATGGGGGCCGCAAACCACTGCTCAGCGTCGATGCGCGGCGACGACAAGCGCAGGGGAGAGAGGGGGGGAGGCTTCACACAATGGCTCATTCATGACACGGTCAAGTCACCCTGCTTCCTTCATTCTTTTCTCACTCACCCCCTTTGCTCGTTTTTCAAGGTTAGATGAAGAAGAAGAAGAAGAAGAGGGAGGGCAACTGGTTTGAATAAACCGTTTGCTACCTACGACTTTGCCGATACACTTGGACCTGGTTTGTCGGCTTCTGTTCTGTCCAACATCGTCGTTTGTCGGCCCAAACATGGTGCGCCTACTGTTCGTCTAAAAACCCGAGGCCGGAAACCCCCCCCCCCTAAAAAAAGAGGCCATGCTCCAAAGTCGGAGCGGCTCGCTGGCGTGCACCATTGGCCTCTTGCACGCTCTGGCCGTCTTTGCGTTTGCTGCTCGGGTCTGGATCAGGCGCAGAGCGAAGCGTTGGAGCGTCGACGACTATACCTACACGGCTGCATTTGTAAGAAAAGAAAACGAAATTATGGATGGCTGGGTGCCAGCCAAAAAGAAAAACACCGTGCCAAGAAGCACAAACCGAAGCAAAGACGGCTAACTTGATGTGTTTTCCCCCTTTGTCTAGATCCTCGCCATTGCTCACGCCGCACTGCTCTTGTTCTGTATTGTGCACGGCTACGACCGTCGTGTCGAGGACATTCCTCGATCCGAGTTGGAAAGCATCAGACTCGTACGTGCTTCCGACATCCGTGTCTGCGGATGATGACCCCTTCGAGGCCATGAGCTAATCTTCTCCCCTCCTCCAAAGGCACGCTACGCTGCCCAGTTTCTCTACATCCTCTCCTTTGGCCTCGGCAGGATCGCGTGCGCCCTCTTTGTCGGCACCGTCGCGCGGGAATCGCCGGTCGTCTGGCCGGCGCGGACCACGGCGGGGCTCGCGGGCCTCTGGACCGTCGCCTGCGTCATCTGCCTCGCGTTAAAAGGCAACAGAATCGAGCCCTGGACCGCGCTGGCGGCTGAGTCTCGTGTAAGTGGCAAATGGAAAACAACCCACCGCATCCCATCCCCTTGTTCGTCGTGCTAACTCGAAACCCCCCCGCCTTCAGTTCTCTCGATGGCTGGGGATAGAATCCACGGGTATACTCGTCGAGCTCTCCCTCTTCATACTCTCCACCAGCCTGGTCTGGAGCCTGCAAATGGCTACGTCTCGACGCCTGTATCTCGCCGCCATCCTGGGCGTCCGCTTGTGGTAAGCGAAGAGCGTCACCCAACTACTACAAACCCACAGCCAGAGCCATACTGACCGCTTTGTCTCCCCAACACCAGCTTGGTACCCATCCTGGCCACACGCATCATCTTTCTCCAGCCGTTCCGCTACAGGCCTTCTTCCCCATGGTTCGCCCTCGTGCCCTTGCTCCTCGCCGAAGCGGCCCTCGCCGCGTCCGTTGTGACTGGGTGCGCCACGGCGCCGCGCCGCCTCCGCGCCGCCCTCGTGCCCGAGAGCGACGCGCGCCTCTCCAAAACCGTCGGCGATTGCTACTACCCCCTCGACGGCCGTGATGAGCAGCAGAGGCAGGGGTGGCGGGCCCGCGTCGGGAAACCATGGACCCGGGCGCGCGTCCCGACGCCGGACCTCTCGTGGCAGCCGTACCAGGGCTTCACGGACGTGTCCGAAGACACGGCGTACCCGCCGCGCGTGCACATTTCGAGCGATCGAGCGACGCTGTCGACGGAGGGCGGGACGGCAGCCAAAGAGCAAATGCTGGAACGGACGGAACTGCCGGCGCCGCCTATGAAGATTCACAGAACGACCGAGGTCATTATTGAATATACGTGAGCTTGGGGCTTTGTTACTCGTCAAGACTCCTATTATGCGGATACGGGCTCAAAGCAGCCTCTGCAGCGAATATTCGCTCGCCGTTATCCAAGTTCGCGTGCGGGGCACTCGACGAAGCGAAATCAGAAATGGCCCTGGATGGAGTCGTCATACCATACCCTCCACCTCACCATGTACATATACACAAGTACGGCACCAAGCGGCAAGATACTGCACTGCAAGTACATATACAAAGTGCGTGTCATGGCGTAGCAGCAGAGAAGCTGCTCGCGCTACGGTACACAATACACCATATAGCCACGGGCCCTCGCCCTGAGGACCCCGAACTTCTTACAAGTCCTTAGATATAGATTATACCCCATATGAGACACGATATGCACACCCACGGCCTGCAGTCTTTCGGTCAAGGTCATGGAATAGAATACGTTGAAACGAGGCAAACGAGGCAACTCAAGTAGACAGTCATGTATGTGTCTGCAATCTTGTTGTATGAATATGATGCTAGAAAAAGTTCATCTCTTGTAATATGGTCATAAATGCAGCGGTTCAACCAAAAAGCAAAAACTCCCGCACAGTCCTCAAGCTAATAATCCCAAGATCATAAAGTCGTATCCTAGTCCTCTTCCAACCTAAAAGTGCTTCACCCAACACACACACACACTCAAGTTCCAAGCCCCCCATCATTGTGCAATCGTCATATAAAAATAAAAAAGCCATTCCGATAAACGCCAGCATATGACATTCCAGATAAAAATGCAATAAAAACCACAGGAGCAAATACAGAGCCCCATAGTCAGCTCAAGACTCGATAGTCTCTTGCTGCACTTTGATGGCGACGGCATCCCACCAAGTGCCGTGCGCTGCACGGTCCACCGCGCCAACCTTGTCGAGGAGATCAGAAATCTGCCTGACGCGGTCGACAAACTCCGAAAGCCCCAAGCTGGCCAGCTTCTCGCCCGCAGTGTTGGCTGCTTTGACTTTCTCGCTCGCCGACGACGAGCCAGGGACAAGTCGGGCTAGGATATTGCCACGGAGACGGGTGAGCAGCAGGCGGAGGACGGGCTGGGTTGGCTCGACGCCGGTGCGAGCCATCTCGCGGGATGCCTCCAGGACCTTGCGCACCAGTTGTCGCAGCTGCGTCTTTGTTGCCGTGGGCATGGATCGGCCCGCCTCCAGGGCGGCCATGGTACCGTCCAAGGCGGTGTCGAGCGACGAGTGTTCGTTTTCAAGCACTGCTAGGATGCGCGAGGCCTCCGTTTTCCACTGTGAACGGACATCCCGCTTGAGGAGATTTTTGCACTGCAACAGCACAGCGCCGACCGTAATGATGCGCTGAATCATGGTAGACACCTGCGTAATGCGTGACATATCGAGACGTAGCATTTCAGGCACCTGGTCAGGCGCGACTGGGAGGGCCAGCGTCGAAAAAACATCCACGAGCATCTGCGCGTAGAAGCGCGATGCAGTGGGCCGAGATTTGGGGTGGTTGATGCCCTCTGGATCGCGACGCTGTACTTCAGCCATCACCTTGTTAGTAGCCTCGCGCCAGGCATTCTCAGCGACTCTAAGCCGAACATCACCGGCCGCAAACTCTTGCGCAAAGCGCTTCGCTTCGTACTGCGCTGCGGAATCAATAAGTTGCGGCGCGGCCATGCGCATCAAATAATTGACATAATCGCAAAGCATAATGTCGATAAATCCAATGAGCGCCTCGACGCGATCAATGACATTGCCGTCCGCCAGTTTATCGTGTATGAGTATATTTACTTCCTCATCACGGAATGGAGCGCACAGCTTGGGCAACAGCGATGCCATGGCAGTAAAGAATTTCTCGTATGAAAAGTTGCCAACAGTAAACTGTCGCTCCGCCATCTCAGGGTCAAGTATCTCACCAATGAGGTTGTACATTGAGTTTCCTGGCTTGAGCAACCGCTGCAGCTTATCCCTGATGCTGCCGGCCATGCTGAGGAAGATGCGAAAGTTGGCTTCGTTATCATCTGCAGAAACAGCAGCCTTCATATGAGCGTAAAGAGGTCGGGCTATTGCCGCCTGTTGCTCGACATAGTCCTCTGTAGGTATCTGATACTCTTTGTTGATTGCAAGCTCATGTACAACAACACGGTTGTCAGGAAGCAAGCCCATAAGCCCAGTCTTAGGACCAGTGGACGACTGTTGGCTGGTGCTCTGACCCTGGCCTCGGCTGAGTGGTGTAGATGGGGGGGTCAATGTCTGCGATTCGGGGGACACGAGGCTGTTTGCAGTGGCAGAGGCATCGCCAGCCGAGTTATCAGCAATTCGAGGTCTGGTGTCGCCAGTGGTTTGCTTCTTGGCCTTGCGGGCCTTGCGTGCTTCGGCAACCGCCTCGAAAATCAGCTTCTTTCCCTTTTCCTGGCCAGCTAGTCGCTTGATGCGGACGATCAGCATGAGCTGGCTATCTTGAATGCTCTGTCGGTACAAGGCGGCGGCGGCATCGTCAGTACTATCTTTGACGGTTTGGTAGATAGCGTCGAGTTCGACAAATTGCATGACCATGACCTCAACAAGAGCATTAGAGTCGCGCGACTTCCAGGCGATAAATGCGTTGTGAAACACGGCATACGCTTCAGGAATGGCGTTGCGCATGGACGGTGGAACTGTGTATCGGTTGCCGGGGGTAAGCCAAGAGAGAATGTTCTCAAACGAGATGAGGAGATCTTTGGCCTTGCCAATGAGGTCCTGTAGCTGGGGATTGTTCAAATCGGCAACTGGTAGGCGGTTTGTTGCTGCCACGGGGGTTTCTACGCGGGTATTTGATCGAGCAGGGTCGTCTTTGGTGCTAAGGACTTGGTTTGGATGTCCAAGAATGAGAAATGCACTCATAAACGTGCGGCAAGCGGCCATTTCGGCCACAGAGTTGGGTTCGCCCTCCTGCAGTCCGCAGAGACGCAACAAACGCGCAGCGACGTGCAGCACTTTTTCTTGAGCGAGCAACTCCACGACAGTGTCAAAATCAGTGTCTCGAATACCGTCAATGCACAGACCGAGTTTGTAGAACTCGTCAACAGCTCGCTTGCGGACAGTGGAGCGCCAACAACCCTGGATACGTCGAGCAGCATCCTGCTCGGACAACTTGCGAACCTCGCGTTCGCTAACACGGGCAAGGACGTCGACAGGTTTCTTGGAGGCGCTATTGACGCGGACTTTGCGGGAAGTACTCTTCAAAAGCAGTTCCTCTCGGCGGCGTTGGGCCTCGGCCATGCGCTCCTCCAGCTGGGACTTGATGCGAGCCACTTCCTGCTCCCGCTTTTCCTTGGTCTGTTCGGCAACTTGCTTCGCTTTGCGTACCTCCTCAGCGCAGGTGGCAGCAATCTCGGCGAGGTTGCGCTCTCGGGCCTGATGCGCGGCAAGAACCTTTCCCTCGGAGGCTTGGCCACGAGGCGCAGCCTTTGCGAGGGCGGCTCTCAAGCGCACCTTTTCAGCATGGGCAGCACGGTCGGCGAGGCGGGCTCTGCGGTCCTCAAGAAAGGAGGCGCGGCGAAGGTGTTGGGCGACATGTTTGCTCTGTTGATCGAAATGTGCGGAGGATGCATGGATGGAAGAACAGCGCGAGTGGGCGGAGGAGATGGAGTTGCGTCGAGAGGAAGCGGCTGAGTCACGGCGGCGGGCGTGCGAGGGACGGTAGAAGCGGTCGGCGATGCGCGGCGGCGGCGAATAGATGCGGGCGTCCTGGTCGCGAGTATCTTGGTTGGTCGGAGATATGGGAAAATCGAGATCCAAATCGAGATCCATGGCGTGGCCGTCGGAGGGTTCGCCGTTGGACTCTTCGATGTTGCGCGCAGGTTCGCTCAGGTCTAAAGACGGTCGGCGCATCTTGGTGGCTTGGCTGTGTTTTGGCTGGGGTTGAGGGTATCTATTGATGCGGTGGCTGGCGTTTCAGCGCCAGAGGCAGAAGGGCGCTGGCGATTTTGTCGATTATGTCTATATGAATGCGGATGCAAATGCGATGCTGCTGTATGCAAGGTCGTGGGGCGGTGGTTGGGTGTCGGGATGGTCGGGACGAGGTGAGTTAAGGCAAGGCTTGGTCGACGTGCGTGTTTCCAAGGCGGGAAATATAAATGATTAATACAGAAAAAGAGGCCCCGGCACGCAGAGTTTATGCAAGAGGCGCAGGGAGGTGCGTAAGCAGTGCCTTGTTTTGGGAAATGCGTCAAGAAAACATGGATGTATCTCGGCAACTAGGATAGATGGCGAGATGGCGCGTGATGGCAGTTGTCTTGGAATGACGCAAGGAGCAAAGGCTGTCGCGAAATGCAAGTCTCAAGATCCCCCACCAAGGCGCCTGGAAGGTTGTGGAAGGGTAAAGAGAGGATGACACGGGGCAAGTGGCTGGTTATGTGAAAAGGGGCGTCAATAGAAGAAGAGGATGCTGAAAGCGGCGCAAGAGGGGCTGGGATATGGGAGACAAGATTTGATGGTGCATTGGGTATTGGCGAGGGTGGGAGAGTTTGAGCGTCGGCGTTTGCGGCTGACTTGAAGCATGTTGGAGATGGTTGGTCGGGAGGCTAGGCTCTCACTAACTATCGACAGTGGTCCCCAGGTACATCTGAGCGGGTCGCCATACAAAGGCCATGCATTCCTCCTCGGAGAAACTTGCAGGCGTAGTGCGAAGTTAGTACTCCTTAGAGCTGTCTGGTCAGGCGTTTGCGCACACTAAATAGGCCGGGCAAAACGGCAAGAATGTCATTGGTTGTTGTTCCCTTCTCCCATCTGTGGTTGATAATTTGTTTTTCCAAGGACTGTAAGAGCAGAATAGACAGTTGCAAGCCAATCACTCGATTTGTCATTTATCAATCAACGTTTTCATCGGATGAGACAGAGAACCCACCCCTGATTGGATCTATATTAAGCTGGAATCAGTCAATCAAAGAAAGCAGCGAAAGGAGCGAAAGCAGCTAAACAAAGGCTCCATTCGCGCCATACCAAGTAGTTAGGCCGTCTATCCGGGCACACCGTTGATGTTAACTACCTACATACCTTTGACCAAGCAAAGTAGCGGCCTGTATTTGGTGGTGTGTCAAATACAAGCCACAGGAACACCGCCACGTGCTTGTGGGCGCCACACTTGGCTGGCGAAGCAGGTCGCAAACTCCTCTCATCAGACCAAATGATGGAGCATAACTATGTAATCTTACATCGTCCGAGCCAACAATTGGCTTTTTAACGAGCTCGCGACATAGGGCGGCGAACCACGCATCGCAGAAACCACTGATCCATCGTCTCCATCAAGACGGACAGCAATTGACGTGGTTGACACGCCAAACCCGCCCTCGCCCAGGGGCAAGTGAGCGCCTGGATTAGAACACCTCGAGCCGACAGCAAGCCACGACAGAAGGCGGAAAGGGCCAACTATCAACACCTGTCTGCTGCAGCCACACCGCGGTGAAGATAAACCACTCTTGCCGAATCTTGCTGCGCGTATGGTGTGCATCTGCGTGTCGCAGATATGATGGACTGCGCAATTCGGCAAGCTGCCTGTTGTTGGCGGTGGACCACCTCCAGCGCTGTGCGAGGTGCTGTTTATTAGGCACAAGAGTTTGGCAAGATGATGATGTATTCTCTAGCTCCTCGGTGGGTGGCTTATGGCCCTAAGTGGTGCTATACATATAATAATATACCTTATCGCCTATAGTAACAACCTTACTATTAAATAAACCTAAATAAACTTACCTTATATATAGATAAAAACTAATTATACCCTACTATATATAAAGATAATTCTTCTAAAGCTAAGCTAAATTATAAATACTTATATATATATATAGAAAATAAAAATAAAAAATAAATTAATAAATACTTAATCCTCCTTTATATCTATATTATCTATATTATCCTTCTATACTAGCTATATAGCCTCTTATACTAGTATTAATACCTTTATATTTAATTTATCTATATTACTCTTATATATTAGTATTAATACTTCTATACTTAGACCTTTATTTAGTCTAAATATATACTACCTTTAGTCTAAGAGTAGCCTATTATCTTAGACTAGCTTAATTAGCTTAACTAGTTTAATTAGCTTTAATAACTTCTATCTAGCTTTTAGCTTTACTATCTTAGTTACTACCTTAATAGCTACTACTATCTTAGCTATAAGTAGTCTTATACTTACTATATTTACTTTCTTTATTATTATATACTATATAAAGTTATAGTTAAATTCTAGTTTAAGTATTAGTTACTATATAAATATATACTCTACTTACTAGTATATATAGCTTTCTAAGCCTTTTATTATAAGGATATTTAAGGTATAGTTTATTATACTAGAGTAGTAGAATATACTAAGGGCTATATAGGTCTATTCTATAAGTTATATATTAATACTATTAATTACTTTCTTTTATATTATTTTATATATAACCTTTAATATAGTAGTAGTAGTTAGGTAGTTTATATACTATATATTAAAAAGCTTATATCTAAGTATAAAGATAGCTTTAAGTAGGTACTTACTAGCCTTTTATACCTTTATTAGTATATTAATATATTATTATATAGATATAACCTCTTATTATATAGTAACTATACTTATCTTTATTATTTAATATATAAAATTAATACTATATAAGATTATATTAGGCTTATTTATAAGGGTATAAGCTATAACTTTATTAACCTAGTTATTTATAGCTTTTACTATTTTCTAACCTAGCTAGGGTCTTTAAAGCTAGTCCTATACTATATTTATTAAGCTTCTTATAATAATTATTAAGTCCCCTATATAGCCTTCTAATAGTCTAATATTACCTTTTAGATATACTACCTTTATAAAGATAAGTAGTAATACTACTAACTACCTAGTATCCTAATATAGCTTTACTAGGGTAATACTTATTCTAATAACTAAGTCCCTTAGGTAGGTAAGTTCTTAGTATATTATATTATTATCTTTCTTTAAGGTATTTATAATTCTTTATATTTTAGCTATATATACTTATAATATATTAACTATATTAGTCTTATTTACTATATATAAGTTACTTTAAACTATATTATATATATCCTCCTATAAGCTATATAAATACTTATATTCTACCTTAACTAATATAATATTATACCTAGCTACTCTTTATAGTACTATTAGCTTAATATTAATATAGCTATCTACTTATATAATAAGGGGTAATAGCCTAGCTACTAGCTAAAGAGGTATTTACTATAACTATATATAAGTAAGGTAGTTAATATTATCTAAGTTTTCCTTCTTATTACTATATATAATTATTAGCTTAACTTACTTAATATTTTTAATAATCTTTAGCCTTTACTACTTTATATTAATTAACTTTACCTTTTATACTTTATTATTTTATTATCTTCCTTTCTTACTATAAAGTACTATAAGCTTTACTATTAATTTAGCTATATAATCCTTTACCTATTCCTTTATTTCTAGTACTATATTAAACTTAACTATATAAAGCTTAACTCTTATAAGTACTCTTTTAAGATTCTTATCCTTTAAATACTATTTTATAGTATAAGCCTTATCTATACTATAAATTACTATAGTAACTACTATCTATATAAGTATTTTTAACTTTAATATATTATACTTAGTTATTAGTAAATTACTAATATTCTTATAGCTAAAGGTATATAGCTACTATATACTTAATATATACTACTTAAGGTGTATTACTATAAGTAGGATATTCTAATTTAAGTATAATACCTACTATATAATAAAAGCTCTTAATAATAGCTAGAATTTAGTATTTAGTAGGTTAGGTAGCTTTACTAGCTTACCTATTATATTATATAGGGCTTTTAGATTAACTTTATTATACTATATAGGTATAGGATCTATAATATCCTTTAGTATCTATATATAATAGAGTTTTATAAGCTTAAGGTCTACTAGTAGGGGCTTACTTAGTATAGCTAGTATAGTTAATAGATAGGAGCCTTCTTTCTTTATTAGGTTATTAAGTAGATCTTAATACTTTATCTTCTTATACTTATAGGCTTTATATAATACTACTTTTATT